GGCTCCCGAATGCCACAAACCTGGAAATAAGTGTTCCAGTTTGCGAACGTTTTTCGGAAGCCGAATGTCCGGCGCGGTTTCCACTTGAGTGCAGGAAGCTCCTGTAGCCAATCGGAAGCCACGCCTTGGTTTTCAAACGGTTTCAGGAGTCGAACAGACTCCTGGAACAGATTACATCGAGAAACAGTGTACCACTATAGATAAATAGGTACCAATGTGGTGGGAAGGTAAATGGTTTTTCTGTGCGCTCTGACACTTGTCATGGTTGGCACTTGTTGCACCAGAAGCAGCTTAGTCATGCTGGCCACATGACCCAAAAGCTGTCTGTGAACAAACGCCAGCTCCTTGACCTGAAGCGAGATGAGTGCCGCAACCCCATAGTCACCTTTGACTGGACCTAGGACCAGGGGTCCTTTACTTTCTTTTTACTTTTTTATTATGTAATGTGTAATAATAAACTGAGCTTCTGTTACCGTGTACATGCCAGGCTGGTTTCCCTCCAACTATAACATGCTTTTAAAAATAAAGTCCTCAATATGCTTATGCTGGCCCAGGCACTGATGCTGGGTCTGCTTCATCTGCCTTCATCTGCTGCTCTTTGGGTAGCCACAGGTGGGGCGGGGCGGTGGGGCCATGGACTTTGGCTATTGGCTGCAGTCCTACCTGCACCACCTGATGGGATTGCTCCTACACGGCTATGTTCTTCCTCCACTGTTGGAGACAAGTGTGCTTCTGAATACCAGTTGCTGGAAACTGCAAAAGGGGCAAGTACTGTTACACTCAAGTTCTGCTTGCGGGCTTTCCATTAGCATATTGGAGGACCAGCAGCCAGCAACCTGGGTGAGGCTCTCTTCTTATCCCCATTGACTCTTCTACCCACTATGAGAGATGCAGGCAGGTCTGTACTGCCAAAGTAAGTCAGATTTCCGTTTCTAACACCAGTGCTATATATAACACCGTTTCTAACACCAATCTCAGAACAGTGAGAAGATTCAGGGGTTCCAGTCTATACCCCTGCTGTTTCCTTTGAGTGAGGTCACAAGGTTTATGGCATTTCTTTCATGTAGGTGAAATCATAGTACTAGCAGCCCCAAAGACCCTGTTCACCCATTAGTTTTCTAGGGACTGTTTCCAGCACTGTTCAAGACGGTTCAGCTTTTGTGTCTGCTCTCTCCTTTTGACTCTGGGTCTCCTAAAACTACCAATCTATTTTCCTCTCTTGCACATAAACAGTCAGGGGGAGGTGGGGAGGAAGTCCTTGCCTCTTTTGCCATACTGGCTGTCAGCTTCCTAAAATGCCTCCATCTATTTAGTTTCAGTGGCTACAGCCACTAGCTTGCATTTCAGAAGGGGTTGCTTAACAGATTTGGCAAGGGCTGTTTACTTCACAAAAGAACTGGATTGCCCATTTTAGCCATCCTCCTCTTCTGCATAAGCCACTCTTGCAGCTATATTATAACATCACAGGGCTGGAGGGCATCCCAAGAGCTAGAAAAGGTTATAAGAAATAGGCTTGAAAAAGGAAAGTCCTGGCTAGAAAGTTGTACGTAGGGCAGGCAACTGCTTTTCAATTGCTAAATTATTCAGCAGAATTATTAAAACATCTGAAGAAATTTCTTATTATTGTACTGGAAGTACTTTAGGCTTCATTGGCAAAACATACTTTTTTGTTTGTTAACGAGATCGCGTTTTAACCACCAAGCCCTGAAACATTATTTGTTTGAGCTTACAGAACATTCAAGAACATTCAGCACATGGGTTGCATTAACTATCATGCGAGTCCCTTTTAAACAACAGCAACTGCAAACAGCTTTCTTCTTAGAACTCTATAGAGGAATTCAACATTCTGCCCTGCACATCTCAGGAGACTGTAGATTGTGGTTTGCACTGCACCTTTAAAATGAAATAATTATATATGTATTGTAATTTATTGTAGTATACTTAGATCGGAACAATGGCGGAAGTCCATGCCTCTCAGCTTTGCAGATCAATCCTATTAAGCATGTTGGTGCTGTGGTCTAAACCACTGATCCTCCTGAGCTTGCTGATTGGAAGGTCGGTGGTTTGAATCCGTGCAATGGAGTGAGCTCCAGTTGCTCTGGCCCAGCTTCTGCCAACCTAGCAGTTCAAAAGCATACCAGTGCTAGTAGATAAATAGGTACTGCTGTGGTGGGAAGGTAAACTGCATTTCTGTGTGCTCTTGCACTCGTCATGGTGTTCCATTGTGGCAGAAGCGGTGTAGTCATGCTGGCCACATGAACCGGAAAGCTGTCTGTGGACAAACGCTGGCTCCTCAATCTGAAAGTGAGATGAGTGCTGCACCCCATAGTCGCCTTTGACTGGACTTAAGCATCCAGAGGTCCTTTACGTTTACCTTTATCTTTTAACCTTACAGGAGTAAAACCCACTGTTTAAATGTGAAGACAGACATGATACTTTTAAGTGTCCAAAGTGTACCTTCACACTCCTGGAACACACATACATTTTTCTGCTCAAGATCAAGATCTATACACTGGTGGTGGTGGTATTGAACTCATCTTTTCAAGTGCCATGACACTACCTACCTCTTCTTCAACATCGACTCTCCAAGCTGTTTTGAAATTATTTTTAAGGTGTTTATTAATTGGAGGGGGCATCAGATATATTATATACATATGCATGTGATCATTTATTTTTTGAAACAAAACAGCAAAGCAGCAGCCAAAGGCTTTGGACATGCCTTCTGGCTTCCTACTCATTCTGTTAATAATGTCATGAATAACAACACATGACATGGCACCATGGTGCAGTAAAATTCACTGTGCCGGATCAGTTTCATTGGCTTCCACTTATGGGGGAGGGCAGCAGAAACAGCCTAGATACTCATAGCACAATGACTTCAAAAACCTCAGGGGCTGAGAGACACCTGAAGTACAGCCTCACATGACCCTGAGGCATGTGTGGACAGGCCTAAACTTTTTATACAATCAAAACCATCTATTTCAGTTGAGCCTGGAAAAGCAACCCCTCTATGACCCCTATATTCTGTACCATAAAATTCAGGGTACTGAATTCTGAACCTGTTGCATTTTCCAAAGGAAGCCCCATGTTGAGCACATTACAATAATCAAATCTTGTCATTACCTGGGAATGTATCATAATAACAAATTAAAACATAGGCACATTATAATTTATGAGAAAATGAATGATTAGACCAGCTTTCTCAACCTTTGGGGGGGAGGGTCTCCAGATGTTGGACTACAACTTCCATCTTCCCTGAACACTGCTCCTGCTAGTTGGGATATTGCAAGTTGAAGACCAACAACATCTGGGGACCCAAGGTTGAGAGGCTGGACTAAACCTTAGAATTCCATTCTTATAATACAGTTTTGATTATGTTTTCTAGCAACTTTTGCTCATTTTCTCATTTTAGTGTTTATGAAAAACATAATACCTTTAAGATGATCTCAAAGTAGCTTACACAGAACAAAATCCCTATTTAATCACAGCACATTAAGAGATTTTGGCTTTGAACAATTAAGTCTTACATTCAATTTCTCCTCTTTTCAGCATAAAGCTTCAAAACAATCCCCTCACCCACTGATTTGTAGGCACTTGTGGTCTATCACACTTGCAGGAATACAGGAAAATATACAATCAGCACTTTGTAACAGTTGTGGGATTTTGATTTTTCACCACAACGTTAAGAACTATGGCATTATTTTGATCTTATAGATGGAGCTGCAATTCCCCTTGAAGAACATGTCTGCAGCTTGACGTGCTCTTGAGCTTGTTGCTTGTAGCTGTAGCTCGGACCGCATTCTATCATCTCAGGCTTGTACATCCCCTGTGGCCACCAGCTGCTGCCCTAACTTGGGTGGCATAACCTTACCTTGATCACCTCTGGTCTGTTATTTTCAACTGGATTATTGCAATTTGAACCAACTGGGGCTGCTTCTAAAGATGGCTAAGAACCTTCAGCTGTTGCAGCAGGTTTGCAGATTGGACTGGATATGTGACACCAATTTTGGGTCAATTGCATTGGCATCTATTAATATTTAAGACCTTAAATGGTTTGGGACCAGGTTACCTAAAGGACAGCCTGCACATGCCTGACTCTGCCCATAATCTAAGTTCTGCTTGGATAACTCATAGAATCATAGAGTTGGAAGAGACCACAAGGGCCATCGAGTCCAACCCCCTGCCAAGCAGGAAACACCATCAGAGCACTCCTGACATATGGTTGTCAAGCCTCTGATTAAAGACCTCCAAAGAAGGAGACTCCACCACACTCCTTGGCAGCAAATTCCACTGTCAAACAGCTCTTACTGTCAGCAAGTTCTTCCTAATGTTTAGGTGGAATCTTCTTTCTTGTAGTTTGGATCCATTGCTCCGTGTCCGCTTCTCTGGAGCAGCAGAAAACAACCTTTCTCCCTCCTCTATGTGACATCCTTTTATATATTTGAACATGGCTATCATATCACCCCTTAACCTCCTCTTCTCCAGGCTAAACATGCCCAGCTCTCTTAGCCGTTCCTCATAAGGCATCGTTTCCAGGCCTTTGACCATTTTGGTTGCCCTCCTCTGGACACGTTCCAGTTTGTCAATGTCCTTCTTGAACTGTGGTGCCCAGAACTGGACACAGTACTCCAGGTGAGGTCTGACCAGAGCAGAATACAGTGGCACTATTACTTCCCTTGATCTAGATGCTATACTCCTATTGATGCAGCCCAGAATTGCATTGGCTTTTTTAGCTGCCGCGTCACACTGTTGGCTCATGTCAAGTTTGTGGTCAACTCTCTGGATAACACAGAAGAGTGGTATGAGACTTTGTACCAGCTAGAACAGTTTAACATCAAAGCACTAGAAACATCTGCGGGGTATATAAATTGAAACAGACTAGCTAAAACAAAATTTAATACCATTCCAAATAATGAAAACGTAGAATACAAATCAGTGTTACCATAAGCCCAGATGTATTGCTATTAGAATATATTCTAAGACACACAAATTTCCAAGAGGAAATTTAAATAAATTATTATTTAAATAATAGATTTCAAATAGGAAATTAACCATCAGATTTGCTAATTTAAGAAAAGTGGGAACATAAATTTAAGGATTTAAAAGATAACAGAAGAATGGTAACTGGAATGAGATAGCTCAAATTGTAGAAAGATGGTTACCACCATGGTTTCAATATTTCCAGCAAAGGAGTATTGCTTTTGGCAGCTATAAGTCCTACATGGATGATAATGAAGATGACAGCATGGGAAGTGCTAATAAAAATAATAAGTTGAAGGGTCTGCTAGCAAAAGAACCCCAACCCCCTGTGGCCTGTTGGTGGAGTCAGTAGCCAGGTTAAGGTGGGGAGCGACAACTGGATTTCACCATCTAAGACTCAAGATAACCCTGGATATAGTGTTTTGTGAGATATCACCGAGTTTGTCAATATGTTAAGCTCAATTTAAACCTTTGCTGTTGGTATTTAAGTCCCATCAGGCTGAACGGAATGTATAAAGATTCTGGGTTTGAATGCTAGAAGTGTTTTGCAGTAAACATGCATCTAACACATATGTGGTGTGATTGCCAGTGTACCTCTGAATTTTGGAGATGAGTCTTGCATCGCATAATGTGAGACTCTATCCTATGTTGATTTTATTTAATTGGATCAATGAGAAGGTATCTGCAGAATCAGGAAAGATTTTCTTGACTGCAGCAGTGGAAAGATTCTCCAACCATATGGGAATGGATAAGGAAGTGTCTTGAATGAGCAGAAATGGACAAATCGACCTATCTGATTTATAAGAGGAATGATATGTTCTATGATTCAAATTTACAAAACATAATTTGGGCATTTTTTATATATTACAATGCTGATTTTAGTAATATCAGATTTATTCATGTAAATTATTATTTCTGTGTAAATCATGATTTTATAAATAAAGACATATTTGTTTTGAAAAAGATCTGATTCTTAGGTGATATTGGTTATGCTGGTGAGCATATGGGACAGGGTCTTAACTCTTCCAGTTAATGTTTGCTTGGCCCCTTCAGTTCTAGAATTCAATAAAACCTTAAACATTTTTTGTTGTTGCCTTGCCTTTACAGAGCTTAGGTCAGTGAACATGTGTATTGCCACAGGTTCTTCATCTCTGGCTTAGAGGCTTCTAGCATTAGCATATTATAAGCCACTGGGAACAGTGACTCCCTCCAGCTACCTCTGGCACATGCCTTTTATGCTATGAAGCTTTGGTCTCTTTGAACTTCTTGTAACATATCCTGCATTTTCAATGCTGAATTCTTCCCCTCTCTCATTTGGACATTTGGAAGTTGCATGTTCCTGTGGTCTGGTGACTAGAAGTACCACACGCATGCTGTGACACACTGCTCAGATTTAAGAGTGTGCATGTCAAGCAAACCATTTTCACTTGTTTCAAGTCCATGTTTCATAATCAAATTACGTTTGAACTTTCCACAAATACAGAGACTCTTAGTGAGGTCTGCCTCAAGCAGTTTGCCAGGCCGAAAGATTTTTCCAGGAACACTGATTGACAGGATGCTCCTCAGATCCTGCTATGAGTAGTCTGCTGCTATGCCAAGAGTCACACCAATCCTGATTCCCAGTGCTCTCTTAGTCGTAAGGAAAACATTCACTGCAGAACAAAGGCCACCATTGCAGTACCAGCAGACCGCGCCACCACATTTCTGGCAACTCCCAACACCACCCACTAATATGATGTTGTTTACGGGTGCATCATAGTAGCCATGTGCAGAAAACACCCATCAATATACTCTGGTGGCCTAATGGGCCCTAACCCAGTTCTCACATGGCATATAACCAGGCAGCCAGGAAAGTATCAGTGCTACTCCTTGCGCAAACTACCACAGTGCGGCAGGTAGGAGGCCGGCACGAAGAACTCCAGTTTTGCAGGAGAAAAGTATGAGACTCGCTGCCCAAACCACAGAGTTGCCCCACAACTGGGCAGATGTTCCATTTATATAATCACAGAAGTGTAGAGTTGGAATGCGTTTCTGGTTCTTCGAGGAGGAAAGCAATTTTTCTCCACTGGATTTTCCATAGGATCGAGTTGCCAGATCTTCCAGACCAAAAAAGAGGGCGGGGAGTCTTGGCGGGGGGGGGGGGGGGTCTGGCGGAGCCTGGCTCAGCAGGGCAGCTGCCGGCTCGTCGCGCTTCTCCGCCGAGGGTCCCCCGAGGGGCAAGAGGCAAGGCGCTCCGAGGCCGCCTCGGCTCTGGGCTGGCGCTGCTGGGCTGAGCCTGCCTCGCCCCGGCCGGGGAGCCCCTTCCGCGCAGTCCAGCGAGCGAGCGCGTGCGCGCAGACCCCCCCCCCGACGCAGGGCGGGACAGAGAGTTTGATGGCGGGGGCGGGGAGCTCTCTCTTCCTTTTGGCAGGGAGGGCTGGGGCTGCTTCCTGCGCCCCCTCCCCCGGGCTGAGCTCCGGGCATCGCGACCCCCCCCCGGCGGCGCGGCCTCCAAGCCAGGCTCCTGGCTGCGGAGGAGACGCGGCCTCGCTGCCCCCGGGCCGCCCCTTCCCCCAAGGGCGCGGGAGGCTCGGCCCACGGCCCCCGCTTTGCCGAGCCCCGCTGCTCCCCCGCCGCTCGCCGCCCCCCAGGAGGAAGAGGCGAGCCAAGGAGCCCGGAAGGGAAGCCGGGATGGGGCCCTGTCTCGGGTGATGGGGGGGGGCTGCGCTCCCGCTGTCACCACGATGCTGCCAAGCAAACCCAGACATTTTGCAAAAATCAGAAAAAGCCGCCAGGATGTCGATTTCACACCCGGAATCCACCCCTCCCGTGTCCGGGAAATTCCGGACACATGGCAACACAGCCATGTATGATGGTGTGCTATTATGTGCCACAGTGTCTGTCAAAATCCTATCCTTGATTGTAGCTGTGAGGACAGTAATCTGGGGCTCTTCATTTACTCTCATTGGAATGTTTCAACTTGCAGGCTACCTTCCTGTTGGGGGGCAGAACTTGCTCCTGCGTGGGATGTCCTCCCCCCTCCCCTCCGCCCGTCTCCTGCCTTAGCAAATCCAGGTTGTCAGGGCTGTGCAGTGGCTGCTTCTCACCCACACGAGGATATTCCTCTAGCAGTGTAGCTTCTCCACCAGTCTAGTGCTGCACCCCATTGGCGCAAGGTTTCATTTTGAACAACCCTGTTCCACCCAGCAGACATAAAATGAGGACAATGAGCTATGACAAAGAGGACAATGAGTTGGGGGGTGGGTTGCACAAACATATACACAATTTAACAGAAAAAGTTACTCAAGGTCTATTTGAGTAAAACTTAGTTGACTACCCATTTTCTATTGTTCAGCATTCAGCCGGTGTTGCTTTATTATATATCCTTGTTTGAATATTCATTTTATGCTTCATATTAAAAAGACTAGTTCAGACCCAAGATACATTGGATAATCACAAACATTTGGATCTCTTTTCTGAGGAGGAGTGTGTGGGCCTAGAATGTGGGGTTTTTGTAATTTATTCTGTCTTTACAAAATCTTTTTTTTTGGTCATTTTTTAGTTTACTGACCTGTTTGCATTTTGTATATCTGTATTTCTAATGCTCTGTATTTTGGTGTTTTGAATGTTTTCTGTAAACTTCTTCAGGCACAGCTCATTGTGGAAAAGTGGCATTTAAATAAACTCAATTAATCAACATTTGAATAAATTGTTTTCAAAGTCTCTTATAAATATTACCTTTAAGCTGAGGAAAATTGCACAAGGAACCATGACTTTAGACAATAGCTTTTGAAATTATTAAGTACTGTTATAGACAGGATAAACCTATAAATTAATAAATGCTAGGATTTTGGTTCCCCTTCATGGATCACTGCCTTGCCGTGGTGAAGGGGCTTGAATAACTCAGAGAAGCTATGAGCTATGCCGTGCAGGGCGTCCCAAGATGGACAGGTCATAGTGGAGAGTTCTGACCAAACGTGATCCACCTGGAGCAGGAACCGGCAAGCCACTCCAGTATCCCTGCCAAGAAAACTCCATGGACAAAGACAACAGGCATATAAAAGTTATGACGCTGGAAGATGAGCCCCTCAGGTCGGAAGGCGTCCAACATGCTACTGAGGAAGAGCGGAGGACAAGTACAAGTAGATTCAGAGCTGATGAAGCGGCTGGGCCAAAGCCGAAAGGACACTCAGTTGCAGATATGCCTGGAAGCGAAAGGAAAGTCCAATGCTGTAAAGAAAAATATTGCATAGGAACCTGGAATGCAAGAACCATGAACCTTGGTAAGCTGGATGTGGTCAAAAATGAGATGGCAAGAATAAATATTGACATCCTGGATATCAGTGAACTAAAATGGACAGGAATGGGCGAATTTAGTTCGGATGACCATCATATCTACTACTGTGGGCAAGAATCCTGTAAAATAAATGGAGTGGCCCTCATAGTCAACGAAAGAGTGGCGAAAGCTATACTGGGATACAATCTCAAAAATGATAGAATGATCCCAATACAAATCCAAGGCAGACCTTTTAACATCACAGTAATCCAAGTTTATGCACCAACTACTGGTGCTGAAGAAACTGAAATTGACCAATTCTATGAAGACTTACAACACCTTCTAGAAATGACACCAAAGAAGGATGTGCTTCTCATTGTAGAGGATTGGAATGCTAAAGTAGGGAATCAAGAGATAAAAGGAACAACTGGCAAGTTTGGCCTTGGAGATCAAAACGAAGCAGGGCAAAGGCTAATAGAGTTCTGCCAAGAGAACAAGCTAGTCATCACAAACACTCTTTTCCAACAACACAAGAAACGACTACACATGGACATCACCAGATAGGCAGCATCAAAATCAGATTGATTATATTCTCTGCAGCCAAAGTTGGAGAAGCTCTATACAGTCCGCAAAAACAAGACCTGGTGCTGACTGTGGCTCAGATCATCAGCTTCTTATAGCAAAATTCAAGCTTAAACTGAGGAAAGTAGGAAAAACCACTGGGCCGGTAAGATACAATCTAAATCAAATCCCTTATGAATACACAGTGGAAGTGAGGAACAGGTTTAAGGATGTAGATTTGGTGGACAGAGTGCCTGAAGAACTATGGATGGAGGCTCGTAACATTATACAAGAGGCAGCAACTAAAACCATCCCAACAAAAAGGAAATGCAAGAAAGCAAAGTGGCTGTCCAACGAGGCCTTACAAATAGCGGGGGAGAGAAGGCAAGCAAAATGTGAGGGAGATAGTGAAAGATAGAGGAAATTGAATGCAGATTTCCAAAAAATAGCAAGGAGAGACAAGAAGGCCTTCTTAAATGAGCAATGCAAAGAAATAGAGGAAAACAATAGAATGGGAAAAACCAGAGATCTGTTCAAGAAAATTGGAGGTATGAAAGGAACATTTCGTACAAAGATTACCATAATAAAGGACAAAAGTGGTAAGGACCTAACAGAAGCAGAAGGCATCATGAAGAGGTGGCAAGAATACACAGAGGAATTATACCAGAAAGATATGGATGGCTCGTACCATGTATGATATGGTAGTGTGGTTGCAGACATCCTGGAGAATGAAGTCAAATGGGCCTTAGAAAGCACTGCTAATAGCAAGAGCACTCGAAGGGTTGAGGGAGCTGGGTTTGTTTAGCCTGTGAAAGAGGAGACTGAGAGGAGAAGTGAGAGCCATCTTCAAATATCTGAAGGGCTGTCACATGGGAAATGGAACAAGCTTGTTTTCTCCTGCTCTAGAGGGTAAGACCTGAAGCAATGGATTTAAATTACAAGAAAGGAGATTCAGACTAAAGATCATTAAGAGCTATTTGACCATGGAACAGACTCCCTCAGAAGGTGGCAGAGGCAGACTCTCCTTCCTTGGAGGTTTAGAAGCAGATATTAAATGGCCATCTGTCAAGGTTGCTTTAGCTGAGATTGCATTGCAGGGAGTTGGACTAGATGACCTTCAGGATCCCTATGATTCTATTATTTTACATAAAAAGGTAAAGGACCCCTGACAGTTAAGTCCAGTCGCGAATGACTCTGGGGTTGCGGCGCTCACCTCACTTTACTGGCCGAGGAAGCCGACGTTTGTCCACAGTTTTTCCGGGTCATGTGGCCAGCATGACTAAGCTGCTTCTGGTGAACCAGAGCAGCACACGGAAATGCTGTTTACCTTCCCGCCGGAGTGGTACCTAATTTATCTACTTGCACTTTGACGTGCTTTTGAACTGCTAGGTTGGCAGGAGCAGGGACTGAGCAATGGGAGCTCACCCCATCGCAGGGATTCGAACCGCGACCTTCCGACCGGCAACCCCAAGGCTCAGTGGTTTAGACCACAGCGCCACCCACGACCCAATTATTTTACATACATCACATTAAAAAGTATAAATTATCCATGTTTTCAGTTCCCAGTGGCAGAAATGAAAACTGCACACAAAAAGGGGACAAAACATGGCTGGATTATGTTATATTCTACAGTATCTCACCGCAATATCTCAGTATCTCTCATATTCCAAGTCTGTGTGACTACAAACTGTGAACTGCCCCAAGATTAGAATTTGGCAGGGTCACAGCAGTAAATAAAACAGGAATGAAACATATAACTTCTTCAGTGGATGAAACTCCTCAGTTTTGAATTAATTTGTACCTTGTAACATGGCAGTGTGCACCCTGGCACAATAAAGGATTCAGGAGTGAAAACAGAATTATGTCTGCAGACAGACTATAATTTTAAAAGATTGCAATGTGGAATGCTAAAGCAATACCACCCAGTTTGTCTCACTATTGCTTCTGATCAATCTGGCAATGCAATTTCCAGAGTTCCACATAATTCCAGAGATAATAGTGGGATGAGAGCAACAAACACTTTCCTGCCTGCTTCAGCTCTTGTAATCAACGATTTCTCCGTTTCCACCATCGGACTCCCGTTAGCCATTGCTGGAGATGTATGCTGACCACCCTGACATAAGCAAAGCCCTGTATGCAGAACAGCAATTTAATCTATTTTTTATTTAAGCAGAAGTCAGTTGACCGATGACACCATACTGGACACTGTCTGAAATGGAAAACATGGACCTATGCTTTCCCCTTTTTTATATTCTCAGCTTTGCTTTTATTCTTTTATTCTCTGTAGAGTTATTTTTATGTACGCTAATGATTTAGTCACATATAAATGCCATATATATATGGTGGGGCAATAAATTGTTCCTTCTTGAGCCCACTGGGACGTGGCTAATCTTTCTGAGCTCTCAGTGTCAGCAGAGTGAATATATTTGTTTGCCATGTTGGGAGCCCCAGGCACCATTCCCCTGGGGAGCTTGCAGCCAGGGCTGCTGCAACAAACAGCTGTGCAAGCCTTTGGGAGGCAGACGCGTGAGAGTGCGAGGGCATCGGAGGAGGAAGGAGAAAGGGACAGAGGCCAGTGTTGCACGCAGCACCCGACCAGTATTCAAGGCAGCCCAGGGTGCCACAGCACACTGACCTAGTAGCTTACTCCATTGAAGGTGGGTTTAGGATTGCAGCCTGCGTGTTAGCATATATGCTGCCCTCTGGTGTTCACATAGAACATTAACTTTGCCCACTGTTCAGGGCCCCCCTTCAAGAAATAGTACAGTCGTACCTCGGGGTACATACGCTTCAGGTTACAGACTCCGCTAACCCAGAAATAGTGCTTCAGGTTAAGAACTTTGTTTCAGGATGAAAACAGAAACCGTGCTCCGGCAGTGCGGCGGCAGCAGGAGGCCCCATTAGCTAAAGTGGTGCTTCAGGTTAAGAACAGTTTCAGGTTAAGAAAGGACCTCCGGAACGAATTAAGTACTTAACCCGAGGTACCACTGTATCTGTAAGCAAATTTAAAGTGGAAAAAACCCACATTCAGTAGCAGAATATGGGGGTGGGGGTGTTCCTGCAAGCATTAGCTAACGCTTATCTATATTGCTGTGAAAAGCTGATTTTGGCTGATCTAGTGGTAGACAGAGAAGAAGCAATGAATTCAAATAGCAGAAGAGCAGATTTAGGTAGGATATCAGGAATTGCAGACCAATGAATCAAAATGTCCAGAGAAAGTATCTGTACCAAGAATTTGAGCAGATGATTATGTTTAAAACATACAGAAACAGCAATAAACCGTTTAGAAAATCCAAATATGATTTGTTTTAATCTAATTACAAAATACATTGAAGCAGCTGTAGGCTATAGTCTTCAAGTGACTAAACAATGTTTTTAAAGGGGGAAATGTTATCTAAATTGTGCTTGGGTTTATTTTTTCAAAATTAATTGTTACAGCAAATGATGACGCAATATTTCCCATAAGAAAACCCTCATGGCAGAGCTATATGCTATTAATGTGGGACTGCTGCTAAAATGGGATACTCGTCCATAATTAACATCACTGTACTGCGTGTTGCACTGGCCCTAGCGCACAATGCAATGAGATCACAAGGAACATGGCAGGGAGTCCCCATTCTTAGCAGAGGCCCCGTGTTTCTTTTAACATCTTGCTCTGCCCCATTTTGACTGAAGCCTGGTCTAAGTGTTACACTTAGCACTTTGTGTGAGAAGCAAAATGGAAAATGGTTTGCTCTGAAAGCCTCTTGTGTGCTGTGTGGCATCTTGTCTCCAATCACACAGATATTTGTATTGATTTTTTACTGTGTGTGGAAATACAGTCAGACACAGACAGTATTTAAACTAAGTTCTGCCTTCTGTTTCTGTAATGTCTAACATCACCACTCTTTTTGGGCAGACTGATTACCCCCTTCCTGCATGTCATATTCTCAACAACCATTCAGAGAAAGAGGTTGTCAGTCTGGTCAGTTTGGCTGCTGCACAGACTGCTCTGGCTAAATGTAAATGTTGCCCTTATTATGCAAGTGGGATAGAATGCCAAACTATCACAGACTTCTTGTTGCAGAAAGCAGGGGATTCGATATGCAACCAACACATGATACACACTGCAAACAAGCAAAGATACCACATGAGAACTCCATTCGTGAGGGAACTGAAACATTTAAACTTGACCTTGTAGGAAAGATAACATGTTCTCTGCTGTGACAAATCCAGTCCATCTATAAAGCTTCCAAATTTACCACTAATGTACTTCTTCATGTTTTTCCTCTGTCACATGTTCGCATACATGCCATTGATCAAGTAGTCTAGCTTAGTGTAACGCCTTCTCTGAAGGGATTCAAGCATCTTTCTACCTACCAGCACTGTAACGCAGAGAAAGAAGACCACCCCCAAAAGCAATGCAGCTGTAAGTATGCTTTTGTCACCAAAGTGAGGGGAAAGTACCTTGCTTGGCTCTCCATTAAGCATATCGCCTTTCAAGCCTTGTTGCCCATTGCCAAGATGGACATCATGTAAAGAAGCAGAAGAAATCTTCATAAGCAGTGGGCTGAGGCTACGAGCACTAGATCCAGCAGTGGTAGATGGCTTGGGAACAGTGGTACTTCTTCTTAGATTTGTAGTTGCCCAGGGTGCATTCTTATGATAAGCTGTAATAGACCTAGTGGTTGTTGCCTTTCTAGGAGACACGTGAGGAATTATAGTACCTGGCTGGGTGCCATTGGTAATAGCAGGTGACTTAACTGTGGGCTGCGCAGTGGGAATACCAGGCTCAATAGCATTTGGAGTACTTGGGGACAACAAACTCTTGAGTTCAGGCATTGTTGAAGAACCCAAGCTCTTTGAACCATTTGCCCCTCTGCTTTGTGGATGCTGGGAGTGTCCATCCATCTCATCTATGTGTTTATCATCTAAGTGGTTCAATATTTCCACACTCTTTGAGGGATTTGGCTTTTGCAAAGGACCTGACCCATGCAGCGGGCTTGTTGGGATGTGAGGATTGAACACAGCAGCCAGTGCAGACACAGACTTCCCATTCACACTTGGGTGGGAGAGCTGAACTGAAGAAGGAGTTGGCATGGGAACCTTTGCATCTAAAAAGGAAGAAAGGAGGTATATTATTATTTGTTAATACTCTCAACAAGCAAGTCCCCACACAAATACAAATTAAGGGTGAAGAGCCCTTAATTTATTTCAGAATCACTATCCTGCACCCCAGTAGAGGAGACTCGCATTCTGATTCTGCTTACAAAGAACCCTAGAGATTGCAGATTCTGCAGGAATGTTGGGAATTATTATTATTATTATTATTATTATTATTATTACTCAGAATCCTATACAGAACTACAATTTCCAGAATCCCTTGCTGGGGAACCATTACTGTCAAAAAGTTCAAAACTGGCTCACATGTATAGTTTAGACATGCCTTCAGTTCAATGGGATTTGCCTCCTGGTAGGGCTACAATCCCATGCACACTTGCTTGCGAGTAAGCCTTATTAAATTTGGTGGAAGTTACTTAAGAGTAAACTTTCCTAGGATCAAGTATGCTTAGATGCTCTAACACAACACTACAATGCACAAACTGTACAATCGGTGGAACATCCCTATTGGTATGGTGAAGCTGTGTTGTCTGCAAATGGTCTGGCTAAAACAAGAACACACCACAACACTTACTTGATCTTAGAATCATATAACTGTAGGTTTTGGAGGGATCCCAAGGATCATTTAGTTGAACCCCCTACAGTGCAGAAATCACAGCTAAAGAATCTTTGACAGATTCAGTTTAACAGATTGCAATACATAATAAAATCAAAATTTATCATAATATCAACATAACCCTGTTTAGGGAAGTTTTAATATTTGAAGTTTTATTCTGTTTTTAGTGTTCTGCTGGGAGCAGCCCAGAGTAGCTGGGGAAACCCAGCCAGATGGGTGCAGTATAGATAATGAAGTAGTGGTGGTGGTGGTGGTAATAATAATAATAATAATAATAATAATAATAATAATAATTTTTATTATTTATACCCCTCCCATCTGGCTGGGTTTCCCCAGCCACCCTGGGCAACTTACAGCATATCTGAAAATATAATACAGTGGTGCCCCGCAAGACGAATGCCTCGCAAGACGGAAAAACCGCTAGACGAAAGGGTTTTCCGTTTTGAAGTTGCTTCGCAGGACGAATTCCCTATGGGCTTGCTTCGCAAGACGAAAATACCTTGCGAGTCTTGAGATTTTTTTCGCTTTCCCCCTTTATCTAATCTGCTAAGCCTTTAATAGCCTTTAATAGCCTTTTAGCAGCTAATCCCCTAAGCCTTTAAGCCTTTAATAGCCGCTAAACCGCTAATAGCGCTAATAGCGCTAATCCGTCAATGGGCTTGCTTCGCAAGACGAAAAAACCGCTAGACGAAGACTCTCGCGGAACGGATTAATTTCGTCTTGCGAGGCACCACTGTAAAAACATCAAACATTAAAAACTTCCCTAAACAGGGCTCCCTTCAGAGGTCTTCTAAAAGTCAGATAGTTGTTTATTTCCTTGACGTCTGATGGGAGGGTGTTCCACAGGGTGGGTGCCACTACCAAGAAGGCCCTCTGCATGGTTCCCTGTAACCTCACATCTCGCAGTGAGGGAACCTCCAGAAGACCCTTGGCGCTGGACCTCAGTGTCCGGGCTGAACAATGGGGGTGTAGACGCTCCTTCAGGTATATTGGGCTGAGGCCATTTAGGGCTTTAAAGGTCAGCACCAGCACTTTGAATAAAACAGTCAATAATAAAACAGCAACATGAAGCAAGAAAATCTTCCACTATCAATCAACACTTTTTCTTTTTAAAAATCATTGTTTACCTTTTATCATTCGGTAGGTCACCAATCCTGACACTTGTCTCACCAGGAAGGTTTCATTAGTGGGATAATAGAACAGGTAGCAATTTGTGTAATTTCCTTTGCTCCTGGTATTAAAGACCACATAGTTGCACTTCTTGCTGTCTGGAAAACACACACACAAACACACAACCTTAATATACTGTAACACTGGAGAGACTTTATATCTGATATATTTATAAGACATCTCAATCTAGAGTGGAATAGTCCTCAATATTCCACCTTGCTGGCTTAGTTCCCACTTGGGCAGGAAACCTGTTACTGGGCTGTACCATTCCAGAGTTCGTTCGTTCATGTGTGTGTGGGGGTGTAACTAGCTAGCTAGTCAGCGTTATTATTAGCCTAGCTTTCTACCCGATAGGCTAGTTTCTATATGAAGGAGAATTATTTTTTTCATATGGTGGAGCTCCCCTCATTCTGAAGTGGTATAGCCCAGTCATGACGTCACACTCACTATGAGAAGAATTCCAGACCTTTGTCAGGCTCCAGAAGTGCCAGAGTTTAGGGCAGCCCAATGTTAGTTGGAGATTCAGAGTTGCATCCAGCCCAATTCAATTCAGTGTAGACCCACTGAAATTAATGAAACTAAGTTTGTCATGGCCCTTAATTTTGATGGGTCTACTCTGAGTAGGACTAGCAATGGGTACCACTCTCATTCTCCTCCCCAGTGCCCTCTCTGAACTTGACAGGGCAGACTCTGGTCTTTCAAATTTCAGTGGTGCTCTGTGCAAACCCCAAATTTGGTGCCCCCTGCCTCTCGCCTTCCATTCTGTGCACTATGTCATGGTTGCAGTATCCTGCAGAGCCCCCCTTGGCTCGGTGCTGCCCCAAATCTGCCTCTGGGCGGAGAGGCTGAAAAAACTCAGAGGAACTGGTTCGTTAACCTTTCAACTTATTTTGTGACATTTTTATCCCACCCTCCTTCTGGAGTACCAGGCAACCTCTGCTTTTTCTCCCATTCTGTACACTCATATACCCTGTGAGGTAGATTAGGTTGAAAAACCACACCAGCAGCCGGCTGTGTCCCATACTGAGAAGGAAAAGACTCAACTGTTACTAGCTATGCACTCACCAATCCATTCCTGCATTGCAGGGGACTGGACTAGATGACAATCACAAATTGTGGGCGTCACAATTTAATGATGTCAACAAGCTGGAACGTGTGCAGAGGAGGGCAACCAAGATAATCAAAGGTCTGGAAACCAAGCCTTGAGGGAGCTGGTATGGTTAGCCTGGAAAAGAGGAGACTGAGAGGAGATATGATAGCCATCTTCAAATATCTTAAGGGCTTTCACATGGAAGAGGGAGCATGCTTGTTTTCTCCTGCTCTGGAGGGTAGGACCAATGGCCTCAAGTAACAAGAAAAGAGATTCTGACTAAACATTTGGAAACCTTTCTGACAGGTTTGGCAGTGGAACACTCCCATTAGAGATGGTGGACTCTCCTTCCTGGGAGATTTTTAAGCAGAGCTTGGATGACTATCTGTCATGGATGCTTTAGTTGAGAGTCTTGCATTGAAGGGGGTTGGACCAGAGGACCCTTGGGTCCCTTCCAACTCCATAATTCTATTATTCTATGATTCATCCTAGTCAGCAGCTGTGAACTTGGCTTTCTAAAAGCAGCATGAATATGAACTCTGGGAGCATCTGCTCCCCATGTGTGCAAGACGTAGCTGCTTTGAAAAGGCTAGGTGGTGAGACTACCAGCCAAGATGAGGATTAGAGTGGGCAGGTCTCCTGAGTCTTAAACCTGAGACTGAGGGGACAAAGCCTGGCAGAAAAGGAGTGAAACATTAGGGTCAGGAAGTGGGGAGTAGCTCCAGGGCAGGGGGGCTCAGGGTGCGTTCTGGTAAGCATCATGGAAGAACTATTAGAGGGGGCAGATTAAAGCAAGACTCTAAGCCCTCTTATTGAATATACTCAACATTAAATTTTCTGTACTTCATGATTTCCAGAACTATAGATGCTCTTGACATATAGCTGCACGTGGCTGGAAACATGGGACTGAAGGAGGGGTGGGGAGAAGTCACATTTGGAGAGGGGATTAGAAGGAAAGCACTAGCCATATCTGAGCTCCCACAATTGATTGCAAGCTCCAACTCAGTCCATCCCAGCTCATTTCAAGTGCAGTCAAGTGACACATCTATATGATAAACATAGACTGATTTTATGCCAACTATAGCTGTCATGGATCCCCATACTCACCCCTCCCTCCATTCTGGGAACTGTAGTTTGGTGTAAGTGCTGAGAACTCTATAATTCACACACACACACACACACACACACACACACACACACACAGGACAATAGTTCTCAGGGTTTCCTAGAGTGGGGAAATGACTGGCTGTCAAACCAATTTAAGCCTGTAATGTAGATGCACCTAAAGAGCACCGTTTTTACCTGCACCCAAGCAGCAGACATCAACACAGGCTTCCCAAGATGAAGCATGGAGTGGATCTTGCCCCCGGATGCCTTTGGAAAAGGCTGCTTTGATGTCAATAGTGATGTTCTCCATCTTCTCCGTGGAACACACTTGATTTTGGGATGGCTTTGGCAAGGTATAAAAGGCCATGGCAAAGAGGCAAGCAGAGCACCATGCAATCCGGATGGACATCTCTTTCCCTTAGCTGTGACAGACTCCTTACAGTTCTTTTGTTACCATCAGGGTGAGTAAAACTCAGGGTACAGCAATTTTAAGAAAGCTGTGGTGTTTGCATTTGTTCTAGTGAAAAAATGATGAGATAATATCTTACTGTTTAATGCCACAAACAAAAATAAATTCTCATTTCCATTAATATTCACGTATAATTAATTTTTCAAACCAATTAAAAGGAAATTTGTTGGCATCCATCTGTCTTGAAAGACAACAGAGTGTGCCTCCAGGGGTGAAGTCAAACGGCTGTGTTAGCAGCACCCAAGTGACCTCCCCAGGGCGCCAGGCTGGGCAGTGAGTGTGGAGGTCCTGGCCAGGTGACACCACCCTCTCAGTCTCACTGATGTGGTCCAAAGCAAAGCAAAGCAATTGGGTTGGCACCAGGTTGGCTGCAGGAGTTGCCAAAAGGAGGACTTACTCCTTAGCCTTTCCTTCTCCCAAAGATATCCCACAAGACAGTGAATGTTTAAGGTCAGAGTTTTCCTTCTCTTAGGTGGGCTACCTTTTCAGGTGGATGCTCCTCACTTCCCTCTACAGCATGTGCAGAAACCGCCTTCTTGATGGTTAGATCCACTATTGGTCTCGTCTGCTCAATCCGCCAGAGCCGGTCTTCCCATGCAGGGGAAGTTCCTAACTCACTGAGGGTTTGAGACCCGTTGGCTACCCTCACCTGGTTTAGCTGGCCAGTTGAAGCTATTCCCAGAGTGTGGCCGTTGTTGCATGCTGACAGCTTCTAGGAGCCACAGGTGAGAGCTGAGTGCAGGGTGAGGACTCCAGAAGGAGCATGACATGTCCCCCACCAGACGCACAACACTTCCCTTTGCACCCCATACAGCCCTGAAAGCAGGTATCTGAACTAAAACAACCAAATTAATGTTAAGAGTAGAAAAAGGATGCACACAGGTCAATGTGCTGCTGGATAAAATCAAAGGCCCATTGAGTCCAGCACCCTGCTCTCAAGGTGGTCAGACGCTTATGAGGCCTCAAGTGCAATAGCAGCCGTCTCCTCACTTGTGATTCTAAGCAACTGCTATGCAGAGGAATACTGCCTCTGACACTGGAGACAGAACATCACCCTCAGGTTTTGTAGCCATTGGTAGCCTTGTGCTCCATTAATTTCTCTAATCTTCTTTTAAAGGCACCCCAAGTTGATGGCCATCATATCCTTTGGGAGTGAATTCCACAGCTCAACTATGCATTGTGTGCAGTAGTACTTTGCTTTTCATGTAGCTCATGAAAAACCACAGGCTTCATTTGTTGCAAATCAAGAGGTATACATTAACTTCTCAGAGATCTGCTTTTTGGGGGGTTTTATGCAAGACATTCATACTCTCAAACCAGTACTTTATTCGGGACATTGAACGTACAAAAAAGGGAGAACCCCATATGCATGCAAGTTTCCACATGCCTCAACACCGCACTTAAAGGGCGCAGAACCTCTGCACTTCCCTCTAAGCGAACAACACTCACACCACAGTGATCTGTGGCTAAGAAAGAAGCTGTGTTGGCTCAAAGAGTCTGGCACATGGAATAACAGTGTAATCCTATGAATGTCTCTTACAGGGCTCGGGAACAGATGAACAATTTGGAACTGTCCTCATATCATTTCCCTAGGTATAGTTACATTTGTAATCTCTTATTTATTGCACCTGATGTACATCTAACATATGGTTGAAAACATGATGAGCATATTTGTTTAAGGCTTAAGAAAAAAGGCAAATTAAACACATTCTCTTTCCCATGCCACTTTTTTCTTTTCTGGGTACACAACATAGATATGAACCACTAGTCTTTCAAAAAAATTACTATCATCCTTACAATGAGTGCAGGGATGAAAAAGGAGGGGAAGGATAGTGAGAATAGTGAAGGAAAGGGGATATAATGAGGGGCTCTTATCCTCACAGTAGCATAAAACATTTAACTCTTCCAGCTTTGCTTCTGATTGTATTTTAATGTCCTGACACTCTCAGATAACATATTTCAAGATTTCTGAAGTTTTTCTGCATTTGAGACCCACAATTTTACAAGACTATCACAAACTGGAGTCTGCTAGGTCTGGCTCCCACCAGGTTTGTGGCAATTAAATACACTGAGAACTGGCATCCATCTGTCTTGGGAGACAATGGAGGAGTTGCGCCTTTGGGGGTGAAGTCACACTGTTGGAAGGTTACAGAACTTGTTGTGGCTGTAGAGACCAATTTGGGAAAGACATGTTTTGTTGCATTATATTATTAATTTTATTAAACCAAACAAGTTAGCTCAGCATTGGAAGAACCAGACTGAAAAACCCATGAACATATGCGAAAATATTATCTGGGATACAGCAATGTCTGAGCGTCTCACCAGACATAGGAGGACAATTTCAGGCTTAACAAATAGAGACACTTTCCATGGAACGTGGACCCCTTTCTTTTACTAGGTTAATGACCAAAATCAAGATCTCGTACCAACTGCTCAATATTCTCAGTGGAGAGGTTACATAAAGTAATATGTCTGAATGTTGAATGCTGGATAAGTGTTTACTAGTTTTTGGATGTGCATTTGCATTAAAAAAAGCAACAATGATAAAAATTTGTCTTAAAAAAAATTAAACCAAGCAATTACAGCTGATCTTTACCCAGCTGCTCAGTGTCAGATTCTTGCAGGTTTTATTGTAATTTTAGTAGCTCTTGGACATTCTGGAAGGTCTCCTGCTTCATTGAACCAGGACTCCACTGAAGGTCTTGCCTCCTGTCCCATCCATTCTGCTCAGGTGTGAGTCAGGTGGAAGGCATAACAACCACCACCACCACCTCAGGGATGTGTGACTCACACCACATAGGTGGTATTTGCGCAGTCTTCAGAGCACAGGTGGGGCAAGAATGTAAGGATGTGCTTGGGCCCTCTCCTTCCTTCTTTCCTAGACCCGAGGCAGATTTCACCAAAGTAGCTGGATTTCTTGTGAAAATCCACTTTCCCAAAGAGAGCTTGCCAGAAAGGCTTCCTTCAGTTTGTTTATGTACTAAAATACTCTGAATTGCCTTCTTGCCCATGTTACTTTAAGGAGTGCTGTAGGCAGAATACCCAATAAAATGTTATATACATTTAATGTATATCTACGTTATACATTGAAAGGCACAAGCGCAGGGCCAGAGGAAAGAGGTAAAGGGAGAGCTTGAGAGGATTGGGGGAGAAATGCGAGTTGCAATCTTAGGGTGCTTTGGACTACAGTTGCAACTGAAATCATTCAACCCCCATTGCAAATTGGGTTTATTATCAAAATTTACAGACTTTCTGCTATTTGCAATGAGCAAATCAAACAAAAACAATTGAAATAGCTCAACAAAACAGATGGTTCAAGGTGTTTCCCCACTTGAAGCATCCAAAGTCTCTAGGAACATTCAGTACCTTTAATATTTTGTTGTAGCCTGCGCCTTGTTTGTGAAGCAAATTCCTTTGTTCCAGCCTCATACATATTGTCCGGGGGGGGGGGGGTAGAATCCTTATCATAATTTATCATCATCTCCCACGTAGTTCAGGTGAGAGTTCATCTAATGTCTTCATCTAATGCCTTTCTCAACAGCCCGGCATACAGAAATTACCATGTCACTGGGGCGAGTGATGAAGTGATGCAGGCCCAGGTCAGATAAGATGCTTTCATTTATCCTGGATTATATGCAGGTTTATAGTAGAGAATAAACCAGAGTTTCCCAGTTTGAATGTCACAGAAAACTGTGGTTTACCCAAGCTCCTGAAACCTTTCTTATGGACTTGGAGTATGAGAAAAGAAAGGAGAGAACTCCTGGGCACACTTGTACTTGAGCGATTGTTACACTTGATTTAGGCTACATAACATTTATTTGCTTATTTGCTTATTTGATAAGCTTATTTGCTTATTTTTCTACCATCCTCAATCTGCACAATGCTTTACATAATATAGCAGGATAGACCTCTGCACTGAGGAGCTTACAATCTGTAAATCAGCACAAGAGAGACAAAGGAAGAGAAGGTGGGCACTGGAGGTAGGAGTAAATAGGCTTTAAAGATCAGCACCAACACTTTGAATTGTGCTCAGAAACGCACTAGGAGCCACTGAAGATTTTTTGGACCGGTGTTATATGGTCTTGGTGGCCACTCTCAGTCACCAGTCTAGCTGCCGCATTCTGGATTAGTTGTAGTTTCCGGGTCACCTTCAAAGGTAGCCCCACATAGAGTGCATTGCCGTAGTCCAAGCGGGCGATAACTAGAGCATGCACCACTCTGGCAAGGCAGTCTGCGGGCAGGGAGGGTCTCAGCCTGCGTACCAGATGGAGCTGATAAACAGCTGCCCTGAACACAGAATTGACCTGCACCTCCATGGACAGCTGTGAGTCCAGAATGAGTCCCAGGCTGCATACCTGGTCCTTCAGGGGCACAGGACCAGGGAGTCCTCCACACCTGCCCCACCAAAAACTTCTGTCTTGTCAGGATTCAACCTCAATCTGTTAGCCGCCATCCATCCTCCAACTGCCTCCAGACACTCACACAGGTGGGCACAGCTGGGTGAGACCAACTCCACCCTGTTCACCCACCCAGTTTCAGTGATACATGCCAGATCAGCCTCCCCATCCATAATCAGATCATGGATGAGGGAGATTTTATTCTGGGCTGCCCTGGCGCTCAACAGCAGCAGTCACAGACCTGAGGGCTGCCCCAGGTTGGAGGAGGGGCTGGCACACGGCTGTGTGTGCCCCTCACCCAGCCTGCCCCTCACCATACCTCCCCCTACTTAGAACCCCTGTAACTGGGCCTCCCCCACTCTCCCCCGCTCCTCTCCTCCCAGGCACATCCCACCAAGCGCCCTTACAAAACAAGTATCCAAGTCAGATGGAGTTTTAAACTTATTAAAACATTTCTGTACTCCTTTCCCATATTCCTTTCTGGCAGGCCTCATGCACTTTTTAAACAGCTATAGATATGCATTTCCTCAAGACAGAGAGCTCTTTGCTTGCTGAATTTCTGCTTGCCAGGAAGCGAGCTATAACAATACTTAACTATTTTAACAGTAACAATATTTCATAGTTAAGCGGATCCAAAGCTCTGCCAGAAAAGGAAAAGGAAGTGACTCCAGATCCAACCCAACCACTCCATATTATAAAGCAATACTTCCTTCTGGTGGGTCAGATTACTGGGTGTGTCAACAGATTTCTATCACAGGGCAATTCAGCACATACAGCTAAGAAAATAACTTTATATGACTTAAAGGGTGTCTCCATAACAGATAAGATTGTGTTAAATCCACTGAGGGCAAGGGGGCGGGCTGGGATCCACACCCTTCTTATAAAAAATAGCATAATTACCTGATGTGTGAGACAGAGTCACACATTACATTATTATTAATACATCACACTTAATTTTCCTGGGGGAAATGTGGTGGCTGAATAAGCCATTCTAAGAACAATATCCTGTGATTTATATGGCATTTCTCCTAATGCTTGAAGAATCTGAAGGACTAACAAGTTGAGGGAAAAGCCATAAGACATCCTGACAAGACAGTAGCACAGGGGTGCTTCTCACTGGCCAGGAAATGGGTGCGCCATCCATTCCAGATGGCCTTGCACTGAAAAAGCAGGCGCACAGCTGAGGAGACTTCTTGATCCAGGATCATACCCTTTAGCAGCAGCGTTGCATTTTCTGGACAGGAATAGCTTGGCTACAGTGATCCATGCTCCCCCAGTTGCTTCACAGTGTTTACATACGGCTGCCTGTGAAGACGTCCCAGAAGTCGCAACCAATGCAGAATATAACAGGCAGAATGCAAACTGCCACAGCTAGATGGCATCATATTATTCTCAAAGAGCTGTACTAGTTACTAGAGCCCAGTTCCAGGTGGGCATCTTTACCTTGAAACCCTCAATGACTTAAGACCCAAATACCTCTCCCTATTTCAATCTGCCCAGGCTGGCCAAGAATGTCCACAAAGGTCCTTCCCAGAGTTCCTTTGCCAAAGGAGGTGCATTAGGCAGCAACAAAGGAGTGGTGCCCCAGTTGTGTAACACCCTTTTAATTTGCCCAGGCATTTAAAATAGTCATCATCCTATATGTCTGTTCTCCTACATTCAGTGTTTCAGAATTGGTTTTACTTATTTCATTTTTTGTATTATTGCATTTTATTCTGGCATGATTACTTTAGTCATGTCCACTGGGTGCTGCCCTGATATTTGCAAAGATGAAGTGCAGTTCAAAAACATTTTACATAAAATTATTTAACACTAAGAGAACTATAGTTTGTGCCTCTTCTGGAGCTCATTCATTCACTGATGGGCAGGGTTTGTCACTTTCCACTTTTGTACAGTGTCCATGATGTACAGCTTACTTGGAAGAGCATGACTCTCTTAATCTCAGGACCACATTGGGCAAAAGATTTCTGTATTGCAAGTGGTTGGACTAGATGACCCTTGTGGTTCCTTCCAATTCTACAGTTCTCTGATTCTAAGAATCTATTTCTTAAGCACCATTGACTATTATTAATTTGTACTGCATCACACCTCTGACATGAACCAGAACAATGTCTATGAGGGAAGAGAACTGGTCAGTTTGGTTGTAATTAAAGCCCCAGGCAAGAGGTAGCTGTGGTGTGGTAAGAAGTCTTGGGATACAAAGAAGCAGACAAAGAGGCCTGGGTCTCATGAGGGGAAAGGGAGAGCGACCCTCCTAAAATACACAAGCTCACACAGCAATTCCCACCATCCCTGGACACTGGCCATGCTGGTGAGTCTGGAGGTGATAATGCTGGCTGCTTCAGTGCCCTAATTTTAGCCACATTATGCCCTCCCTTACTTTCTAAAAACCAACAGCAGGGGGTGGGGCTGCACAAAAGGTAAGGGCAATCCTTCTCCAGCCCCCTTGCTGCTTGAGGAAAAGGGCCACGGAAACATTAACTGAGCTAAGAACGCTGAAGAAACTCCACAAAGACCGGGAGGGGCCCTATGATGCGCCCAGGGAGAAGGAAGGGCCTTGTCTGGGTCAGGACAAGAGACAGAGTGCTTGAAAAGCAGGGACCAAAGAAAACTGTGGGGAGTGGAAGCACAGAGGAGCCAAGGAAGGAGGGCGGTGGCAAAACCTCATAGATGATGCAGTATTGTGGGCTGTGTTAAACTAGAATCCTATTCTTAACAGACACATGGTTTTTAATTAATATTTTGAGATTATTGTATTTTAATGACGTTATACACGCCCCTGGGCTCTGATGGGAGGAAGGCTGGTATGCAAATACAAATAGTAATCATGGTGATGGAAGGGTGGAAGTTCACTGCCAAGAACAGATGCAGGTGGGAGCACTGGACTACTGCATTCCCCTGCACACACGATAAAGGTGAAGAGGTCCACACATATCCCTTCAGTTTCTATGAAAGCTGGAACCCTGTGCAGTTGGGGTTTCAGTTCCTGTGGAAATTATGTCTACACCCCTGGGCAGAAGCCTATGGACATCCACACTCAATGTGTGGACACTGGGGATAGTGAACAGTGACTCTGTTCACTGCATGAATGGAGATTAATCTGCTTGTTGTGGTTTCTTCTGCCACTGCTGTACGTATTTTGACCTGGCAACCCCAAGAGGGCTACAAGGTCCAAGAAAAGGGGTGGAGGCCCGAATTTGCACATTAAGTTGAGCCAACCAGTTAATGTTTGGATGCAGGCTTCTAGTATTAATAATAGCCTTCTCACTTGCTGTTTTAGGGCAGAGGGCTGTGACTAAAAGACGACTGAGTGGAGTAGAAGCCTGAGCCCAGGCACAAATATAAAGTTCTGTTAGCTGACTTGCTTGGAGTTTTGGTGTCCCCAGAATGGGCTATCAGAACTACACAGGGGGAAACTGTGGTCCAGAGCAGAGATGGAGACCTCCAGGCGCTCTAGAGGCTGTTCGACTTCGGCTCCCCTTGACCCTTGCCACTGGCCATGTGGGCAGGGCCGCCCCGGCCCCCGAGGGCCACCGATGCCCCATCCCTGACTTCGAGGAAACGGCGGCATCTGCCAAAGGCAGCACGAAGAGGACACGCCTCGTTCCTGGGCCTCTTGCGCTGCAGGTTGCAGGTCAGACTGCCAATCCGTTTTCTCCACCAGGAATCCTAGAGATCCTTTGGAATCCGGATCTTTCTTCTCTTGTTCCGAGGAGCAGTGAGGCCGAGTCCGAGCCCAAGCTCGAGTCTGCGACCCCACGCGCTCCCACGGCCACGAAGGCCACGAAGCCCTCCGCTCAATTCTGCTCCGCTTTGGGGGGCTTACCTGGCACGGCGGCCGGCGCGCTCTCCCTCCGACGAAGTGGGCCGGCTTCCTCGACCGCTGCGTGGGAAGAACTCCTCGGCTGTGTCTCCGCCTGCGAGTCGAGGGAGGAGTTCGTGGCCGGGGCGAGCGGCGGCGGAGAAGGAAGAGCTGCGCCCCGAGCAGACGGCGCCTTCGCTCAGAAACAGGAGACAAAGTTTCTTCAGAGGGAATGATTTCCACGAGCGAGCCTGCATGTACTCTGATGGGATTTACGGCCAATTGCCTTTACAGCTGCGGCTCCAGGAACGTCTCCTTGAAGCAAGCGCCGCGGAGCTCCCCGGGGTTGCATCGCCGCGCCATCTGGCCGGGAGCCCGCGCCCTCCGCTCCGCCTCCCGGCCTGGGCGAGGCTGACCCGGGAACCGAAACAGGCTGGTTGCTGGGAAGGCGGAAGCGGCGCTGCCTTTGCCCGGGGAGCCTGCGCCTCGCAAGCGCAGCGCTTCCTGCTCCGCCGGGGATTCTCTCGCCATGGGGGCCGAGCAGAGCGCCGAGGCGGAAAACCGGCATCCCGAGCCCAGCACTTCAGGTGGGGCTCCCTTCCCTTCCCTTCCCTTTCGGGGGCTCTTTAAAACGGAGCCCGCGCGCCCGAGCTGCGCCTCTCCAGGCTGCTTCTCAGGAACGCTCCGCGGGGCAAACCGGGGAAAGGCTCGCCTTCGGGGACGCGTCTCATCTGCTCGCACGCTCCCAGCCAGTGAGCCGCATCCCGTCAGCTAACTTTGTGGGCACCGGTGAAACAAACTTGTGAAACTCACGTTTTTAAAATTACTTGCTACGAACGAACGAACGGATCAGGCGGAGAGGAAAAGGTGTCTGTTCTAGGAGCCTTGCCCCCAATCTTCAAAAATGGCATCCCTGATCTGCAGCCTGAACTGGTACTCTCTCCTCTGCTATCTGCCAGCCCGATCACGTTTCATTCTGCTTACATGTGCAGACTGAGCACCATTTTTTATTTCAGCCTTTTGCAGAACTTTCCTCTAATTCAGGGGTCTGCAACCTTTAAGACAAAAAGAGCCACTTGGACCCGTTTCCGAAGAAAAAAACACCTGGGAGCCGCAAAACTGGGAAGGTGACGTCGGGACGGTGCGTGACTAACGCACGCACCGCCCCCATGTGACGTCACAGCCAGTACAGCACCCGCCACAGTGGGGAGTGTTGGGGCGCACAATGCGCCTCCTCCCCTCGCTAGTATCCGCCCCGGAGCCGCGGCAAAGGTGTAAAAGAGCCACGTGCGGCTCCGGGGCCGCGGGTTGCAGACCCTGCTCTAATTTGTCATTCTCTTTATCTTAGCTGAGTTGGCCAGGAAGAGCAAGATAAAATGCCACATTCAGGGCCCAGTCCCATCTCAGGGTCTACTTTACAACGGACACAGTTCATACATACATTTGCAAGTGACACTTTCTGCAAAGTGATGGGCGTGCATGTAAGAATTGGACCTTGGCCTCCCAAAATAGAAGTTACTAGAACTAGAGACAAGAACAGAAAATGTGCAATCTAATAAGAAATATAATTTTACAAGTATTATAGTGAGAAATGTATACAGGCAACTCCTGATTTAGGCGCCTCCAAATGATGCATGACGTGCCCACCACCGAACCTGGAAGTCTCCCCGAAACATCATAGAGATGTCATGAAAAGGGGCAGAGGGGGCTCCAGAACAGAACTCCTGCGCAAAATGATGATGATTGCTTGTAATTCGCTCAGCGGCCTGTTTTGTGAAATCATGGTCTAAAATGGATTTTTGCCTGTCTCAAGCAAGCTAGTGTACATGGCTAATTCGTGCCCAAATCCCTGCTCCTTGTGCCACAGGGAAGAGGCAACAACCAACACACTGACTTTGTGTTACATGCAAACCACAAGTGGTAAGCCAAGGTCTGTTCTTGTGGTTTGTTTGGGAGAAGTGCGTGTAGCATTAAGTCAGGGGTCTGATTGCTCCCTCTCTGTGGCATAGGGAGAAGGGGGTGCGGGTGAATGAACACGGTGCACTGGCATGTTTCACATTTACAATAAACTGTGGTCTGCTTTAGACTATGGATTCAAATTATGTGCAAACCAGGCCAATGAACCTTTCTATCACAATAATTGAGTGTGTGGGTGTTTTACGACAACACACTGTTAAGTCATTCTTTTTTGCTGGTACCAGATGAAGGGTAATCCTAGGTGTGCTTTGTGCTTCCTTATACTTGACTGGATATTTTCCCCAGCATCTCCTTCACCAGCCAAGCAGCGAGCTAAAATGGATGATATTGTGGTGGTGGCACAAGGGACGCAGTCTTCGCGGAATGTCAGCAATGATCCAGATGTCATTAAGTTGCAGGAAATCCCAACTTTCCAACCCCTTCTGAAAGGTAAGATATTACATGAAAAAATAAGGTTCCCATGTCTGCCCCCCACATTCCCCTTTGAGCCTCCTGGTTCATAACAGTGCTGATTTTTGATGATCCCATTTTACTCTTCTCATTGGTTTTGCCATGCATTGCTGAGTCCTCATGCTGCTATAAAGTGGTAGAGAGAACTGGGTAAAACATAAACATGTTTTAATGTATTGATGTGTTAAAGCTAGTGGTTTGTAGTTTGTCCAGGAAGCAGTTATATTTGTGCTTCTAGTTCTGTTGAGTCATTTTGTTCTGCAGTGTGAAGAGATGAACCTTATGGGAGGCTTGGGATAAGGGTGGAGAACCCTTTTTGGACCCAGGATGCAAGTGGCAGGTGGGTCCACAGGCAAGATTGGGCAGGGAGCAATGAATGTACAGCTTCTACACACACTCACACACTCCTCTGTTTCTCCTCTATCAAGGCAAGAAAGAAGTATTATTGGAGTCCAAGGACACATTCTAGTTAGGCAAAATCCCTCCAGGAGGGTGCAAAATAGATTTGGGGAGAAGGTGTGTGGCTGAGCAGGAAGGTGTAGCCTTGGGGAGAATTCTGTGGACCAGACAGAGGCCTAGAGTGCTGCATTTGGAACCTAGGCGTGAGGCTTCCCACTCCTGGCCTAGGAATAAACTGGGAAACAGTAGTGCTTTAGTTAAGATGGTATTTTGATGCCCATTATCTCAGACTAGGCATCCCCTTGTTCATAATCTGACAGTAAATTCAGTAAACGTTGCTCTTGATTTTTGGGTGCCTGTGCTGCCTGCATGCTTTCTTCTGCACTCTTTCAACATCATCTTGATCTGTACATTGGTAAATAAAATGGCAGTTTTCCAGTTTTCTCCATGCCAAAGAGGGGAATCTTAAAAGACCGGGATTTGCTTTTTGAAAACGGTGTGGAAGTAATTTTAAAATTTGAGTCCATGGGTCCCTTGACCAACTACTGGGGCACAGGAGACCAGTTATGTCACCCCTTGCCTGCAGAGCTGGCAGCCCATCAACCCTTTTTGAACACCCTCCATGGTGGAGTGTTCCCTCAGCCTCCTCTCCCCTCTTCTTGGAAGTCCTCCGGGCAGCTGCAGCTGCTGCTCCTGGTCTCTGAGTCCTGTCCCCCCCGCCCCAAAGACAGGTGCCTCCTCACACTGCCCCACAGGGGCCAGGGAAGAGGATGCCCCCAGCCTTAGTGGCCCAATGGAGACTGGCCAAAGGTGAATGTGAGACCAGCACTTTACCTAGGGAGGCAGCAGGGGCAGCAGAAGGTACTGCCAGGCCTGTATGGCGTAAAGGCTCCCCTTCAGCTCCCAGGCAGGCTTTGCACACAGCAGGCAAAAGAAAGGCCAGCGCAGCGCCTGCCTGCTCCGCCTCCCACTTGTCTGTCCATTCCCAACAGCCAGGGCTGGCGGGCTGGGCTCCCTCACCCCCTTGCTCACTTACTTCAAGGCCACCTCAGCTCCTGGCAGCCAGCACCCCATGGTCCAGGGCTGCTGCAACAAACAGCCACACAAGCCTTTGGGAGGCAGACATGCGAGAGGGCATCACAGGAGGGATGGACGGAGAGAGGGACAGAGGCCAATGTTGCCCGCGGCACCCCAATGTTGCCCGCGGCACCAGCATTCAAGGCACCCCAAGGGTGCCATTGGCGCACTGGTTGAAAACCACTGTTTTAGGCAATCCATATATACTGACATCTGGTGCCTGTTGGGAAACACCTCAGCCAGTGTACCTTCTTTATTTATTTTGCCTATTCACCAAAATTTATATACTACTTGCTTGTAATAAAACTTCTAAGCATTTTACAAAAAATAGTGAGACATTTTGATTTGGGAATCTGCATTATTGTTATGTTATTGAAACACTAAGATGTGAGTGAGTTTATTTTGTATTTTACTAACAGTCGGAACAGGATGAGTATATAATAGGAATATTCTATTGTGCATGGAATATACAACATAAATGGTAGAAGCATAATTGGAAACACAGCATTTATTAAATGTTCACAAAAACTAGTGCTCGGGGAAAAGTGCACAGCTATTTTCTCTGCCAACTGTTCAGGAGGCCAGGCCTCAAACATGGGCTGGTTCTGGTAACCAGCTCTTGCTTCCAGTAGGCAATGCCTCCACAAAGGCAGGTAAGTTCATTCCTTTTTGTACCTGCTACCCAGTGAGACAGTTTTGGAGGGGAGAAGTGGCAGGCGTCATGTGAGTGTACACCACCTTGAGCGTGTTGGAGAAAAGGAGGGATATGCAATCAATCAATCAATCAATCAATCAATACTGGACTAAGTCAGTGGTTTGACTCTGTACAAAACTCCTTCATATGACCTTTGCATCATTGTGTCTGGCGGCAAGAACAGGAGTCCAATGGAAGTTTAAGACTCCATTAAACTAAAAATAATTTGTGTGGAAGTAAGCACAGTTGAGCATTTTCCCTTTATTGTTGCACATTTGCTGTTTTTTTCTTCATCTGCTCTCTTGCTGCATTACCAAGCAGAGACATTTTCCTCTTGGTTCTGAGGAATCTTCCTTCTCAGTCAGTGGGAAGTTAGAGTAAGCCCTGACAGAAACTCTCTCTCTCTGTCTCTCCCCCCCCCCCCGGGGATCTCCACCCTTGAGTCTTTCAGTTACCTAACAGTGATCACATTTGGCAAAGAGCCACACTATTATTTTAATTGCATCAGGTTTTTTTTTAAAAAAGAGGCCTGTAAAACTGCATGGTCTACTTTCGCCCTAAGTTACTGTAAAGACTAGGCCCAAAGTGAGATTCATATACCCAGGCTGCAGGAATGTTGTGAAGTGCCCCAACCAGTTCACCACTGCAGCTCATAACATCAAACTGTGAGTTGACGTTGTTTTCTGGGATGCCTGGTCTGATATTGTTGATCTTTTCAATTTGCCAATTCCAGTGCAGCCCACAGGTGGCACTCTTCACTGCCTCTGGTGCCTTGCAGCGCTCCCAAGAGCAGCAGATGTTCAGAGCTCAATAAAAGAATTTTATTTGGTAGGGACTCACGGTGTTTGCAGCAGAATAGCAATCTGCAAGCTCTAGAGTGGGGATTGGGTGAAGCCCTTTCCGTGTTAAACCTTCATGAAAAATTGGTTTTGTAATCATTTCTAAAACGGAGTGGAAATGAGGGAGACGCTTGGAATGTGGCAGAAAAGCCCATGGCCCCAGATTCAGCCCCCAGTTTATAGTGTTGGGGAGCAGGGCTCAGAAAGAGCTCCCCCAGGACTGGTCAAACTGGACAAATGCCGAGACAATGTGACATGCTTACTTTATTTCTTTTAATAAATGTGTAGCCTACTCTTCCTTAGAATAATCCGGGGGTGGAGGTAGTGGTTGGAGTGTCAGTCTAGGACTGGGGAGAGGTTTTTTTTGTTGCTGAGGTTCCTGGGCGTATCAGCGCCACTTTCCGTGGTGTTAAGTACCACCTGTAGGTGAGTTTCAGAGTAAGTTCCCTTTGGGCTGATATGGAGATTAGATAGAATCATTATTTGCATCAGCCACTAGCCATAACAATAAAATAAAATAAAATGTACTGAAGATAGAGGTAAAAACTTAACTATAGAAAATACATTTTGGGGGTTTAAATCAATAATTAAATAATAGATCTTATTCTAATTGCCCCGCTAAAAACCTTGCAGTTTTTGCTATCACCTGATCATCTTGATCTGCTAAAAGAATGGTTGAGCGACCCGACATGGACAATAGTAGAGAGGTAAGACCACATTCTAGTCCATTTGGTGGGGTTAATTTCATAGCCAATGTCATGCTCCCATTGTTGTTCGATTGCGTCAAGGGGGGTTGTGGAAGCAGTATTTTGTACACTGTGGGTGCCATCCCTTTGCCGTGTCCCTCTGCTGTCAGGAGAAGGTGGTCCAGGGCCTAGTGGCTGCTGATTTTACTGCTGGATTGTTTAAGAAAGCGTATAGTTGACAATGTGTTAGCCAAGGTATTTGGGTGTCCCCTAGTTTGTCTTGCATTTCTTGTGTTGGTATGGGTTTGCTGTTTTTGTAGAAGTCTTTTAGGCAGTGCAGGCCTTCGGCTTGCCAGGTGTTTATCTGGAGGTTTTGTGCTGCGTGTTGGAATAGTGGGTGTTAGGCCAGGGGGTTAATGGGGATGGGGATAGTTTGCCTACTTTTCACTTCCTGTGTGAATCTGTTCAGTATTGTGGGGATTTTCTTTAGTTTGTTTTGGAGAAATGGGTGTGCAGTTGTGGAGATGTTTTCAACGGTGTCTCTCTCCAAGACCCTTCCAAGACTCGTTTTCTAGAATATATGGGATTACATGGTATACTTGGTTGGCGATGTAACATAATTCTATGTTGGGGATTCCCTATCCTCCTTCTGAGGAGGGGAGGTGCAGGTATTTAGGGCTTATTCTTGGCTCTCTGTGTGATAAAATAAACGAGTGTAGTTTTTTCTTCCACTTCTGGAGTTGGTTGGAGGAATCCAGATTGGGAGGATTTGGAATCAATAGGTTAGCTTTGAGAGAGTGATCATTTTGATCATGGCTATTTTGTCTGAGAAGGTGAAGTTGGCACTGTTCCATTTCCTCAAGTAACTGTTGATTTGTCGCCACAGGGGCTTGTAATTGTGGAGGTATAATTTGTTGAGGTTTCTGGTTATTTGAACCCCTAGGTACCTGAATTTGGTGCGGCAAAGTTTTATCTTTGTGATGTTGGTGAATTCCTTTTGGGTATGCGGGGGGTGTGTGTGTGTGTGTGTGTGTGTTGAAGCACATAGCCTCAGTTTTTGCAAAGTTTACTTGCAGGCCCGACACCATTGCGGATGTGTTGAGTTGCTGTGTTTATGGGGTCTGGTGTCGTCACCATCAGGTTGACCTGCGACCCTAGTTTATAGGTTTTACCTTTTATTTCCACACCCTTGATATCTGGGGCTGCTCAGAGTCGGATTGCCAGGGGTTCCAGGGCCAAGATGAATAGGAAGGGAGACAGTGGGCATCCTTGTCTTGTGCCTCTTGGGATTGCTATGGTATTGGAGTCCATATTGTTAATTCTGCATTTTGCTTAGGTTTGGGAGTAAATTTGTAGGAAGTTGGGCCCAAATTTCATGTTAGTTAATACTGCTAATAGATATTTCAACTCTAAGCAATCAAAGGCTTTAAAGATGTCTAGGGACCTGATCGCCAGTGGGAGTTTGGTCGTTTTGCTGTGTTCTATCAGATTCAGTAGTTTCCTCCCGGGGTCTGTTACGTTGCAACCAGGAACAAAGCCTGCCTGGTCTGGGGTGATAAGTTTGTGGAGGAAGATTTTTAGGAAGATTGATGTGAATATCTTGTAGTCTTGGTTTATCAGTGAGATTGGTTTGTATGATTCTATTTTGAGGCTATCTTTGAGTGCTTTTGGGATAGAGACTATTTTGGAAGAGGCCCAGGTTTTGGGGAGGGGGCCCCTTTTATGATGTCGTTAAATAGGCGGGTCATGTAAGGCATCAGGGGTTCTTTGATTTTTTCCCCTAGAATTCTGCTGTACAGCCATCCGGGGCTGGGGCTTTGTGTGGTTTCAGGTTTTTGAGTACCGTCTCTATTGCCTCTGGGGTGAGAGGGCTCTCCGTGAATTCTTGTTCCTCTGCAGATAAGGTTGGCATGGTCAGCCCTGTTAGGAGTCTTCTGATTTCTTGTTCAGTTGGGTTGCAGGAGGTGTATAGGTTGGCATAAAATTCAGCAAATTCTGAGGTTGTTTCTTTGCAGGAGGATGTCATATTACCGTCTTTTTTAGTGACACAGTGTATTCCTGTTTTGAGTGATTTTTTTCCTGCATCTATTTGCTAATAGTCTGGAGTTCTTCCCTCCACATTCGTAAAAGCATTGTTTAGAGTATAGGATGTTAATCATTGTTTTATTGATTTCTAGAGAGTCAATTTCCCTTCTTTTTTGTTGTATAAGTTTAAGGAGTTTTATGAGTTTAAGTTGGTTTTTTTTGCTCCTGTTTTTTTGTAGTGTGATGAGGGGGTCGTAATGTCTTATTCCAGTTTACCAATTTTTGAGGAGGTTTTACAGTATTTTTTTTTTTAAAAGGGATGTCCTAATAATCCATTGACTTTATAAAAAGTGTGTGTGGCACACAAATTGCTGCTAAGGAAAAGCAGTCTTATAAAACCTCAAAAGGCAAGTTAAAAAAAATCTATGAAAACCTCTAGTTCAAAGGATTATTAACAAAGCTATAAAAAATGCAGCCATACCAACCTCAGAAGTTTGAAGCTGCAAAACTATTTTCAGGGCGTATAGTGAATCTCAATCATTTGCCAGATACATACATTGCATTTCTGTAGTTTCCTAGAGATTTTGTGTATCCTAAATATTTCCAATCACAGCTTCCATTTTCTTATATATGATTTGATTCTGCATCTTAAAGAATGGGTCAGTTAAAAGAAACCAACCAACCCATAAGCCCCTAATCTGTATAGATACATGGGGGGGGGGGTAGCAGTTAATAGCATGTTGTCAATTCCTAATCTTTCTCTTCTGTCCCTCCATTGATGACATTCCTAATCGAAAAACATTTTGAATTGTTGGGGTCCCTTGCCATAGGGCATTGCACCATTGAATACTGGCTTCCATGCAGAGGCCTCAGTGCAAAGGCTCCAATGGCAATGAAACAGTGCAGTTTGAAATGGGCTGATAGTGGGACCACTCAGATAACATTTCCAGACCTTCCACGCAGCATCATGGCCTGGCCTGGGATAGCTCAGGCAATGTAGCAGTAGAGCTCGGTCGTGGGTTCGAGCCCCACATTGGGTCAAAGATTCCTTCATTGCAGGGGTTTGGACTAGATGACCTTTGTGGTCCCTTCCAATTCTATGGTTCTGTGAGGGAATGAAGGGATAGATGAAGACAGTGCCGAATTGATGTTGCAAAACTTAAAGTGCTTCCTCTGATTTAGATTAACTTCCTCCTCTCCCAGGACTCTTGGCAGCTGCAAAGGGGGCAAAAAATAAGATATAGCAGCTCTTGTGTTAAAAACTTAAGAGTGCAACAACTTGTACAAGATGTGAAAAGATGCTGGCTTTTTGGTGTGCTGCTGAAGTCAAAACGTATCCCTGTTGGTGTTAGTTTCAGACTTCTGAGGGTTGAAGCCAACCTGATTCTGAAGAAATGTCACTTTGCCCTCTGAAGCTTATGCATTGTATATATTGAAATTCTGCTCATTCTCCCTAGGCTAGTAATGTTCCTGCCTTAGCAGAATGCACACACACAGAGAGAGTGCTGATGGAGAAAGTTTTTCTCAGTATTTCTGTTGTGATCATTAAACCCCTGAGCTGCACTCCCTCACCCATCTGCCTGCGTCTCTGCCCTAAATGAGCATTCATTTGGACAGTTTTCCTGCAAGAAAGATTTAAATTCTTCTGCAGCAGGTGATATTGCCTTTCATTTCACCAAAATTTTAGTTTACTCGTTAAGTGTGGCATTGTAGGAGTATTTTGCTGCCTATACAATAAAAATTGAGACATTTCGCTAAAACTTGCTGCACAATTTTTCATGTGCCTGCAAGGGACCTTGATATGATCATGGCAGTAATACCCCTCTTAATTTTCTTTTGCATCCAGCAAGTCTAATCCTGACAGATCTACATAGTCAGAGAACTTGTACATGTCCAGAATTGTTACCTGACAAGCAGTGTGTGTGGCTGGGTGCTGTTGTGGCAATAGAAGACAAGGATGCACAACCTCTTGCTCTTCTTGTGTTGTTCATCTGCTGGCAAGGCTGCGTCTGAACTGTACACCTTCAGCCTGCAGCTGTGGCCCCACACAGTTCAGTGCTCTCCATGCAAAAAGAGAAAGAGTCCTTGCAAATAGAAAGCTAGCTCAAACCATTCTGCCCCCCTCCCCCCCATCTAGAGTTCTGTGGAGGATATTTTTTTATGAAAGAACATTCAGTCATATGAACAGTCAGAAGTGGGACAGCCCAGACACAGATTCACCAAGTTAGTGAGAAACTACTAAATCAGTTTCATAGTGTGCTGGGAATATGGTCATAATTATGATGAGCCTTAAATGTTCTGCCTCTAGTCAACTTTTTAGGAATTTATTTTAGGCTTGTTGCTATTTAAATGTGCAAATGAATAGTGACCAGTTCCTTTGCTGTGTCATCTTGTAGGGACTTCATAACTCTATTTTGCACTTGCATAAAATGATTTGGTTTGTGTCAGATGGCTGTTGCGGTTGCTCAAGAGTAACCAGGCCGGACTCCGGCCTGTCTTTTACAGGCTTTATTTTGGTGCAAACTATTTACAGTGAAGAGCATCATAAGTTCATGTCTGGCTCAGTCGCTAGCAGAATCCGGGAGTGGTCTGTTTTTGTACCTCCCCAACATAAAAGTTTCGTTACCCCCAGCCGTTTCCGCCCCTCCCTGCGCCTCAGACTACTGCGCAGGATGGGCGATGGCAAGGGCCTGCTTCCCTCCTCTTGGCTTGCTCAGGAGCGGTGTTACGGCTCTCACTAGCATCCTCTGGTCCCTGCACCTCCTCCCCACTGGAAGTGGGGCTTTCCTCCTCCCCGGAAGAGGAACTGCTTTGCAAGATTTTCGGAGGCTCCCTCTGACACAACTGCCCTTCTATCTCTCGCCTCTGAGCCGATGGCAGTTCCCTGACAGTTTGACTCTTGTAAAAATGTTGTTCATAGGGAGGGTGATTTATTTAATAGTTTTAATCTTGGGTGTAATCCTGTATTGCATTTTTGACCATCTCTTGCTTCAGTATTGCACATTCCTTATGCTAAAAGACTCAAAAGTCACACTTGTTGTTGGGGGGTGGGGCGAGGGGGGAACGAGTCCTAATTCCTGACAAAAGGCGTCTCCTAAAGACTGGTGCAGGGACCTGAAAGTGTCACATCTTTATTTTTAATGCTTCTTCCAGTATAATGACTTCTTGCATGAGCAAACCAAGTAAAGAATAATGAAAAAGAAGCAGCAAATGTAGCCAGCAACAACATGCCAATAACCTTGAGACTTTGAAACTTTGCAAATGTTTGCTTGAGTGAAATTCTCCTGTGTATCACCAAATAAGAATGAGCTGAGGTCACTCTTGGCAAGAGGAGGACTCTTTTTCCCCCTGCACAAACAGCATAACATGAGAAGCAGGGAGTGGGTGAAGGAAGGGGGCAGGAAAAGGAATCAAGGAGGACTGGAGAACATTGTAGACATAATTTTTGTTTGAACATATTATATACAAAAAAGCAGCTTGCTTTGTTTGCAGGCTTTGAGTACATAACTATACAAAAATTAGGGATGCTTTTGCTGTCTTTCTACGCCATAGTATAACCATGGCACAGAATTCCCTACTTAAAGTTGCATAATTCTTTGTGGTTCTTGTCCGGTGATATTTTGGGGGCTGCCCTGATTTAAGTCTCCACTCCAGCAAAATTGCCAAAATTCAACAGCAAAATTTTGCCAGGCTTATGAAACTCATGGCAACTGCCGTTTGTGAGTAGTCAGCTGGCCACCTAATAGCTTGAGCCAGCCTCTGGCATCTGGGCCTGAGAAGCCCCTACTCCTAAAGAATTTTTCTGCTTTGTCACTTTCTCCTTTGTGAGATGAGGCACAGACCCCAAAGCCCCTTAAAACTTTCCTATATGCACCCTGTGAGCAGCAACACAATTATGGCCGTTAGGCACGTCAGGTGTCTGCACTGGCAAGTGGAAGCTCAGGAACGCAAAACCAGCCGCTGCCACCAAGTTACAGACAGGCATCCAGACACACACCGAGAGCTGCCAAGCCAAACAAAAGAGAGTGGCGGAGCAGTATCTGTAAAGCCATGACAGCAAGGCATTGGCGGAAGTTCAAGGGGAAGGGTACACGAGCAGCTCCCCAGTGGCTGTTTGGCAAACTAGTTTTATTTTTAAAATTTCTATACTGCTTTATATTTTTAAGCAAACTCTCAAAGTGGTTGCGGCCTTCATGCCTCACAGCCGGGCGATGTTCCTAGCTGCAGATCAGGCACCTGGTGGCACAGGTTTTTATTTTCTTTAAGCTTCCAGTGCCATTGACCCACATGCCCTCTAGATGTCTATAGATTTCCCTGTGCAAATTATTTTACCTGGGCCACATTGCCAAAGTTGCTGTCATGTTAATGGTTTATGTGGTCTAAAGGGTACATTGCAAATGCTCGTTGCAGTGCCTTGTCTTTTGTTAAAATGTGTGCTTTGCCATGAAAGGCATTTAAATCTTGTACAGTGTACATAAGTAATAAGGGGACAGATGCATACGATTCCCGGGGAGTTTTGCCCCTTGAATTAAATTTTGCATGCACAGTTTCACATTTGCCCCCACAGCCGTTTACTTTGTGAGTAAAGGTAAAGTACAAATTAGACTCCCCCAAAAGAGCCCCCGCTGTGTTTCTCTGGAAGGGATGGCGGAGTGCTTCCTGACTGGACTCAGGAAGAATTACTCAGGAGGAATTAGTTGGGGAAGAATTACTTGATCCCAGGAAGGGAAGATTCAGTGTAGGCAATTAGGGTAGAGAAGTACAGTATATGATGTAGTGACACGGCAGGCACCCTCTTCTGTGGGTGGGCCCACAAGAGGCTTTCTAAAATATGTAATTTAATTTATGTGGCACCAGCACTTCTCTAACAGCACACTGGATTGGGAATAAATAGTCTAAACTACCTCACTCTTTATTTAGAAACTGAATAGCCAGAGGTGCTGTGTGTGAGAGAGTAAAACAGCTTTATGACTATTGAATGTGGGGAAGGGGAGGGGAAATAGAATATGATTGTTAGCAGACCTTCTGCATGGCTTTTCCTTTTTATAATTCAACCACCCATGTTGTCTCTGCCTCCCAGAATATGATTGCAAATAGACACTTGGAAAAGCTGAGAATACGTTGCTGTTTTAAAAAACGAATAAAGCAAGGAAATAGTGTTACTGTTCTCCTGTTAATGTAAGAGGCAACAATTTCAACAAATTTTTCTAGCAGCATGAGTAGAGCATGCTTGCAAATTACGTGGGGTGATGTCCTGGGGTTTGCTCCTAAAGCCAAAATCTTGTAGTCAAAGCTCATTGGGTTCAATGATGGGTGGGATTGCCAAAGCCTTTTTTTAAAAAAAAACTCCACCCTCTTTTGCTTCCCCCCTTTTTTACATTTTTTGCCATACGTGTATAGCTGAATGCACACAAGTTAAATGTGCATCAGTTGTGGGCTTACTGTATTCCTAATGGAAGATTTTTACATGCATGATGAGTAATTACTACCTAAGTGTCAGTCACTAGTTTCCAGAGAGTTCTGCCCAAAGCAATACAGTTATACCTCGAGCTGAAATAGCTTCGGGATAAATATTTTCGGGTTGTGCGCTGCGGTGACCCGGAAGTAATGGAGCATGTTACTTCTGGGTTTTACCGTTCGCACATGCACAGACGGTCAAAATGACGTCACGCGCATGTGTGGAAGCGGCGAATCATGACCCGCACGGACGCGGGTTGCGTTCGTTTCTGGATGCGAACGGGGCTCCGGAACGGATCCTGTTCGCATCCAGAGGTACCACTGTATACAACATGTGGCCTGACAAAACACAGTAAAACACAATAAAGAAATAAATGCTGTAAACAGGCAAGAACACCACCCCAGCAGAAATGGTCTGGTTTCTTTGGAGTCACAATAATAGTTTTGCAACACACAGAGTGGCCCTTCATGCACTGGCTGGAAGGAAAGAAAGGAAAAGGGAGTTAGACAAAATCATTGTGGTGATTCGGAGGTGTTTAGTCCATCAGGTCATTTTTTCAATACCATGCCCCCACCCCCCGGTCAGGCAGCTGACATCACTCTGATGGGTGGGGGACATCAGCTGATGGGCAGAGGGTAGAGTTCAATTTTGTGTAAGCTGCGTATACAGTATCAGGTTTACTCAAGTTCCCATTGCAGGCAGGTTTCCCACATCTAATGCAGTGCAAACGCCTTCCTGATCAAAATGAAGGCCCCCCCCCTCCATTTTAGCAGTTTCTTGCTGCCTGCAAGGTGCTTTGAAGGCCTTTGTATCCTACATGATAGATCACCAGTAAGCTGTTGAGCTGCTTCTGGATTTGTCTTTGTGTAACATGGTAAATGGCACTAAGAACAGGCTGATTACAACTGGGGATTTATGTGGAGATGCTGTTACATGTGTTTTGTTTTTGATCACACCAGTCCCTTTGCTAGTTCTGCTGTTAGCCATTTTAGTAAATTCCTTTGCTGTCAATTTTCTTCTAGGTCTTCTCAGTGGGCAGACAGCTCCTACCAACATAAAACTGGAGAAACTGGATTCTCAGCAAGTTCTACAGCTCTGCCTGCGATACCAAGACCACCTTCACCAATGCGCAGAAGCGGTTGCCTTTGACCAGAATGCTTTAGTCAAACGGATCAAAGAGGTATGGAATATGCTGGGGTTGGAGAAGCAAAGGGGGTTCTGTGAAGCCATCTTCAACAGCCCTTGCCCTTTTGAGGCAAGAAAAGCCCTTCAGCTTTCCCACTTTATTCCCCCCACCTCTCATTTGTAACATGACTGGAGAAAACTGCTCTATAATTATGTCTCTCTGGGGGAGAGAACAGTAGTTTAAAGCAGGTTAAAGTCCTATTTACACTAGTTGTGTCGGACCAAAGTGGTGGTGTTACAAGGCGTTGCCCTGCTCCACCCCTCTTCCCACCAACATCCGCTCTAAGCTGCTTCTGTCACAGCTTTCCTCAGTTCCATCCACGCAAAGGTCCATCTGCCTCTTCAGCCATGGAAGCCCCTCTTACCAGCTTTATTGAGGGAACCCCTTTATGGAGAGGAGGAATCCTCAGTCCAGGCTGTCGTATGCGTTTTGGTCATCATTTTTGTTTTGATATTTTGCTTGGTTTAATGTATTTTTATTACACTTTATTGCACTGTAAATTACATCATGGAGACTTTATTTTTTTAGTAAAAAGTGATATACAAGTTAGATAAATCAAAGCAAGCTGCACTTTCCATTCTTCAGCTGCAGTCCTACTTTCTTCGTGTATCATCTGTTTTAGATTATAAACTCCTGTAAATACTGACCAGTTGCTTGATTGTGTACATCTCCTAGCTGTTGTAGATGCTTGATAGTTGGCATTAATATTGCATTTGAGCAAATATGTGGAGAAAATCATTGACCAGTGAATGTTGTTATCACTTAGATTGTTAGATCATTGGCTTGTATTACACAATTCAACATACTCTGTTCTAAACAGGTAATAATTGTGCAAATGTCACAATCAGTATTTCTGCCCAACTTCCTTTTGCAAACTAGATTGTACCACTGTCTCTTTTCTCTCTTATTTTTCTCCCTTTCTTAAAATAAGCAATGAACATAACATGCTATTTTTATTGGGTGGTTGCTTAATCTTTACTTACTTTCCATACAGGGCAGCCAAGATTCATAGTTAGCATGACTCAGAACTCAGAACTTCCATATGGCTAGATGAACAATAATGTGATTCACTGCATTTATTGAATGCCTGCAATCATTTCATGCTGTGTTGAATCCCAGTTCAGATGTGAACCATTTTTATTTTTTAAAAGTATTTTGGTCAACACATAATCTGAAGCCAACTAATTACACAAGGTGTGACTGTATCTGCAGGTGTTGATGACTCAGATTACTTTGATATCCAGCAATTTTTTAAATTGCCAACTTGAAGAAACTGTGCTAATTCAAATAAAGCCTGTAAACCTTCCTGAAACTAGATTCATCTTTCTGTCACTCTCTGATGGTCACTCTCTTGCTTTTAGTTTGAGTGGAGAACTAACAGGGAAGTCTATCTGCCAACAGAGGGAAACAAAACAGCTTGTACAGTGGTACCTCGGGTTAAGTACTTAATTCGTTCCGGAGGTCCGTTGTTAACCTGAACCTGTTCTTAACCTGAAGCACCACTTTAGCTAATGGGGCCTCCTGCTGCCGCCGCGCCACCGTCGCACGATTTCTGTTCTCATCCTGAAGCAAAGTTCTTAACCTAAAGCACTATTTCTGGGTTAGCGGAGTCTGTAACCTGAAGCGTATGTAACCTGAAGCTTATGTAACCTGAGGTACCACATTCTTCTTCTTCTTCTTCTTCTTCTTCTTCTTATTATTATTGAGTGGAAACTAATCTTCAGGCAGAAGTTTGTTGTGGCAGTAGTAGATTGATATATATATGTAGAGAGCGAGAGAGATAGTAACATAATTTTCTTAAAATTTTATGGTGTGCATGGTATAAAAGTAAAAAATGTAGGTAATAAGAGAGAGTCATAAAACTAGAAGGAAACAATAATTAATAGTGCAAGTCTGACACACTTAACTACTGTCAGTTCTTACCAGATGAACCCTCAAATACTGTGGTTTGGGACTGCACCATGTAGCAGTAGTTTTTGACTAGCAGCGGAAGCCAAAATGAAATGACATATAGACACTGCTTCCCCCCCAGGGTGTACTCAAGGGTACGCAGTACCCGCACCTCTTTTTTGGGGGGGGGGGTTTAAAAAGTGTAACACTTACTGTAACAACTTCATTATGAGTTCCGGTACCTATTTTTCTAGGAAAAAAAGAGATGACATATGGTCTGGTGAGAAATATGAATATGAAAGATTTCCATGATTGTTGCTTCCTCCACATCTTGCTGGTATTCGGTTTATGTTTAGCAGCATACAATTCCAGGATGAACAATTCCAGTGATTTGCGCTCAATGGTATTTTTCTTCAGACATGATGTCTGGACTGCCACCGACCTGTCCTGTAGCAGAATAATGCCATGGTCCCATTGGAAAAGGTTCTCAAGCTCAACGTGGTTCAGGTTGCTGGTGAAGAAAGGCCCATCTAGAGAGGGAGCAGGAGACCTAACAGGTCATCTCATCTGCTATCTGCCCCATCAGCCACTGTATCCTGCAGGAAGGGGCAGACACCCTCTTATTAGGAAGTCTGTTCTGCACAATGGTGTCGGAGGAAGTTACCCATTACATATCACACGAATGCCATATCTTAGTGTCCTTTAGGTACTTGTTGAAGACGTTTCTCTATCAGCAAGTCTTATAAGTGGATATTGGTATCCACGTTCATATCTGCATTGGATTTGAAATTGATTTTATATATGGTAATAGTTTTTGGTGGTTTTTTTTGAATAATTTTGTATGTAATTGGGTTTTTGTTTTTAAAATTGTTTTATTCTTATTTTAATTGCTTTTGAGTTATCTCATAGGAAGTGATTCATGAATGAAATAATAATGTTTATTTTTTAACAACAGCAGCCTTCACGCCAGATTCCCCCAAGCATTCATGCTCCTGGCTTATTCCCTGAAAACAGAGTAGTAGTTTAGACATGCCTTGAGGAAGTGTGGTAACAGAGCTCTCTACATGGGACTGCCTGTACTGGCTATCTGAACTGGAGGCCAGTGCAGTGCAGAGAGGCATTTGTCACATAATGTGTCTGTTTTCAGCGCCTGTCCTACACAGCAGTAATTAAGGCCTAGTAAGAATGGATGAGAAAGCAGTGGCTCTCCTGATGTTGCTAACGATGGATGACCCTTCCATTCTTGTATGGTGCCCAGTTGTCGTATGTAACTCACTGGAGCTGTAGACCCTGTACGTAAACACCAGCCAAATTCAGTAGTAAAGAATGAGAGATTGGCACTGTGCCACTTCCCAGAAACAGAGTTACTATTTAGCCTCCAAAGAATAGAGCGGGATGTTATTTGTGGCGTAACTTTTTTAAAAATTGGAGTTGACTTTCCATTACCTCAGAAGCTTATACAAACCGGAAAATAAATGCTCTGGGCACTATGCACACACCACAACTACACCCACCCAGCCCATAAATGGTTTCTACTAAAGCCAATAAATTGCTTCTTTGAAGCATAATTGTGGTGAGTGGGGCACAGCAGGGAAGAGGCTGGCAACAGCCCTGAAATCACCTACCTGCACTGTAGTTAGGCTTGAAAAAGCCTGTCTACTGGGTAAAATAGAAGGCTTTTTCAAGCCTATCGTGTTCCAGTCTTACTCTGAGAGAGGTTGTAGAATCATAGAATCATAGAATCATAGAATCATAGAGTTGGAAGAGACCACAAGGGCCATCGAGTCCAACCCCCTGCCAAGCAGGAAACACCATCAGAGCACTCCTGACATATGGTTGTCAAGCCTCTGCTTAAAGACCTCCAAAGAAGGAGACTCCACCACACTCCTTGGCAGCAAATTCCACTGTCAAACAGCTCTTACTGTCAGGAAGTTCTTCCTAATGTTTAGGTGGAATCTTCTTTCTTGTAGTTTGGATCCATTGCTCCGTGTCCGCTTCTCTGGAGCAGCAGAAAACAACCTTTCTCCCTCCTCTATGTGACATCCTTTTATATATTTGAACATGGCTATCATATCACCCCTTAACCTCCTCTTCTCCAGGCTAAACATGCCCAGCTACCTTAGCCGTTCCTCATAAGGCATCGTTTCCAGGCCTTTGACCATTTTGGTTGCCCTCCTCTGGACACGTTCCAGTTTGTCAGTGTCCTTCTTGAACTGTGGTGCCCAGAACTAGACACAGTACTCCAGGTGAGGTCTGACCAGAGCAGAATACAGTGGCACTATTACTTCCCTTGATCTAGATGCTGTACTCCTATTGATGAGGCCCAGAATTGCATTGGCTTTTTTAGCTGCCGCGTCACACTGTTGGCTCATGTCAAGTTTGTGGTCAACCAAGACTCCTAGATCCTTTAAACAAGTACTGCTCTCAAGCCAGGTGTCACCCATCTTGTATTTGTGCCTCTCATTTCCCCCCCCCCCAAGTGCAATACTTTACATTTCTCCCTGTTAAAATTCATCTTGTTTGTTTTGGCCCAGTTCTCTAATCTGTCAAGGTCGTTTTGAAGTGTGATCCTGTCCTCTGGGGTGTTAGCCACAGCCACCCCTCCCAGTTTGGTGTCATCTGCAAATTTGATCAGGATGCCCTTGAGTCCATCATCCAAGTCGTTGATAAAGATGTTGAATAAGACCGGGCCCAAGACAGAACCCTGTGGCACCCCACTAGTCACTCTTCTCCAGGATGAAGAGGAACCATTGATGAGCACCCTTTGGGTTCGGTCAGTCAGCCAGTTACAAATCCACTGAGTGATAGCATAGTCAAGACCGCATTTTACCAGCTTCTTTACAAGAATATCATGGGGCACCTTGTCAAATGCCTTGCTGAAATCAAGGTAGGCTACATCCACTGCGTTCCCTTCATCTACCAGGCTTGTAATTCTGTCAAAAACGAGATCAGGTTAGTCTGACATGACTTATTTTTCAGAAATCCATGCTGACTATTGGTGATCACAGCATTCCTTTCTAGGTGCTCACAGACTGTTTGCTTAATGATCTGCTCCAGAATCTTCCCTGGTATTGATGTCAGACTGACTGGGCGGTAATTATTTGGGTCCTCTCTTTTCCCTTTTTGAAAATAGGGACAACATTTGCCCTCCTCCAGTCTGCCGGGACTTCGCCTGTTCTCCAGGAATTCTCAAAGATGACTGCCAGTGGTTCTGAGATCACATCTGCCAGTTCTTTTAATACTCTTGAATGCAGTTCATCTGGCCCTGGAGACTTGAATACATCTAAACTAGCCAAGTATTCTTGTACTATCTCCTTAGTTATTCTGGGCTGTGTTTCCTCTGCTGAATCATTTGCTCCAAATTCTTCAGGTCGGGCATTGTTTTCTTTATCGGAGAAGACTGAGGCAAAGAAGGCATTGAGGAGTTCAGCCCTTTCTGTGTCCCCTGTTTGCATTTCACCATCTTCTCCTCTGAGCGACCCCACTGTTTCTTTGTTCTTCCTTTTGCTACGAACATACCCATAAAAGCCTTTTTTGTTGCTTTTAACCTCTCTAGCAAGCCTGAGTTCATTCTGTGCTTTAGCTTTTCTGACTTTGTGTCTACACGTGCTGGCTATTTGTTTGAATTCCTCTTTGGTGGTTTCCCCCCTTTTCCATTTTTCCTTTTCCATTTTCCACTCAGTTAAAAGTTCTTTAGATAGCCACCCTGGCTTCTTTAGGCACCTTCCATGTTTCCGTCTCATTGGTATTGCCTGAAGTTGTGCTTTTACTATCTCCCTCTTAACAAACTCCCAGCCATCATGAACTCCCTTTCCTTTTAGTATTACTGTCCATGGGATCTCACCCAGCACTTCCCTAAGTTTTATGAAGTCGGCTTTCTTAAAGTCAAGAAATTGAGTCCTAGTATGCTTGGCTGCTCCTTTCCGCTGTATAGTAAACTTCAGAAGAGCATGATCACTTGCGCCTAATGATCCTTCCACTTCTACCCCACTAACCAGGTCATCAACATTGGTTAGGACCAGATCTAAAATGGCTGTTCCTCTTGTTGCTTCTCCCACTTTCTGGACAATGAAGTTGTCTGCAAGGCCAGTGAGGAATCTGTTTGACCTTATGCTCTTGGCTGAGTTTGACATCCAACAAATATCCAGGTAATTGAAGTCCCCCATTACTACTATCACCTTACTTTTGCATGCTTGGCCATCTGTTCCAGGAAGGCATCATCTATGTCCTCCGTTTGGCTTGGGGATCTATAGTAAACTCCCACAATGAGGTCACTGTTATTCTTCTCTCCCTTAATTTTGACCCAAATGCTCTCACTTTGGCTTTGAGGTTCTAAATCTTGGATCTCTTCACAGGTATACACATCCCTGACATATAACGCCACTCCTCCTCCTTTCTTGTCTGGTCTGTTTCTCTGAAATAGATTGTATCCCTCCATTATTACATTCCAATCGTGGGACTTATCCCACCAGGTTTCAGTGGGCATATTGAGCCCTTTTAAGCCTCTGCCTCCAGACCATCTCTTTCAGGCTCCACCACATTCTGGAGAACTTCCAAGTTCTTAAAGGGTCAACCTTCTGGGATGAAGATGGGCCCTTCTTCTCTATTCCATAGCTCCATGTGCTGCTGGAGCAGTGAGGTACTGTCAGCAGCATTTGCTTTTTCAGGAGAAGGTTCTCATGAGGTCCTGGTGGTATGGAAATTCTTCTGGGGGCTCAGACGTAGTGGTCTCCTGAAGCAACAGACAGGGCCGTCTTAAGCATATCCAGTGCTGTGGTGCAAAGATCCCTCCAGTGCCGCCCCCGCCCCATTTCCCAGAGTTGTTGACCTTTTTTTAGGGAGCTGACACCCGCTTACACATTATCTCTGCTTGGGAAAAGAAAATAGGAAACATAAACAAACTTTTTTTAGTTGCTCATTTATTAACAATGCACCTATATACACACTTATATAGTCTCAGATGCATGTGGGCCAGCCAAAATCTGACAAGTCACTCCTGGTCTTAAATTGTCCAAGCAAAATGGCACAGCTTAACCTGGCACCAAAATGAGAAAAAATGCTGAACTTAGATATACCTCAGTCAGTAAAGCATGAGACTCTTAATCTCTGGGTTGTGGTTTCAAGCCCCATGTTGGGCAAAAGATTCTTGCATTGCAGGGGGTTGGACTAGATGACCGTGGTGGTTCCCTTCCAACTCTGAATGGTTCTGTTATTCTGTTGTATCTGAAAGGCTGTTCACAGGGAAGATGGAGCAAACTGGTTTGTGAGAGACGCTTGTGCTGTGATTCCTGCACTGGAGGACCCCTCGGGGGTCCCTTCCAACCATCCAGTTCTGTGATCTTATGATTAAAATACTCCAAGAAATAAATAAACGGGCTTCTCTGTGGCAGTCACTGGAAAGGGCTCCAGAAAGTTTCGTATGTGCCCTGTAGCCCATGCCCCATTCACCAGGCGAGACCCGGTGAGCTGAAGGATGGCTCCTCAGTGGCAAGCGGGCTTGAGTACGTGACTGCACGTCTGAGGGATCTGGGCCGGCCACCTCAACGCCTCCCTTGCTCCGCCTTGGACTCTGGGCAGGCGGAGGGTGGCGGAGGCAAGGCTGGGCTGAGCGCCTAGTGGGAAGCACACAGCCTCTAGGCAGGCGGAGGTGCGCACAGGCCAGCAGAGGCGTAGGAAGGTCAGGTGGTACCCGGTGCAGAAAATTTCTTGTCACCCCCCCCCCATTGTGTTATTTTTCACCTGCAAAAATGGTTTTACGTTATCTGAGCCTCTGATAACAAGCAGGTGACTATGGACAGATACTTAAATCTACAGGATGGATTGTGTTTTGGCTTGTGTTATTTTATTTATATTTATTGTTTATTTATTTAATAAAATTTATTTTAAAAAACCAAAACAAAAAAACATCACAGCAGTAAAATCAGGAAAAATTAACAATCCTACTTTAAAAAGTACAAAAGCTAAAATATTAAGATTAAAAATACTTCAGCTTCCTAAGCATCTAGGTATGCTTGCCTAAAGAAGAATGCTTTTAGCAGGTGCCTGAAAAGAGTCTAGCAAAGGCACATGCTTTGTTGAAATTTCAGCCTTCACAACATAGGAAAACAGCTAAGTAAACAGCTATTTTCATGGAGGAGGGTCAAGATATTAACTGATATGCATGAAATTTCATATGTAGCTATATAATCCCTAGTGTAGTAAGATAAGGCCTTTGGAGCAGGCATTTTCTAAAAAACAGTTTTTTATGAACCGCCCTAGTAGGGCAGTAATTGTTCCTTGATAATTTTACCCCCCCCCCCCATGATGGCCCCTGGGGAGACCCGCCCCCCCTTTACTACGCCCCGGCTGCTCGGCTGTTGAGCAGCAGGAGCCCGACTCCTGAAGTGGCAGGCGGCGGAGGCTGCAAGGCCGGGCGCACTCAGCCTCTGGGCAGGCTGGCCGCGCCTCAACACCTCCTGCTTGGCACTCCTAAGCAGCAGCCGGAGCCTGAGTCCCGAGTCGACGGCGGGCGGCGGAGGCTTCAAAGTCGGATGCACAAATAATAATAATAATAATTTATTATTTATACCCCGCCCATCTGGCTGGGCTTTCCCAATCACTCTGGGCGGCTTCCAAAAGAATATTAAAATACTGTGATACATCGAGCATTAAAAGCTTCCCTAAACAGGGCTGCCTTCAGATGTCTTCTAAAAGTCTGGTAGTTGTTGTTCTCTTTGACATCTGGTGGGAGGGCGTTCCACAGGGAGGGCGCCACTGCCGAGAAGGCCCTCTGCCTGGTTTCCTGTAACTTGGCTTCTCGCAGTGAGGGAACCGCAAGAAGGCCCTCGGTGCTGGACCTCAGTGTCCGGGTAGAACGGTGGGGGTGGAGATGCTCCTTCAGATATACTGGACCGAGGCCGTTTAGGGCTTTAAAGGTCAGCACCAACACTTTGAATTGTGCTCGGAAATGTACTGGGAGCCAATGTAGGTCTTTCAAGACCGGTGTTATATGGTCTCGGCGGCCGCTCCCAGTCACCAGTCTGGCTGCTGCATTCTGGATTAGTTGTAGTTTCCGGGTCACCTTCAAAGGTAGCCCCACGTAGAGCGCATTGCAGTAGTCCAAGCGGGAGATAACCAGAGCATGCACCACTCTGGCGAGGCAGTCCGCAGGCAGATAGGGTCTCAGCCTGCGTACCAGATGGAGCTGGTACACAGCTGCCCTGGACACGGATTTAACCTGTGCCTCCATGGACAGCTGTGAGTCCAAAATGACTCCCAGGCTGCGCACCTGGTCCTTCAGGGGCACAGTTACCCCATTCAGGACCAGGGAATCCTCCACACCTGCCCGCCTCCTGTCCCCCAGAAACAGTACTTCTGTCTTGTCAGGATTCAATCTCAATCTGTTAGCCGCCATCCATCCTCCAACCGCCTCCAGACACTCACACAGGACCGTCACCGCCTTCACTCGTTCTGATTTGAAAGAGAGGTAGAGCTGGGTATCATCCGCATACTGATGAACACTCAGCCCAAACCCCCTGATGATCTCTCCCAGCGGCTGAATGTAGATGTTGAAAAGCATGGGGGAGAGGACAGAACCCTGAGGCACCCCACAAGTGAGAGCCCAGGGGTCTGAACACTCATCCCCCCCCCCACTTTCTGAACACGGCTCAGGAGGAAGGAGCGGAACCACTGTATAACAGTGCCCCCAGCTCCCAGCCCCTCAAGACGGTCCAGAAGGATGTTATGGTCGATGGTATCAAATGCCGCTGAGAGATCCAGCAGAACTAGGAAACAGCTCTCTCACCTTTGTCCCTAGCCCGCCAGAGATCATCAACCAGTGCGACCAAGGCAGTTTCAGTCCCGTGATGAGGCCTGAATCACGACTGGAAGGGATCCAAATGGTCCACTTCTTCCAGGCGTGCCTGGAGTTGTTCAGCAACCATTCGCTCAATCACCTTGCCCAAGAATGGAAGATTTGAGACTGGGCGATAGTTGGCCATCGTGGCCGCATCTAAAGATGATAACCACCTCTTTCAGCGAGTCTGGGAAGGCTCCCTCATGGAGGGAAGCATTCACCACCCCATGAAGCCCATCGCCCAGTCCTTCCCGGCTAGCTTTTATAAGCCAGGATGGGCAAGGATCAAGGAGACTGGTGGTTGGTTTCACTCACCCAAGCAGCCTGTCCACATCCTCGGAGGTAACAGATTGGAATTGATCCCACACAATTTGACTAGACAGGACTCTAGCACTCTCCTGCCCCGGCCCTGTGCAAGCATCGCTGCACGAGCCGAGGCGACTGTTGAAGCCGGCCAACGGAGCCTCGTGTGAGTAGCGCACTGCTGGGCTGGCCCTACACCAGTGGCGCGCAGGGGGCGGAGCCGCTGAATAAGCAGAATCATAGAATCATAGAATCATAGAGCTGGAAGAGACCACAAGGGCCATCGAGTCCAACCCCCTGCCAAGCAGGAAACCCCATCAGAGCACTCCTGACATATGGTTGTCAAGCCTCTGCTTAAAGACCTCCAAAGAAGGAGACTCCACCACACTCCTTGGCAGCAAATTCCACTGTCGAACAGCTCTTACTGTCAGGAAGTTCTTCCTAATGTTTAGGTGGAATCTTCTTTCTTGTAGTTTGGATCCATTGCTCCGTGTCCGCTTCTCTGGAGCAGCAGAAAACAACCTTTCTCCCTCCTCTATGTGACATCCTTTTATATATTTGAACATGGCTATCATATCACCCCTTAACCTCCTCTTCTCCAGCCTAAACATGTCCAGCTCCCTTAGCCGTTCCTCATAAGGCATCGTTTCCAGGCCTTTGAACATTTTGGTTGCCCTCCTCTGGACACGTTCCAGTTTGTCAGTGTCCTTCTTGAACTGTGGTGCCCAGAACTGGACACAGTACTCCAGGTGAGGTCTGACCAGAGCAGAATACAGTGGCACTATTACTTCCCTTGATCTAGATGCTATACTCCTATTGATGCAGCCCAGAATTGCATTGGCTTTTTAGCTGCCGCGTCACACTGTTGGCTCATGTCAAGTTTGTGGTCAACCAAGACTCCTAGACCCTTTTCACATGTACTACTCTCAAGCCAGGTGTCACCCATCTTGTATTTGTGCCTCTCAATTTTTTTTGCCCAAGTGAAATACTTTACATTTCTCCCTGTTAAAATTCATCTTGTTTGTATTTGACCAGTTCTCTAATCTGTCAAGGTCGTTTTGAAGTGTGATCCTGTCCTCTGGGGTGTTAGCCACCCCTCCCAGTTTGGTGACATCTGCAAATTTGATCAGGATGCCCTTGAGTCCATCATCCAAGTTGTTGATAAAGATACATAAGCCGAGGTTGGGGGCAGGGTCTCTGTTGCAGCAATTGCATTACTGAGTTTATACCTATGGGAGACATTACTGTACTTTTGACAATGAAGAGTTGATTCCCCTTTCTGCACATTCCTTGCCTGTCAGTACACCCTGAACATTGGAACTAGATGAATGATACAAATAAATGTGTTGGTTTGGAGAGAGGGAGAGGGAGCCATTGGCAAAAGAGCTCTGTCTGCCTGCTGCTAGGCTCTCTCGGCTCTTCCCGGACGACTCAGCTCAACTCCGGACTCCCCTGATTCAGCACGCCAGCTGCACCACTGGTTAGAGACGGGCCTGGCAACAGATCCAGAACCTGAACCTGATCTGGACTCCATAGCAGGAGACACTGAAGCCCTTGACTCTGTGTCTTGACCACTGCTGGACAATAGGGTCATTGTAAAGCCTAATTTCAGTCCAGAAACAGGCCCTGGTGTGCTCTAGGAAGGGCGTCTGTGGGTAAATGCCCTCGGACATCCCATTGACAACTCCTGCCAATGAACTGGTTAGAAAACCTTGGATCAGTTTTAAAAGGTGCCTTTGATTGATCACTAGACTTTTATTTAAACAATTTGTAATGGATCCAGGGGGGTGGGGAGTTTCCCCCTTCCTTTCTGTTGAAGAATTCCCCATAAAAAGCATCACAATAGGGGGGCAGAATCTAAGCGATTGAAACCCAGGATAGTTTTCTGTTCCAAGCATCTGCGCAGGGTTCCCAATCTCAGGCCCTCCTGATGCCACACTTGGTCTGCACCAGGCTGGTCATACAAATATTTTGAAAAGCCACAAGCAACAGACAAACAATTGAGATGATTAACTAAATTATCCAAGAATACCTCTTTTAAGATGATTCCATTTCTGACACATGCATGCTTAAAAAGAAAGATGTGCTTCTTTTGGCATTGCTTTTAATTATGTGCAGTGCATATAGTGAGGCTGTGCTCAAATACCCCCCTCCCCCATCACAGCCTCCATTGTGAGCTGAATCATGCACAGATTCAGCTAATGCACCTGCAGCAGTTTCCACAGTCAGTAGCATGGAAGACCTGGCACACGCTGGAGTGTGTGTGGAAGAGGGACCTGTGCCTCCCTGTGCCACAGTGCCTTGGCGCAGCTTCCAGCTGAAATTATAAACTCTGGATAAGAGTTGCCATATACCTTATTCTTTGGCTGAAGAAAGCACCAGCTGCTAGCTGAACAGAAGAACCTGATTAACAGCAAATCGAAAGCCTGCAAATCAGATGGGATGAACTTTGACAACACATTTTACATAAAAATATTTTGCCATTGAAACAAAAGCAGTTCACTTAGTTAAACTAAAAATCAGTTGAATTTTAGAAATAAAAATATTGAAAGATGTACATGTGGGGAATGGGGGGAGGAGGAGGACAGGATTTCGGTAAAGAATGCGCTTGGGGAAAATATACTTAGAATCATAGAATCAGAGAGTCATGGAATCTTAGATTTGGAAGGGACCCAAGGGTCATCTAGTCCAACCCCCTGCAATGCAGGAATCTTAGCTAAAGCATCCATGACAGATGAGCATCCTGCTTAAAAACCTCCAAGGAAGGAGAGGCCACCACCTCTCATGAGAGTCTGTTCACTGCTGAGTATCTCTTACTGTCAGAAAGTTTTTCCAAATGTTTAGTCAGAATCTACCATATTTTTCGCTCTATAAGACGCACCAGACCACAAGTTTTTGGAGGAGGAAAACAAGAAAAAAAAATATTCTGAATGTCAGAAGCCAGAAGAGCAAGAGGGATCGCTGCACAGTGAAAGCAGCAATCCCTCTTGCTGTTCTGGCTTCTGGAATAGCCGCACAGCCTGCATTCGCTCCATAAGACGCACACACATTTCCCCTTACTTTTTAGGAGGGGAAAAGTGAGTCTTATAGAGCAAAAAATACGGTACTTTCTTGCAACTTGAAGCCATTGGTTTGAGTCCTATCCTCCAGAGCAGGAGAAAACAAGCATGCGCCTTCCTCCATGGGACAGCCCTTCAGATATTTGAAGATGGCTATCATATCTCCTCTCAGTCTCCTCTTTTCCAGGCTAAACATACCCAGCTCCTTCAAGCGCTCCTCAGAAGTCTTGGTTTCCAGACCCTTAATCATCTTGTTCATGCTCCTCTGCACACGTTCCAGCTTGTCAACATCCATCTTAAATTGTGGTGCCCAGAATTGGACACAGTATTCCAAGTGTGGTCTGACTAAGGCAGAATAGAGTGGTACTATGACTTCCCTTGATCTGGACACTATACTTCTGTTGATCCAAACTAGAATAGCTTTAGCTTTTTTTGCTGCTGCATCACACTATTGACTCATGTTAAGCTTGTGGTCCACCAAGACCCAGAGATCCTTTTCACATATTAAGCCAGGTGTTCCCCATCCTATATTTGTGCATCTGGTTCTTCCTAAGTTCAATAGGGACCTTACATTGGTCCCTATTGAAATTCATTTTGTTAGTTTGGGCCCAGTTCTCCAATCTGTTAAGGTCATTTTGAATTCTAATTTTGTCTTCTGCGGCATTAGCTGCAGTTTCGTGTCATCTGCAAATTTGATGAGCATCCCCTCAATTCCTTCATCCAAGTCATTTATAAAGACGTTGAACAACAACGGGCCCAGGACAGAACCCTGCGGCACCCCACTTGTCACTTTTTCCCAGGATGACGAGGAACTGTTAATGAGTGCTCTTTGGGTTCAGCCAGTCAACCAGCTACAAATCCACCTAACAGTTACCTCGTTCAACCCACATTTTACCAGCTTCTTCGCAAGAATATCATGGGGACTATGTCAAAAGCCTTACTGAAATCAAGATACACTATGTCCACAGCATTTCCCTGATCCACCAAGTTTGTAATTCCATCACAAAAAGAAAATAGATTGGTCTAGCATGACTTATTTTTGAGAAACCCATGCTGGGTCTTAGTAATCACAGCATCCTTTTCAAAATGCTCACAGACCAACTGCTGAATTATCTGCTCTAGGACCTTCCCTGGTATGATGTGAAGCTCACTGGTCGGTAGTTACCTGGTCTTCCTTTACCCCCTTTTTGAAGATGAGGATAACATTTGCCCGCCTCCAGTCTGTAGGGACCTCACCTGTTCTCCAAGAATTCTCAAAGATAATAGACAAAGGCTCTGAAATTACATCTGCAAGCTCCTTTGGTACCCTTGGATGCAGCTCATCAGACCCTGGAGATTCGAATCCATTTAAAGCAGCTAGGTGTTCCCTTACTACCTCTTTTCCTATCTTGGGCTGCAGCTCCCTCCTTATGTCACTTATTCTGTTACCACCAGGTTGGGCATCACTTTCCTTTTGGGTGAAGACAGAGGTAAAGTAGGTGTTGAGAAGTTCTGCCTTTTCTCTCATCCAATAGCATGTCTCCATCTTCCCCACACAGAGGACCTACCACTTGCTTGTTTTTCCTCTTTCTTTGGACATAGCCAAATGAACTTTTTTAAAAACCTCTCTTGCAAGCCTGAGCTCATTCTGAGCTTTTGCCGGCCTGACCTTCCCCCTGTTGGCTACTTGTTGGCTCCTCCTCTGTGATTTCCTCTTTCTTCCATTTCTTATACATGCCCTTCTTAACCCTCAGCTCATCTGTAAGCTCCTTATGCAGCCATACCAGCTTTCTTTGACACCTCTCACTTTTCTTTCTTGTTGGTATTGCCTGCATTTGTGCCTTCAATATTTCTCCTTCTAGAAACTCCCATCCTTCTTGGACTCCCTTCACATTGAGTATTTCTGACCATGGGATCACACCCAGTAGCTCCTTCCGCTTTTCAAAATTGGCCTTCTTAAAGTCCAGAGTGCGTGTCCGACTACACTCGGTTTCTCCTTGCCTCTGTATCCTGAAACCCAGGAGAACATGATCACTTCCTCCCAAGTTTCCAAGCACTTCCACTTCAGCAATCAGTTCCTCCCTACTGGTGAGGACCAGGTCCAAGATAGACAATCCTCTTGTTGGTTCTTCCACCTTCTGAGAAATGAAATTGTCAGTGAGGCAATGGAGGAATTTATCAGACCTTACACTCTTGGCAGAGTCTGAGTCCCAGCAGATATTGGGGAAGTTGAAGTCCCCCATGATTGCTATTTTTCTCCTTTTTGAATGCTCTAATAAGGCATCATCCAAGTCTTCAGTCTGGCTTGGTGGTCTATAGCAGACACCCACAGTAAGGTCATTGTCGTTTCTCTCCCCTGCATTTTTTACCCATACGCTCTCAATCAGCTTTTCATGCTCCAGGCCGTGGATTTCTTCACAAGTGTACTCCTCCTCCCTTCCTGTTTGGTCTATTGCTTTTTAACAGGTTATTCATCCTGATGTGCTGGAAGAAACCCAGAATTTGTCTTAATGTTAAATTATCATTATGCATAACAGATTTCCAGCTGTGTCTGCCTCTAAAATTTCTAACAATGATTAATGTGTTGTCATTATTGGAAACAGGAGGCCTGTGACACTGCAGGTCATAATATTAAGGTGTAGAAAGCTAATGTTGTATAATATCTCTCTGCACTTTAACTTTCCTCTTTTTAATTTAAAATAGACAGCTGCTTCCTAATTTTTGTCCTACAGGGTCTTTCCTTCTCCAGAGTTCTTGTACTCCACAAACCTCTTGATGACTGAAGGAAACCTTTTTCTGAAATAAAATTGGAGGCATACTTCATTCTTTCTGCTGAATAGGGTAAGAGTCACCTGGCTCAGAGGAACGAACCACTCTTGTTTCAGCATGTCCTTATTTGGGACAGGAGTGTGTGGGAGGCATGTCTCTTCTGAGAGTAGATATGATGTGTTGGGGTTCAAGTGTCTCCAAAATGTGTAAAAGACACACTTGTTAACAGGCTGCCAATTACATTGGATTCAGCTTGGATGAAAACCTCAATGAAAACCCGGCTGAAAAGAAGCCAAAAGGATGCTTCTTATATAGGGGTGTCTCAAAATGCATTAATAGAATGGGCACAGTCCATGTCTGGAGGCGGTTGGAGGATGGATGGCGGCTAACAGATTGAGGTTGAATCCTGACAAGACAGAAGTACTGTTTTTGGGGGACAGGGGGCGGGCGGGTGTGGGGGATTCCCTGGTGCTGAATGGGGTAACTGTGCCCTTGAAGGACCAGGTGTACAGCCTGGGAGTCATTTTGGACTCACAGCTGTCCGTGGAGGTGCAGGTCAATTCTGTATCCTGGGCAGCTGTCTACCAGCTCCATCTGGTACGTAGGCTGAGACCCTACCTGCCCACAGACTGTCTCGCCAGAGTGGGGCATTCTCTAGTTATCTCCCGCTTGGACTACTGCAATGCGCTCTACGTGGGGCTACCTTTGAAGGTGACCCGGAAACTACAACTAATCCAGAATGCGGCAGCTAGACTGGTGACTGGGAGCAGCAACCAAAACCACATAACACTGTCTTGAAACACCTACATTGGCTCCCAGTAAGTTTCCAAGCACAATTCAAAGTGTTGGTGCTGACCTTTAAAGCTCTAAACGGCCTCGGTCCAGTATACCTGAAGGAGCGTCTCCACCCCCATCATTCTGCCCGGACGCTGCAGTCCAGCGCCGAGGGCCTTCTGGCGGTTCCCTCGCTGCGAGAAGCCAAGTTACAGTCAGAGGACCTTCTCGGTAGTGGCGCCCGCCCTGTGGAATGCCCTCCCACCAGATGTCAAAGAGAAAAACAACTACCAGACTTTTAGAAGACATCTGAAAGCAGCCCTGTTTAGGGAAGCTTTTAATGTTTGACAGATTATTGTATTTTAGTATTTTGTTGGAAGCCACCCAGAGTGGCTGGGGAAACCGAGCCAGATGGGTGGGGTATAAATAATAAATTATTATTATTATTATTACTATTACTATTACAGTGGTACCTCGGGTTAAGTACTTAATTCGTTCCGGAGGTCGGTACTTAACCTGAAACTGTTCTTAACCTGAAGCACCACTTTAGCTAATGGGACCTCCTGCTGCTGGCACGCCGCCGGAGCACGATTTCTGTTCTCATCCTGAAGCAAAGTTCTTAACCTAAAGCACTATTTCTGGGTTAGCGGAGTCTGTAACCTGAAGCGTATGTAACCTGAAGCGTATGTAACCTGAGGTACCACTGTATTATTATTATTATTATTATTATTATTATTATTATGAGTGGGAACTAATCTTCAGGCAGTAGTAGACTAATCTTGTGGCAGTAGTAGACTGATATATATATATAGAGAGAGAGAGAGAGAGAGAGATAGTAACATAATTTTATTAAAATTTTATGGTGTGCACGGTATAAAAGTAAAAATGTAGGTAATAAGAGAGAGTCATAAAACTAGAAGGAAACAATAATTAATAGTGCAAGTCTGACACACTTAACTACTGTCAGTTCTTACCAGATGAACCCTCAAATACTGTGGTTTGGGACTGCACCATGTAGCAGTAGTTTTTGACTAGCAGCGGAAGCCAAAATGAAATGACATATAGACACTGCTTCCCCCCCAGGGTGTACTCAAGGGTACGCAGTACCCGCACCTCTTTTTTGGGGGGGGGGTTTAAAAAGTGTAACACTTACTGTAACAACTTCATTATGAGTTCCGGTACCTATTTTTCTAGGAAAAAAAGAGATGACATATGGTCTGGTGAGAAATATGAATATGAAAGATTTCCATGATTGGTGCTTCCTCCACATCTTGCTGGTATTCGGTTTATGTTTAGCAGCATACAATTCCAGGATGAACAATTCCAGTGATTTGCGCTCAAGAAATCTCTGCTTTCAGAGAGACTTGTGGAAGGAAGTTACAGCAGATAAGAATATAGTTGTGCTTATATTGGCTCTAGAGAATATTAAAAGATCATGGCTTTGCCAAGATAGCCAAGGGAAGACCACCCTGTTAGTTCCTGAGATCATCAGATGAAGGCCTCCTAGTACTGCAGCCTTCAGAAAATAAATCATGCTGAAGGAGGGTCTTCATAGTAGTAGCATCTTCCATCTGGAACAGCGTCCTCTTAGAAATAAGTTATGCGCCAATGGAATTACGTTTCTGGCACATCTTGAAAACGTATCTGTTTATTCAGGCATTTCCTGGCCATTAATACCATTCACCCAGATGGCTGGTTGCTGTGATTATTGTGAATTGTTATATTATGGTGGATCATGTATTATTGTTTTAATGCAGTGGTAAGGAATATTTTCCAGCCAGAAAGCTGAATCCTGGGTTCCCCCACCCCCAGCAGACCCTTTTGATAGCTGGGTGGGTCCTTAGATATTTATTATCTGCAGAGATATAATTTCTTCATTAAAGAAGTCATAGGAAAGGATGTTCGGGAACAATATTTTGCTCAGAACATTATAATCAGGGTTCTGTATACTCTCAATAAAAATCCTATTCCAGGAAAAGTTAAATTCCAAAACCCATATGTGTTATGCAAATTTTCCTAATTTGCACAGTTCTGCAACTTTTAGAGTTTTGCATTATTTGTTCTTGTTTTGCTAATTACAGATTTTAAAAAAGCGCTATACAGGACAGTGATCCTAATTCTCACTCAACTATTGGAAAACCTGTTTGGCTACTTCTCTGGCTTCTGAGATTCCTCCTTATGTCATACCTTCATACGTATATTTATAGCCACAAGAATTAGAAACTTGCTTTTCCTGTAAGCTGAAGTTTCCAAGAACCTAGTTCCTGAGACATAGCCTGTGTTCTGGCAGACTGAGAGCAGGTACACAGCCCTAATTATATAAGGCACTGCATTAGGAGGGAGGTTTTAGCCCTGCCGTGTTCTTGTAAATGTACCAGTATAGTGATGTCTTTGTATTGAGTTGTGGTCAAGATAAAGCTACATAAGTGGAAGAGATGGCGCTGGATTTGGATTTAGAGAATAAACCTAGATGAAAGGTGTCTGTTTGGTAGCTATCCAGGAAAACACTATTTTCAATTGACCCTGGCTGTTCAGCAGTGGGGTGAAGGCTTCCTGGCTGACTTTGTGTCTCCTTTGTGTTGTGTATTGTTGGTTGGCTTGCTTGCCATGTTTCTTATTGTATTGAACTTCAAATTAAGTTCAGACGCTACATTTGAAGAGAAAACTCAATTCCGTGATCCGGAAGTTTGAAGGCACTTTCTTCCCTTACCATGCACAGAAGGTAACTTGCAGATTGAACTCTTTTGTATTTATCAGCCCTCAGGATCCCCTAGTCTTCCCAATCCTGGTGCATTTTCAGTCTGAGGATTGGATCACAAGTACCCAGAGTTTCTGTCTGCACATAAATGCTTTACTAGAGCATTTAAAATGCTACTGTCAATAATGTGGTAAGGGGAGGAGAAGATATTGCTGCTGCTTTCTTCCTACTCTCTCTGGAAATTAGCATGTGTACAGGATTGTAGAATAGATACCAGCTAGGTTTTAACCAAACTTTCATTTCCTCAGGTATTAGTAGTCTGTCCTTCCTCATTCCAAAGCCTTGGAGTGAATTATAATGTTAAAAACAAGAACCTACACACCACACAAACCAACCAAATCTCCAGTTCTCAAGGAAGAGAATGCCAGCCCCCCTCTTCGGGACCAAGCTCTGGTTTTGAGAAATCTCCAATAGAGGAGAGTACCACAACTGTAGGGCAGCCTAGGATAACACCTCTCTCTGTGTTGTTGCTATTCCAACTTGGTTCTTGAATGGTAAAGTCAAGGAAGCAGTTTCTGCTGATCTGTTAACAGTTGTGAGATAATAAAGCAAGCAGGTGGTCTCCAATAAGTGTTGGGCGTAAGGCCTAAAACTTTATGCAGCCCAGCAGCATTCAAAGAGCAGTCAATTTCCTGCTTATTAATTGCCAGCTTTGGATGTTGTAATCTCAGTCCATTTTATACACCAGAGCATTGCAAAGCCATCCCAAGGCACTTCTTTGGAGTCAGCCTTTCAAAAACCAAGAGTCCTTGTGTTGCTCTGTTTAATGAGGCATACGGTACATGGTTTTGGTAGCCTTCTAGCTGGCTGCCATTCTGCAGCCCTGTCTCATTAGGTGGGACGATCAGTTTAAAATTATGGCTTCCATTTGCTTCCATCCCAGGCAACAGTTGACCTGCAGGTGGTCTGTTTTCCATTTTGCAATTTACATGGCTAACCCCAGTACACAAAAGTTTTTAAAGTCCAGTGTATCTATTTTTAATGGAAACTTATGCACAAAGCTTAAATTGTTTCCATGCCCAGCATGCTCTTTTTCTCCTATATATCCGTTCCAATATATTTCCAAAACTTACTCCAATTTTTTGAAATTTCTGGTCATCTTGGTCTCGTATTCTGCCTGTTAATCTATCTAGCTCGGCATAGTTGATCATTTTGACCTGCCAGTCACTTATGTTAGGAATAGTTTCTATTTTCCAGTTTTGTGCCAGCATAATTCTTGTGGCTGTGGTGGCATAGAGAAATATTTTTTATCTTCATTTTTATTTCCTTACCCATTATTCCCAGCAAAAAGGCCTCAGGTCTCTTGGGAAAAGTGTATTTAAAAACTTTTTAAGTTCATTATAAATTGCTTCCCAAAAACCTTCACCTTGCTGCATTGCCACCACATATGGTAGAGGTCTCCCTCCCCTTCACCACATTTCCAGCATGTCTTATTTTCTGATCTATAGATTTTAGCCAATTTTGCCGGCGTAAGATACCATCTATAGAGCATTTTCCAAACATTTTCTCTCAAACTCGTACAGGCCGTAAATTTAATGTCTCTATTCCACAATTTCAACCACTTTTCAAACTCGATGTTATAACCGAAGTCAATTGCCCATTTAATCATTGCCTCTTTGACTTCCTCGTCTTTTGTATGCCATTCCAGTAATATGTCATATAATTTAGACAATGTTTTGTTTTTGCCTTCTATTATTTCTATATTGAATTTTGATTTCTTGTCCTCAAAGCCCATTTTTCTTTTATCTTGTTTTAACATATCATTCACCTGGTGATATTGTAGCCAGCCGGTGAATTGATCCTTTATTTCCTCATACGGTTTAAGTTTAAGCCCTTGTTCTGATTTTCTTAGCAAATCTTCGTAGGTGGCTGTCTTCCCTTCCATGTTGGTTTTTTTTATTGTTAAGACCTCTACTGGTGAAATCCACCATGGTGTTTTTCTTTCGAGAAGGTTCTTATTTCTTTCCCAGACCTGATATATTGGTCCCCTGAAAATATGGTTTAAGAAAGCCCTGTGGACTTTCACCTTCTCGTACCAGAAAAGTTTTGTTCCATGTGTGAAAAGAAAGGAAGCCACAAGAAAGAACAGGGGAAAGTGATGGTTTCAGCTCCTGCGTGAAAAAACCCCCAGGCTTTGTCTACATGACCAAATGATAATCTTGAATTTGAGAACTTGCATTATTAATTTGGGGATGAGCAGAAGCCTTTTAAATCACCAGTTTAAAAGTCTTGCCAAAAAGGTGTATATATACACACACACACACACACACACAATCACAACCCCTATAGGAAAATTCACATTTACCCCACACTTTCTGTACTACTGCAGAGGAGCAGGGGAATATGCACATAACCCCACAAGAAAATTCATATTCTCTTTGTGCGGGGGTTGCAGCAATGTGTTGGGATTGACTCACCCACAAAAACCCTGCTTGTTCAAGTGGTTTACTCATGTGAGCAGTGCATCGCTTGCATAGCATGCTGCCCTTTTCTTTCCAGGAGCTGGGGAATGGCAAGTTCCTTGTGTCATCTTGTAGAAACGTGCTGCTTCCTTGAGTAGTCCATTTCTAAGGCCAGTTTCTTTGTCCAGCATCTTTGGCCCATCAAATGGACGCAGCCGACTCTCACTTGCCCTTGACTTGAAAGTGTGAAGCAACCTCTACTCAAGTCAACTCTTAGAATTTGTGTAATTGTGTGTCAGGTTCTATCTAGGGAGCTATTAAAAGGGGTGAAGGAATTGCAATCCCGTGTCAGTGTCTAGCGTACTTTGGTTGACTTGCATGCAAGGGGCCTCTTCAAAATTCTGAGAAACACTTTTAAGGCCTGAGTGTCCTGCTCAGCATAACGTGAAGAGAGACTGAGATTGCCTGGCTGAACTCTCATTATGGTCACTAATTTCAGCAAGGGATGATTTCAGAGAGTTTGGAATATTTCTGCCAACTTTGAATGAAACTCTTATGCTTGAGATTGTTCACTGAATGACACAGTTTTAAATAATGGAAGCAGGAACTTGGCCTGCCATGAATTTGTTATGACTGACTAACAGCGGAAACTCTGGGTTTTCTTTCTTTCTTTCTTTCTTTCTTTCTTTCTTTCTTTCTTTCTTTCTCTTAATTTTTAACAGAGATGGTAAAAGGCAATAAATCATAAATGTACAGTTTTCATGAGGCGCCATGCAGTGCTTTTTTCCCTAAAAAAATGTTTAGGGGTACTCTCATTTTCCTACTCATGTTGAAATACTGCCCCTCAATGAGGCCAAACTTAGATTCACAAAATGTTAAGGGGTATGCGTACCCCTGCGTTCCCCGAGGGAAAAAACCTCTGGTGCCATGTATGTTGATAGTACCATACATTAACAATGTAAAAACAGACAGAAGAATTTGGTAGAGTTAATTCAGAAAGCAAATAAAAATCAATGAACATGCGTAACCTTCCATACATGTGTTTAATGTGTGCAGGTACATTAACTATAGGTTTGCTTTGTTCTGTCATTACTCTGTCAATGTTGTGATCTCTCCAGGTACGGGGTGTTCAGATAAATTTAAAAAGTGCAGGACTGTAGTTGAAGTTCACCAAGGAGCTGCTCTGAAAAGAGCTGCCATACAAAACCACCAGTGCAAATTGCATGCGGATGGGTGGTCTTGTGGTCTTGTAAGCCAGTCTGAAGGTGGTGGGCCCCAAGGTTAGAAAAAGTACAAGATCATATTCCCAAAACACCACTGGTGGGATTGCGAAGCAGGAAGAGGAACTGAACTTTATTGCCTGAATAGTGCAAATCTAACATTGCCATCAGTTGGCATGTCATGGCTGTGATAAAGCTGATAACAATTTTAACAGCACAAGCTGGTTAAAATACAGTATTATTGTCTAATAAAAAGCACAGGGAGAAATTGGTGATATTGTTAGCCACCAGTACAGTACCTGGCTTGTGTCAGTGATTCCCAATCTCTGTGCTGCAAGAAATATGATGAAGGGGACCTGTGATTCCATAGCCCCTGTTCACAGATGAGGCTGCCCACTTGGCATGAGTATCTGCTCTGGTCTTGCTTTATTCAGATAAGTCTCCACTATAGTTGGGTGGTTCCAGTTACATTCAGACGTTCAGTCATTCCTAGAGTCAAGGCACAGCAGAATTAGCTACCCTCAGAGGAGGAGGCCAGTTGTGTGAGTTGTACTTCTGAACTTGCCATCTCTTAATCTAGAGTTATGCTCAAGACAGATTGAGGGAGGGACTCTTCAGAGGTTGACTAACTCTAAAAAGTAATCATTTTCTAGTGTAAGTGTGCCTCCAATTTTATTTTTTATTTTTGGCGGGTGTTCCCAAACATTTAAGAAGCACAAACCAGTGCACGAAGCAAGGTTACATGTGTCTACTTGGAAATTTCAAACCTATTATTGGGAGATAATGCAGTCCAAATTTGTTGGAACACTTTTGCTGATCCACCCCAAATCAGTGGTTAGAAAATGCATTACCTCACAGAAGTTAAAACAAGAAATGGTTTTTCCGGAGGTGGTGATTGTTTTACAAGACCAACTTCTGAAAGTTTGGTGTATGACTAATCCTTACTACATTGCGTCTTTGTATATCTTACTAATTTAAGAGAAGTGTTCTTTGGGGGGGGGAATCTTGTAATGTTTGGTAGGACCAAGGCTTTTTTTCAGTCCCAGCACCTCTCAGGTGGGCGCCGTTTGCATTCTAAGAGAACAAGGGAGGTGTTCAGGGTGAGTTCCAGCACCTCTTTTTTTTTTTTAAGATATTTATTAAGATTTTCAAAATATTACAAAATGAAAAAAGAAAAGAGAAAAATACAAAATAAAAGTAGTTAAAAACAATTCAATCTTTCCGTTACTTATCTTTCATTTGCTTGTTTCCCGGACCTCCTCGCGCCTCCCTTTTTTGTATTCCAATTCAGTTTGTTAGTTCAGCAAATCCTTCCGCTCTTTGTTTATCCTAGTCTTTAATCTTAAAATATTGTAACATTAAATTTTTACCTATTAATAATCCATTTTTCATATTCCCTTATAATATTACAGCTAAAAACCACTTAATTTCTATCCAACATCATTCTAACATTCATTAATTTTGCAGTATTTCTGTAAATAGTCTTTTCCCATTCTTTCTTTCACCAATTAATCATCCACTTTTACTTTATTTAATCTTATTTCTCTTAAAACTTATATATCTAAGCTTATTCTTAAAACGTTTCCCCTAGGGTCAGAAAAAATTCCATTCCACGATTTTCCCATCTCTCATTAAAAGATAAAAACAAAAACAAAAAAACAAAACAAAAACAAATTATAATATGTACATTTTAAATTCCCAGTTTTCTTTCACCAACTCCCCTCCCCGGTTTCGGCCCCTAGCGATAGTTCCATCAATCTCGGAAAACCATCAACCCGGAGATCTTAAGTCCGAGGCTCTTAAATCTCTTTCATGTCCCCTCTGCCGGTCTTTTTGGTAGTCTTTGGTGTTAAAGAACAGATCTTGGTGAAGCTCCAACCCATCGGTAGTCATATTCCTTCTTAGCAGGTATGCCAGACTTCCGTAGTTAGAAGTAGGGCCTATAGAATATTCCAAATCTTGTTTCACACTCCTTTCAAATCCAAAGGCCCTAAAAACTCCAGCCTCCGCCTGACTCAGATTTGTGTCCCAAAAGTCATTTGATCTCCACATAGGGTGATCTCTCCATCTTTTATTTTCCAAACCAAGCCAGGCTTCCATCTCCAAAAACTGGCTCCTCCTAGTTGCCATCATGTAAGGCCTCAAGTTATAGTCCACCATTTGCCTCTGTAGGGTTACGGCTCCCCCTTGCATCACTTTAATCACAACAGATTCCTCCTCAGATTCTTCAATTTGTTCAGTTGGAAAAGATTCTTGTGCCGGATTCTTGTCAACTTCTTTACTAATGCCCACTTTTGTTCCCAAGGTTACAACATTGGTAGCCATAACATTTATCTGGTCTTGCAGCTTTCCCAACAAATAAAATGTTCTATTCAATTGACACTCGACTTCCTTCCCGACCGCCATCCTTAAGAAGTCCAAGGTCAAAACTAGTTTCTCAGAACTTTTATCTTAAGCAATTTCCCAGCTGCATCCTTACGACAATATCCCAGAGCTCCCTCTAGAGGGACACAAGTTCCTTTTATCACTCCTTCCAGCACAGTCCCAAAGGTCCCAAACGTAAGATTGTAACAATTCCTTCCTTCTTTTTAAATACTGAAACGGACAGTAGAAACAAAGTCCTTCTTTTATATCTTGATAGCTAGCTTGTATCTTGACAGCTAACTTAACAGCTGTTAGATTTATCCGTCAACGGGCTCTCACAGACCGCTCCCGGTTTTAGGGAAATGGCGCTTCAGTTCCCAAATTTTAACCCTCACCTGCAGGCTTCCCTGCTTCTAAGAAGATATTGATAGTAGTTTCAATCAGTGGAGTTTAGATCCTTTACGTAAGACTTTCCACGACCTTAGTTAACAAGTTCTTTGCTTCAGTTTATTTACAGAAAGGGGAGGTGGACTTCCTGTTTAGACCTTCCCCGATTGCTGCCAATTTAAAAATACTTTAAAAGCCCAATTTCCATTCTACTCACGGGTTGTTGTTTAAAATCCAATTGTCCACAAGAAAAAGTCAGCGCTCTCCAGCAACGGCTATGCGGCTTCGCTCCGTGAAAAAAGCAGTTGACTCACAGCACCGCGCCACTCACCCCGCTCCGCTCCGAAGCCCGTAAACGGGTCTCCTTGCGAGTTGGGGGGGCGCAAAAGGTGCCCGCCGAGTCCCACGTTCACAGGCTTCACCCGCCTATGATTTCTGTAGGGTCCCCGCTTCGCCGTAGCGGTATAGACCCAATTTCCGCGGAGCTAGTCCCTCCAGATCGGAGGGAGTCCGCCATTAGCTGATGGCGCTAACCCGGAAGTCCCCGAGTTCCAGCACCTCTTGTGCTAGAAAAATAGCACTAGCTAGGACTAGCCAGAAGTTTATTTCTGCCTCTTATTGTTATGGCACAGTTTCATCAAGAGCTAAGAAAGCACAGCTCCCTGCCCCAAGGAGTTTACAAAGGGGCAGTAATACAGGGGGAGAGGCAAAAAATCGGGAAGACAAGGAAGGAGCAATGTGAGAGGTGCAAACCAAAGAACAGAGAGGTTTTTAAAAATGGTTAATGACTTGTCAGTAATCTTGGTGGTCGCTGTGGAAGAGGGGGGAAAGCTTTCTCAGCACAAGGACAACATTCCCCAAGGGCTTCCATCGTGGGCTCGCATGTCAGTGGTGTGCAGGACCAGAGGCTTGTGTGAGTGTCTGGAGGCGGTTGGAGGATGGATGGTGGCTAACAGATTGAGGTTGAATCCTGACAAGACAGGAAGCGGGCAGGTGTGAGGGACTCCCTGGTCCTGAATGGGGTAACTGTGGCCCTGAAGGACCAGGTGCGCAGCCTGGGAGTCATTCTGGACTCGCAGCTGTCCATGGAGGTGCAGGTCAATTCTGTGTCCAGGGCAGCTCCATCTGGTACGCAGGCTGAGACCCTCCCTGCCCGCAGACTGTCTCGCCAGAGTGGTGCATGCTCTGGTTATCTCTCGCTTGGAGAGTGGCTGGGGGGACCCAGCCAGATGGGCGGGGTATAAATAATAAATTATTATTATTATTATTATTATTATTATTATTATTATTATAAAAGCCAGCAGAAAAATGGCAGCAACTATTGCCTCTGTACAGTTGGCTACATTCCAGTCATGCAAAAATCAGGAACTTTCTGCACTCCTCTCCCCATGCACACCCACCTGCCCACACCTCTAGTATATCCGTATTGTGAGGAGCAGGCTGTGGTTGAGATGGGCTGGTTACAAAATCCCTTTACCAGGGAAAGTGCGGGTGGGAAATGGCTTCAGAGTGAACCAGAAAGTCTTTTCTCAATTGTCTGGAGGAAGGATTTATTTCCTGGTTAATTTTGAAGACATTTCCTAGTGTGTGTGTTATCAGCTGATTGTTGGTGCTTGCAAAGTGCTGTGCTTAGGGCTTTGTAGGGACCAGTGATCAGCAGTGCCCGCAACCCCTCTTTGGCCCCAAACAGCTTTGTGGGCCAAATGGGACCTGACAGGACTCATAGGACTGCCGACTGGAGATTCCTTACTGCTGTGCCTGGCCTGGTACAGCTCACCCCCGTACTGTTGGGGGCTGGGAGAGATGGAGGGCTGAGGAAAAGTCTCAGGGGCCACATTTGGCTCCACACCCACAGTCCATGGAAAGAACATCTCGTTCCTCCAAGAGGTGACTAATTGAACACAACCGTCCTGTTGTTTTTGTAAACAGATGGATCTTTCGGTAGAAACCCTCTACAGCTTAATGCAGGAGCGCCAGAAAAGATATGCCAAATACGCTGAGCAGATCCAGAAGGTCAATGAGATGTCTGCCATCTTGCGTCGCATCCAGATGGGCGTCGACCTGACCATTCCCCTGATGGAGAGACTGAATGCCCTGCTGCCTGAGAGCGAGAGGCTGGAACCGTTCACCATGAGCCCTGACAGGGAGCTCAAGCTGTAGTTTTCTGATACAGCCTTCAGTCATCTTTTTCCTGGACCCTACTTGATAAGGAACTTACTTGGAACACGCTTCACAAGCCTGAGTGAGTAGAGCAGAGGTATCAGTTCTGTGTTAGGCAGAAAGACTGTGTTTGGCTTGCAGGGAATGTTAAATACACACATCAACTTGGAATGAAATGCCATTTCTTACCTCTCCTGCTCCCAGCTGCTTGCCACCACTGCCTCCACCCACCAAAACATCGCTTTAACTAGGTTCAGATTTAAACCTTCACATCCTTAAACCTTCACATCCTTCCTCTACTGTTGTGCACATTAGTGTGCTTACTGAGGAATCCTTCCAGCTGCAGAGGATTCTGGGGCATGCTCTAATGTAGTTTTTCAACTGTTTCTTGTAAGATTGGTGTTGGCAAACAAACTGCCCACAAGAGCTTCACCATCATTGCCAGCCTTCCTCTCTAACACACCTGAATTCTACAACTCACTCCTAGCAATTCCAGCATACACATGAGTGTGAAAAACACAGAGAAGCGGAAGTTTGATGGTCATTGTTCTAGAGCAGGGTCCCAGTTTGGGCCATGAGGCCATTTCCCCTAAACCATGTCCACCTGCACATCATGTGTGGGGCAGGTAGAGACATGGCTAGATTCAGCTTTGCAACTTGCTCACACAGCCAGTCTCTGCAGAAAACAGCATTGCCATCCTGTGCTAAGTGCTTTGCACAATTATAGGGCAAACCCCCTTGTGCTGTGGTTCCCAAGCGCCCAATAACCAGTAAGCTGTCAGGCACTTGAGAAGTGCTGTGGAAGGGACTTTGACAGAGGGGTGAGACAACCTGCCTGCCAATCATATGAAGTCATAAGTCAATCTGGTGATTGATAGGTGAGTCATCTTTCCCACCTGTTGTTGACCTGTGGTGGTGGGCAGGATCTCCCTCCTTTAGGGTTTTTCTTTAAATTGGCTTCTTATTTTATAGGGCTATTAAATGTGCAACTGCTTGAGCTATGTGACTATCACAGCTTTGCAGGCAGCAGAGCTAGAGCTTGGGTGGTGGTTTAGGCTGGTGTTTCCAACACCTGAATGAAAGGAGTGCCTCTTGCCCTATCCTATTCATTTGCTTTGCCAGATGATTCTTAACACAATGGATAAAGCATGACGAGGCAAGGTTATGTCCATATCCAAAGGAAACTGTAAAGCCTGCTAAGCTGGGACAGGTTGGCTCATATGCCAAAGGCACCTCAGAGGTATGCCATAAAAATGCCACCTTGCTGTTTGCAGTTGAATCTCTCCAAAGATGGCTGCTTTATGGTCTCAGTTCAGGGGCAACCTGAACTACCTAACCATGTTAGTTTGGACTGATGTCTCCTGCTCTGTAATTCTGGTGTGGCTTTGAAGCTGTCCTGTGCCTAGAATTAAAAAGGGTTTGGAGGCTATTTCAGAGTTGCCTTCTGCATTTCAAACACTTTTATTTATGTAAAGCACTTGATTTTGATCCAAGCCTATGTAGTACACTAGTGTGGAAAATACCACTGAAGTCTTCAGTCTGTGTATGTAGCTGCTTGATCAACTGGAGCGATTGCCGCTTTGTTTTCCCTATGTGATTCCTTTGCTGGCTGGGTCTGAGGAATCCTAATATTGTCATATTATCCAGTTTTGTTCTGGCACACTCGAATTCCCTCTTATCTCCAAGTCTTTGAAGGAAGGAATGGAAAGTTGCTTTTATCTGTTATTACTTAGCTTGAGAGATGAATCCAAGAGTGAAAAGGAAAAAGAAGACACTTGATACTCCTCTCTGTGGTAGTAGGGTCTACGTGGGGGTAGCCACTGGAGAAGGGACTCCTGGTGAGGAAAAAGGAAATCTGCTGTATTGCTCCAAGGCTGAAGAAGGGATTGGCAAAGTCTGTCTCCTACAGCTCTTACTACTGTATATGTTTCCAGTGGTATATGTATATGTAACCACTTGTTCTCAGAAGTGTGCACTCTTCCTTTGAAAAGGAGAAGCAACCACTAAATCATGATTAAGGAAGTGAGAGGAAAATGTCTAAAAAGGGCTATGCTTAACTATCAGAAATGATTATGAATAGTAGGAGAGCTTTTACCCAAATACACATGAGCAATCTGTGGTTCGAGGTCAGCGACAGAGTGCCTCTTCAGCTAACAGAAGTTCCACACAGCGCCTACGCATGCAACATCTTATTTTAAGGAATGCTTTTTCCAAAGAAGCTATTCATCAGGTCCTTTTCAAAAATAACCCTTGAGTTATGTAGTTCATGCCCCCTTGAATCCTGGTTGGCACACCCCTGCCCTCCCTTCTTTTAGAGGGAAGTATTTTATTATGCCTTTTTTCTTTGATTTTACCTGATAGTCTTGGAGTTTGACAACTGTGCCATTGTTTTATATTTTTGCCTTCTGCATTATTTTGTTGGCACAATTGCTTATTAATTTTAAATAACTATTTTGGTTGAAAATTAGTATGGTAAATAAATAATAAGCAATCTTACATGGATGGCTGCCAAGGTGTTGCAAAAACCCCCAGATGCAACCAAAAGTGGGGAAAGGGTTCAGCTGTAGTTCTAGAAGATTCTAATGTCATATTCTGATTGCTTTACTTTCAAAATATGGCCTGGTCTCTTAAAAATGGATGCAAGTTAGTGTTATTTCTGCATTACACTTTTTGTTGTACAACACAACTCTAGCTAAGAAATAGCATTTAGCAGACCAGCTGGCCTTTGAAATGCTAAAGCCATATTTGGAACAATATGCTCAGTGTGGCCAGATTCCAGCACTGGTAGTCAAAGGCATACACTGAAGGCTGATAACATGTTCTTTGGACGCATTATTCTAAAAGCTGTGCTCTAGGAAAATGTTATCACACCACTTTGTTTCTCATTTTGGGGGACCAGTTCTGCTTGCTTTATTGACTACAGTTCTAGTCAGGAAAACCTTTGAGCTATTTTCACTGCAAGTCATGTCTACTCAAAAGTAACCCTCATTTAGTTCAATGGCTCTTACTTTTCAGGTAAGTGGGTACAGGATTGAAGCCTTAAAGTATGGAGGGGGAAAATAAATGTCTTCATTACTCATTCTGCTCCAAGCATGTATTCACAAATCTGTCCACCAGGGTGGAACTTGGTAGGCAAACGCACTGAATTCCTGAAATAGATTGAATTGTATTGGACCTGTTGAGAGCCAAATTTGGCACAGTGTTCCATTTAATTATGTGTAATAGCAGTAGAAAATGTAACATGTACAAATATATTGTGCATTGGACTCCTGCGTAAAAGTGCAAAGAGTTATGTAGTTAGCGAACCATCAAGGCAGGTGGGTATTTCGGTCCAAGCAGCCGATATGCCCCTCGTGAGCTAGCAAGAGAGATGCCATATGCAGATTTCCAGACTGGATTGGGAACCCAGAAAGCATATCTGCTTTGCAGTGTGTATTTGGCTATGATGCAACCTCATCACTCTTAAATTTTAAGCATATTTCTATCCAGTTGGAATGCAGGTAGGAATGCATCTCTCTAACCATTTTCTCAATCTGCATTTGGGCTTTTGAGCACAACTGTTATCTACTGTAATAATTTAATTCTGAGGAAAACCTGTAGGTGATCCTTACTGAGACTTGGCTTGCTAGGGTACCCAGATGTTAAAATGCTCTGCAGTGAAAACACATTGCTTGCCTGCTTTTCCTAGATCAGTGGTTTTCAAAGTGGAATTTCCTTTTGGGGAAGTTGTCCCTCCAGGGGTCTGTGAAATGTGATCCTATGCTGTAATTTCTGCCCCCCCAGTTCTGTCTGACACTTATGAAAACTGTGCTCTAGAACATGTCCCAGAAACTTCAGGGAACCCCCCCAGGCAGACGTGCAGCGTTCTCCAGGGTTTTTAAGTGCTTGCTGAAGGTGCACATTTGGACGTCTAATGTGTTCATATTTTTAGGCCTTGGAAATAGAGAAGGGGGGATCAGTGGTGGTGAAGCAGTTTCTGACAACTTTGTGTCAGGTGCACTGTGTAGTTTCCTTTTATTGCAATGCAACTTGTACAAATTTGATGGGTCTTGCATTACATTGCAAGATGTAGATGCTACTCTAACACAATGTTATTTCAGCTGGGAATATTTATTACTGTTTGGTTTTATTATTAATTAAAGGACATGTGACATGCCAGCTTTCTTCTGGGTTGTGTTTCTGGTGTTTGTTTTTTAAGAAACAGCCCAGCGGTTCTATCAGCAGATGGAAAACCCTCCTTACTCCCACCATTTCCCAAAAACAGAGTCGCTGAAGTCCTGTTGCTATCACTCCACTTGTTCCCCACACTTCACTTCCCCCTGACTTGACAATTGGGAGTAAGATGGTGTTTCTTAGTTGGCTGGATTTGGCTTTGTGTCTGCCAGTTGCTGACCTGTGCTTAAAAGAAATATTTTAAGTATTTGTATATTATAAAATTGGACTAAGTACAGACTGATCCTGGACTCAATAGTGATGTGTGCTCATACTACTGATCTCCCCAGAGTGATGTTAAAGGGAAGGCTACCTGCATGGCGTTGGAGTGCCCACTGACACCAATGGCTGAGGGGAGGGGTTGCAATTCAGAAGCCATTTTGCCTTTAAAATTTGATCTTGACCATATTTTTGATTTGCTCTTTTGTCCACTCATAGTTTAGATAAGGGAATCACATGGAATAGACAGATAGTATAGGACCAATTAAGACTTAATATTAACACTTCTTATACGTGGTTACAGTAACTCTGACATCCTAGCAAGGTAGGCAGTTAGCATCCCCATATTGCAGTTAAGGTGCTAAGGGTAAGATTGAGGCTCTGTCAGCCTCATGAGAGCCAGTGTGGTGTAGTGGTTAAGAGTGGTAGATTCGTAATCTGGGGAACCAGGTTCGCGTCTCCACTCCTGCACATGCAGCTGCTGGGTGACCTTGCGCTAGTCACACTTCTCTGAAGTCTGTCAGCCCCACTCACCTCACAGAGTGTTTGTTGTGGGGGAGGAAGGGAAAGGAGAATGTTAGCCGCTTTGAGAGTCCTTTGGGTAGTGATAAAGCGGGATATCAAATCCGAACTCCTCCTCCTTCTTCTTCATGGTGGAGGTAAGATTTGAACTGGGGATGTCCTGGGTTAGTTTTCAACCATCAGCCTCCACTTAGAAGTAGTATGTATATGGTTTCTTCTGATATAATCCATGTAATTCTTTGATCCAGTGTTAGATCCACCCATGTGGAAGCACAAACTAAACCCTCCTAGTAATGCATATGATTGTGTCCTAATAAAGTTGAAATAAGATTACACTTGAAGGCTGATGTGCAACTGGGGTTGATACTACACACTTACTAGCAACTCAATCTAGTTGTGAAAGCTCTGATCAGTTTGATTTTGATTCCACCAGTTTCTCCAATGTCCTCTTTTTTACAAGGACAGCAATGCATCACAGGCCCTTTGATCCTTGCTTCTTCAGCACAGACAGTTTGTACTTCGTTTTCAGCAAGGTGTACCAAAAAAATCCCTAGGTGTTATTTGGCAAAATACATTTGTGGCAGCATCAGCAGTGAATGGCATTCCTAAAAGGCTGCACTATGCATGGAAACAGTGATTGGTGAAACAAAGTGTCCATGTTCCCCTCACAACTAGTGTCTTTTTGTATCTCATAACCACTGAGCATTAATGCTTTTTGTACTCTCCCTTCAATTTTTGAATGAGCCAAATGCCAGTGTAATCATACATTCTCATATGAAACTAGAGTACATGACACAGAGTTAGGTAGAGTTTCAACCCCTTGGACCTAGAGTTGAAAATAAACATTTGTAGAGGGGAGAATGAAGAGCACGATCTCTTCTCCGAAGTAGAAAGCCCTTCTCTTTAAGAGCAGCAGCCTGCACTGAAAACAGTGCTACCAAACTTTCTTGGAAAGCTGAAGGGCACCACCTAGTTGAATTTAGTTTTGAACAAAACAAAAACAAAAGCTCCACCCCTTTGCCTCTTTTTGCTCCCCCTACAAAAAAGCTCAGTTTTGCCATCAGGTAAATATTTTATGCAGTTAGGGATAGGTCGTTATTTGGCAACATTTAAAATCTATCCTAAAATCTTAACACACCTGTCTGCAATTGTATTTCTCTGCTGACCTGTTCAGTGCTTAAACCTAAACACCTGCTACTTGGATAATAGTTTTGATGAAGTTAGAAACTGAAGCATACTCAGCTGACTTCTTCATCTTCACCACCACCACCACCTTTCTAGAGAATGGTGATGTTTCTGGGTTGTATGACAGAAGTCAGATACCTGCTCTCCCTCCCTTGGCTATATAGTGGCAAATTTTTTGAGGGGGTGTTTAATTGGAGACTCTCTGTTCCAAAAATGGTGGCTACATCAGATATTAGATTCTGACCTGATGCCTTAATTTTTCAATACACACCAGCTTCTCCAATAGTGCACAAGCCGGAAATCAGATGCAGGCATGCTGGGCACCATAAACATTTAATGCCATCCTTGATGCCAGCCAAAGAATATTTGTATGGGGTAGAGAACTTGAAATCCATCTGTCCTTTGAAAGAGCATCACTTGTCAATTAAAAGCCATCTATTTTTCAAATAGCATTACTTACTGACAGACAGGGAGCTGGAAACACCTGCTGAAGTCTCTTATTTTAAGAATATGATTTAGCAATCTAACTGGGTATTCAAACTATCCAGACAAAATACATGCAGGTTTTCAGTCAAACTGCACTAGCATTGAGCAGTGTGAGTGCTGCATTCGTTTTCCTCTCTTGAAACAAGCCAAGGCCTTCCAGGTCTGAGCTGCATTGCTGAAGAAATGGGTGGATAATACCACGTGTGAGGTTCAGTTTAAATACTACTTCAAATGAACCATAAGATTTGCTTAGTTTACAAAGGAATATTTTTTTAAAACACAGTAAAGTTGGACCATTTTTTGCATCTCACTGCCCCAGCTGTTAAGGGAAATAAAAACATTAGGAGTATCTACACCTTCTGCCTTAAGGGAGGGGAGCGGGGAAATAGCAATTGCCCATTGCATGTATTAGACTTGTCATTTAGTTTTTCACTTGTGCACACATACAAACACACACAAACCTATTCACTTCCTTCACATTGAAGCCACACAATTTGCATTCTTTTCAAATTTCAGATTTACAGGGAATTGTTTGACACAGAAGAAAGGGAGAAATGTAAATCTTAGAACAGAGCTTCAAGATACTTCAATAATCTCCATGCTGCCTGAGAAGCTAGATTGGCTGCCCACTTTCCCAAGTTCCTCTCGGGACCTGTTCTCGGACATGATACTCTCCCCAAATTCCATCTGGCAGCTCCTTCTCTTGAACTGCTTCTCAAAGGAGCTCTCCTCATGCCAGCTGCGCCGCGAGTCCCCCCTGTCTCCATGCTTCTCCCTCCTGCGAACGGCATAGGCTTGCTCACACCCCGTGGGCAGCTGGCTGCAGCTGTAGGCAGAATAGGCTGTGCTGCTCCCATATATAGCCGATGCAGAGTAAAAGCGAGAGGTGTCCGTAGCAAAATACCAGCTGTTGGCCAAAGGTGTCGCGGAAGCCTGTGGGGCTAAGATGTCTGAGTGCCAGCCCTTCAGGCCCAGCCCAGCGGCAGACTTGGCCAAATGCTGCTGGCTGGTGGAAAGGCCAAAGAGGAAGTTAGTTTTATAGTTGTCTTCCATGCTGCCACTTCGATGCAGTGGGTACAAGAGTGACCTCTGGGTGGTGCTAGCGGTTCTCCCCAAGTGCTGCCATTTGCTGTGGCTGTCCAGCAGCCAGGTATTCTGGGACTTCTCTGGAAGCTTTGCTTCCTCTTTATCGGGGCTGCTTTCAGGAGTCTGTTCTGAGACCTCCTGTACAGGGGAGAACTGGCATAGTTTGGCTCCACCTTCCAAGGTGGCTGAATGCTTGTAATATTCCAGTGTGTCCTCCAAGGAGGGGTAGCCCTCTCCTGAAGCAGCAACACAGGTGCTGGTTGCCACACAGGACACAGATTTTATATCCAAGGAAAACGACCGCTTTAGCCTGTTATTGTCTTCAACTTTGTCCGAGGATATGTTTAGTCCAATTATGCCTTGTACCAATGGGCTGTCCTCTGATGACAGCAAAGGGGAACCTGCGTGGTTTCCAGATTCCACTGGCTTTTGCTCCACAGTCTCCGAGGTAGATGTAGCACAGAGCGGGAAAGAGGAAAGGCTGCTGCTGCTGCTGCTGCTCTGCCCGCTGTCCAGTCTCAGTCCATGATCACTGCTTTTTTCCAAATGCATAATCTTCAGTTTGCTAAGGGATCCAGGTTGGCCACTTTGGTTCTTGATTTTCTTCTCAAAGTCTAGAAGCTGGCCAAGGAAGTTGAAGTTGGGAGAAATTGTTGGCCTCTTCTCTTTTACGAATCTAAACAGAAATGTGTGTTTATTAAAAAAAAAAGAGTTCAGCCAATCCATTAGCCTATGACACCACAACTGAATTCTGAATGCAAGCCATGAGCTGAGGCTGACCAGAGCTCATGTGTTGCACACTAGGCTATACCAAGGTAAGGTGCACACATTAAGCAAATTTACCTCCTGCTATCCAAAATTCTCCTATTCCCTCAAGCAACCCTGACAGCCCCTATAGCTGGAGCATCCTCCTTCCTTAAAGTTCTTCCTCCAATCTACCCTTGAAAGTGTTGGTTTTACCCCTTAGTCTTCATCTTCTCCTAGGCACATAACTGCCTTTGCACAAACTAACCCATTTTCCCCATCCCCTTCTCCCTCATATTTGTAATTTAGATTGCAAACTCACTGGACCAGGAAGCTGTCTTTTCTGTTAGTGGAACATTCTGAAGCATCATTGTAACAGTAGCAGCAGTGCTAAGCACAATTTATGCAGAAAGTTTTCCTGCTCAGGACAATCAACTCATCTTTGGGAAGGACCAGAAACTATTGCAAAACCCCAACCCCTTGACCAGTAGAACCTCATGTAAAAAGGAAAAGTAAAGGTCCCCTGGATGGGTAAGTCCAGTCCAAGGCAACTATTATGGGGTTGTGGCGCTCATCTCGCTTTGAGGCCGAGGGAGCCGGCGTTTGTCCACAGACAGTTTTCTGGGTCATGTGGCCAGCATGACTAAACCGCTGCTGGCCCATGGAGAACCGTGATGAGTGTCAGAGCGCACGGAAACGCCGTTTACCTTCCTGCCACAGAGGTACCTATTCACCACTATAGCAATAATTCATTCTTGAAGAGGAGAGCTGCTACAGAAGTAGTCTCCTCTACATTTTCCTCAGGATGGTGTGTTTTTTTTTAAAAAAAATGTTGATCATTTGAACAGGTATGTATACAGGTATGTGTGGTGATACTTCAGTCACCTTTGTCTTGTAGGTGCACAAATAGTGGTGTGTGCACAGCATAGTCCCTTGAAAAGAAAGGTGGGCTTGCATTACAGTTATATAGAATAAGGTAAACGGGGTCTAAATGGCAAGGCTGGGGAGATATCTCCCAGATGCTGGCAGAATTGCTGTAGAGTACTTACTGCACACTTACTGTTCCATTTACATAGGAAGCCCAATCAAATAAACGTTACTGAATCCATGCAGGGCCCATTGTGGGCCAAGCATCAACACACAGTCCTGGACTTCACTTTCAAAAAGCAGCTGAGTCCAGGAGCTACCAATTACCGGCAAGTTTCACACAATGCCCAGGAAAAACACGATATTTAACGGCTTCTGGGCATGCATGCCCCAATCACACTGAAACCATTGAAAGCAGCTGAGGCCATGAGAATATTTGAAGTCAGCTCTTTGTGTTGGTTTCCTCAAGAAAAGGACCCTTCTTCCTTACCTGTAGGCCTCATCTAATGACATATCCATTCTTTTCATTATATATGCAATAGCGATGGTGGCAGAGCGAGATATCCCAGCTAAACAGTGGACTAGGACACGATCGTTTGAGGCTTTTGCCTTTTCTGTGGGAAACGAAAGAAAGCGGAAACCACTCATTAGTGCTCTAAAAGATGCTGAAAATGAGAAAAATCTGTTTAATCTCCCAGGGATCCGCAGGCAAAAATAAAAATCCATAAATTGCAGCATATAGCCATTTTCAGCTAGTTTTTTTAAGAAGCATATCTCCCTGCTCTCATGGTGGCTTCACATGTGCAGTTTTATCCTGAAATGCTAAGCACCATCAACTATGACAAAACCTAAGAATGCATTGAACACTGGTAATAATCCTTGGAACTGTTTAAGTAAATCAAGCTATGGAGATATTGAAGATATGGAGATATTGAAGGTCTTGCGACAAGCGGCTGCCTCTTTTCACCATCCATTAACATACATATAATCCTGCCTAAATGCCTGCAGGGCTGACTTGTCTCCACCCTCTCAGCCCCCAGACTCAGATTGCCAACATGGAGGGGCAACTAGCACAGATGGTCCAAAAAAATGTGATTGTTACCTGAAAAAAATGAAGAAGTACGCTGAGGGGAAATGAAGGCGGAGCAGTTAATGTCCATAACCACCAGCCATTGTTCACATGCACCAAGACTCATTAAGAATATGCACATAATCCTTCCATGAAGAGGAAACTGTGCACATTTTCCAGTCAATATACATAATCACCAACAGGCCTTGGGAGATGTGTATATATTCAGGCAATACACACAGTCTCCAGTAAGGGCATAAGAAGGTAAAGCTAAAGGGACCCCTGACCATTAGGTCCAGTTGTGGCCGACTCAGGGGTTGCGGCACTCATCTTGTTTTATTGGCCAAGATCATGTGGCCAGCATGACTAAGCCGCTTCTGGCGAACCAGAGCAGCGCACGGAAACGCCATTTACCTTCCCGCCGGAGCGGTACCTATTTATCTACTTGCACTTTGACGTGCTTTCAAACTGCTAGGTTGTCAGGAGCAGGGACCGAGCAACGGGAGCTCACCCCATCGCGGGGATTCGAACTGCCGACCTTCTGATCGGCAAGTCCTAGGCTCTGTGGTTTAACCCACAGCACCACCCGCGTAGTCTCTAGAAAAATGCCATTTCCCGATTCCTTTTTGAGAAGCATGCAATTTGTGCCCTCCCAGCTGATTCTGGCCCATTGCCTAATCTTACATGGCTCACTGATTAGCCAAGCAAGATGGGAAGATGGAGCAGACTCCAAATACAGGTAAGTATTTTGAGGCAGCAGGTCAGAATCAACACCCATGCATCCCAAGAGGCCTATCATGGTGCCATGATGGCTCTTGATAATCACTCACCACTTAAGGCTCTGTAGGTGATATTAATTCATACAAAGTGGATATTTGGTAGCTTTGCAAGATATGAGGAAGGATCAAAACAGGGAGTGAGTGAGAGGACATGCCCCTTTTCTGCATTTCCAGGATATTGTGCAACAGGAGGAGTTCTGCCTCTCTCCTGTAAGTGAGGTAAGAGGTGTCCACTCCCACATCGCATGCTCACACATAGCCTAAGGAAAGAGGAAAGCAACTCACTTCCACTTTCTCCTATTTTCTTTACTTCTTGCATAGCTTCTGAGCAAAGTTTAAGGTTTTATTACTGATTTATCAATCCCTAAACAACCTGGGACCAGGTCACTTGAGAGAATGCCTTCTTGCATATGGACCTGCCCATTCAATAAAACCTTTGCATGAGGCTCCCCTGGTTGAGCTACAGTATGTGGACCCTGAAGCATCCACAAGATGAACTTTGGTGCTGCCTACCTTGTGTCTTCCTATCGATAGGAAGTGAGCTCCAGCTAGTAGGTTTTCAACCTATACCCAAAACACCCTGATCATTGCCGCTGCCCACTGTGGATGTTGTGACACAGTACTGTTATTTCAATACTGTTATTTCAGTGCTGTTTTAAAGTTTTAATGTGAACCACCTTGAAATTCTCTAAATAGAAAGTGATATAGAAATTTTTAAAAAACAAAAACAAACTGTGCTGGAAATGTGAAGAGATTGAAGGATCTTTCATACATATGGGTAGTGTAAATATTCCCAAAAATATTGAGAGATGGTCTACGATGAGCTCAATTTTTTAAAATTAAAAAATACATTTCCAAAGAAAACAGAAGCCTTTGTATTAGCGATAATTGGTGATGAGCTCCCCCAAAGACTATGTCACAGCAGCAGCCAGCATACTCTATGCTAAAAGTTGGAAGGAAGAAGAAATACCAACAAAAGAACAATGGCTGTATTAATTGACAGAATATGCCAAACTTGTGAGCATGACAGCCAAAATAAGGAATCAGGATGGAAAACAAATAAATGGCAAATGGGAAACTTTTGGGGAGCCCTTAAACAAAATTGATACTAAAAACTACAAGTAGGGGTAATTCTCTGAACAACAATTAAATACAAAGAAGGACTAGGAAAGAAAAAGTAGGGTGGATTAATATATGGATATTGTCAGGCAGCAGAGGAACCAATCCCAGGGCAGGTTGCCAGGAATAGATAAGACAAGGAAAAGTCTTTACAATCTGGTTTTATTCAATATTTCCAGAGAGAGGCTTGTGAATGCAGCCTCTTGGAATAATGGCATCCCGAGGAAATCTCCACTCCCATTCTCTCCCACGTCCTCATTCGTCATCCTTCTGTGCCGTTTGCTCTCCTACTTTTATGGCTCGCCAGGTTCTGGGAGATGGAGGGCATGGAATGCTTTCTAGTGATAACATGTCAGCCAGCTGCTGCTCCAGCTCTGCTTCCTCCTCCTCTCCCATTATTTCCCAACTTTCCCCCTCATCTTCCTCTGAGCTGTGACCTCCCTCAAACCCCTGTGGTAATTTTGAACTGTCTTCTTCTCTGGAAGGGTCAGGCTGCAGAGGCGGTCTCACCATTCCTGCTCTGCCTAGTCCCTGACAGATATACAGCGATACTAGATCTATTACAAATGCCATGGAAGGCTAGGCTGGGAAGTCTATATGGAAAGAATATTTGACGGTAATGTATGATATGCAAATAGAAAAATGGGAATGATATAAAAAATAATAAAAATAAAAAGGAACATGTAAACTGCTCTAGGCCAACTAGATTTCACCCTGGGATCCAACTTCAATGGCTACCACCAGTCCTCCCCACTTATTTACATCCAGGACTCTCAACGTGATACTACATACAGGTTCATATTGCCACTGGCTTCTTCACACCTGCATATGAATAATCAAATTTTAATTTTCAGTGGTAAGTGGACAGTTGGACAGGAAGTCATAGCCATTGGTGCTGTAGCAGCTTCCTGTGCCTCTGGGGCCCATCCTTCTGCAGGCCCACCTGAATGCGAACCTCTTGGGCTTCATGCTGAAAGCATCCCACCCCATCAGACGTGTCAGCCATACTGTGAGAAGAGAGAAGTCATGCAAGCAGCGCGGAGTCAAGCAAACATGTTTCTGCTTGAAAAACATTTAGTGGAAGTAAATCATTTGGCATAGGTTTCCTTTTTCTTTTTTAAAAGAGACACCATCTTTTTACCTATAAAATCCACAGACTTGTCCAACCACGGAAAGATTTTCTCACAGAAGCTGTCATTTACAGGCACTCTTAAGAAGTGGGATTCCGGGATAAAGTCAGGCTTGGGGCAAGTATTACTGGCGTTCAATACGTAGCCAATGTCGTTTTGCTGCATCAGCTCCTATTAAAGAAAGGAAGCCAATGCCAGCTGTTACAAGTCTCACCACGTACAGATCAATATAAGAAAGAGAATGTTAATTGAAAATATATTTGAGGGGACCCAAAACTATTCCTGGTTTTCACAAATATTTTTGGCAGTGTAAAACAAACAAACAAATCCCTTTTCAATTATTTTTTCATGCAAATGTTCACCACACTATGTTATCATCTCTTGGTGTCACTCTCATTTTATCAGTGGTATCACTTAGCTATATTTGTCTGGCTATGTAGCATTGTGTTGTCATACAGGTTAAATGCAAGTTCTTCTTACGGAGAAAACTTTTCAGAATTGTGAAAATTTGCTGTTAAAAACATATTTTTTAAAATCAGAGTTGGTTAAGTGATAATATCACCAATTAAGGGAAATTAATTCAGCTTGACAGCGAAAGAAGTCAAGGTAACTGATTGGTGAGTATCGCATGAAAATGCAAGGCCAGGGGGAGATTGTCCTTTGAGTCACTTAATAGGGGCCATATTATTTCCGGGCACCCACCTTGCTGAGGACATCCCGCTGGCACCCAAGGTAAAGGTGAGGAAGAATCCGTGTTGGCCCAGTGTTGGAGACTGGTAAGCAGGGTTGAGAAATGCAAGAAGGCACCAGAATAGATTTTCCTTCACAAAGGCCAGGGAAACAACTGGAAAATTCAGCAAATCCACCTGAAGGAAACAACAGCCCCAGTTTCAGTTTTAAGAAGACATCAAGGTGAGTCAAACATGTACATTAAGTCACATGGTGGCTGAAATATCATTCATGCATATGTGAATGGGCCATTACAGAACTTACCTATTTCATACAACATGCTTGTCAACTGAATCAGTACACACATTCAGCACCAATCGTCAAGGATGTAAAATAAGGGCAGTATACAGATATATCAGTCGATGTACCTGGCTTCCCCCTCCAACTAAACTTTGCTATACAGTTTGGAACTGTGGTTAGAAGAGTGTTTGCAAACTAGAAGTTGTAGCCAATGCTAGTCCTACTCAGAGCAGACTCATTGATATTAATGGGCATGGCTAACTTACGGTAGGTTCGTTCATTTTCATGTTTCTACTCTGAGTATAACTTAGTTGGATACAACCTTATCATTTGGGCTAACTATGGTTAGCTGAAGACCCAACTACAGCTATCAAGAATATCACGACTGTCTTCTTATGTAACATTTCTAATCATATTATGTCCTCCTTGCATCTGCACACATGGAAAACAAGCAATTCTGTAACAGAGAGAGAGAGCACGCAAGATTGCAAAGACACAGCCTCATTTATTAACCTTTCCCCCTTCTGCCTATCTTGAAGTGGTATTTATGGATTTAGCTAATTAAAGACAATAAAAAGTTACTATTTTTGTGTGGATTATTACTGTATATTTTATTTCTACTGCATAGACACACAAAAAATCATAAACACCATTCCAAAACAGTGAATGAACTGATACAGGATATTTCTACTGCATGTTTCACCATTCACATAAATTGCAATATTATACAATAGATAAATATGATCATTTCTCAAATTTATTAGTCTTACAGTCCTTAATTATTTAGGATTACTTAGGAAATTTCCCCTAGCAAGGTATATGGATTTGCTGAGTTGTATTTTATTATTCCAGTACTGAACAAAAAAGGCTGTACTTCTCTATAAAGGTGACTATATATATATATATATTTAACAAAATGGTATACACTCTTGCCCCCCTCCCCCCCCCAAAAAAACCTACAGAGTCTGCAAACTGCTTAGAGGGTTTTAGTTTTGCTACAAGTCCCCAGCCAGCAATGAGTTTGGGCTCATCCTAAAGTACCTTTCTGGGCACAGATCTGGGATTTCTGGGTCTGGGTCTGAGCCTTTTGGTTTTTTGCTCTGGCGCTTTCCCTGTGAAAACCTGTGTTGTACTGCGGAATCGGAGCAAACGGGAAACCCAATTACCATTTGTCCTGATTCAGTAGTTAAGATCAGTTTTCCTGGGGAAAGAGGTGGGACAAAAAGAAGAAGAACGCTAGGTAGGGCGTAGACCTGGAAAACCTGGACCCGTGCCTAAAAACATGGTGCAGAAGGAAGCCTGGATGAGCTCTTATCCTGCAGGTCATTTGTGATGGAAGGGGCAGCCAGTGGCGGAGCTTCATGCTCCGGGGGGGGGGGCGGAGAGCAGGCAGGGGCGCGGCTGGCGTGCGTCCCGGGGGGCGTGGTGACTGTCCTGGGGGCGTGGCACGCCACCTGTGGGGGTGTGGTGCCCAGTGGGGGGGGAGGGAGCCACAATGGCACCCCACCGGGATCGCGCTGCCGGGGGCGGTGCACTCCCGCGCCCCCTCTTCCTCCGCCACTGGGGGCAGCAATAGGAGCTGTGCGGCCAGCTAGCCAGCACTGTTGCTGCACTTCTTCACACCACACTGGCAGGACCAAATAGTTAACACAGAGGTGGGCCCAGATTTTGCACTGGCTCCCCCAGCTGCTTACTCCAGTGTAGGCAAAGGACAATGCAGAAACAAACAGTGGATCAGCATTGCCAGTGTAGTGCCCTCAAAATGTTACTGGACTCCCCATCATCCACAGCCAGCATGACGAATGGTCAAGGAAGATGGAAGCTGTAGACCAACAACATCTGGAGGGTATTACGTTGGCTGTCCTTGCAGCAGGGAAAGGACAGGGTGAAAGGCCAATTTTGTTTTAGATGTATTGTTTTCCAGCTTGGAAACACACACCCCCCCCAACAAATTAATAAGGTTATTATGCTATGCTGTCTACTTGGAACTCCACCCTTTTGCAAATTAACAGATGCGATTATATGGCTAAATTTGGGATTATTTAACAGAGTGAGAATATCCTTGGTTCCCTTTGTTAGCTTGTAGAACAGAGAGGATACATCAATGGAAAGTCAGGGTGTCAGTTAAAAGACAATCCAGCTGTTTTATTTAGTTGGTGGTTTCTGGATATTTCCCCACATTAATACAGCGTGCAACTTTTCCAGTGCTGGCTTGTTCAGTTTATTACTTGTGGCTGCAATTCTCAGATAGGAGTTTCTATGAAACCAACTTAAGGCGCCAAAAGCTGTTTGTGGTTGAGAAAACCCAAATTGCTTTTGTTTTCCAGTAACCAAATACCTCCCGGATCTTTGCTTGCAAAAAGCAGGCTCTCTCCCACTTCCATTTGCAGAAGCTTGCCAAGATCAAGTAACATACTTAATTATCAGGATGCAACAAGTGGGCATGAAAATATGGTGGTTTGAAAGCCTCTCTGTGATCAAAGCACAATGGAGTTTCCTCAAACTCTGCATACATGTTTGTTATTGTTATAATTCCAAAGGTATGATCACTTTTCTTAGGGAATTCTCTGCACTGAAGAAGTGGCAATTACCTGCCACAGACACACATGCAGACTCTTCTGCAAGGAGAAAGAGGAGAACTAAGAATTAAACACATTGCAGATGTTTCATATTTCCCTGCTTTTGTTCTTTTTCTTGGGTAGCACTAAATCAACTTTAAGACATATATGTTTTATGCTAATCCGTAACAGTGCAGCTAGAATAGCTTGATTTTTCTAATAAAAAATGTATTAAAATGGACCTCAGTTTTCTGTAGGTTCCATCCTAATATACTTTGGATGGAATGGGGAACCTTACTGAAGCTCTTGGCACCCCTAGCATTTAAGTTTCTTTTAATTTGACTTCATAGAGACCAAATTGTCTTTATCACACTAACAGCTTGTTATGTGAAAGTTACCATCAGCTGTAACAGTAACGTGACATTATGATTAGGCCTGATGGTTACAATACCACACGAAGCTCCGCCTACGCAATTAGGGATTGTGGTGGAAGCAACGCTGACAAACTTATGAGACTTGAGCTAAACTTTTGGTGAAGGTTTCTTTCTATCCAAAAGCACCAGGTGGGTTCACATTTTTAGCTGTTTTTATGGGATTTTGCCACTTTATAAACTTTCAATGTTTATGATAAAAGCATGCACATCATAACAGAATAAAGTCCACAGCAGAACAAATGAAGTTACAAAGCATCCACTTCTTATAAGCACAAACAACTCTTCAAGCAGCAGTCAATAAAAGCATAGTAAACTGGATTAAAATAAAACCATGTTTACCCTGGTGCCTAAAAGTGGCACTCAAACACATAGATCTAAGGGAGGGCATTCTAATGAAACTCTACTCAGAATTAAGTAATGGGCCTTACACCGACACAATTATACTAAGGTAGGTACTCCTTACACCAAACACCGGAGACTCTATAAGCAATACTCGTTAGCAAATACAGTAAATAAAAACAATACTGAAACGTAACATGAATCAAATTTTACTTCTCCAGTCAGATAGAAACCATGGCAATGTTAAGATATTATTTCTAAGTTAGAATCACAGTTTGAAGGGACCTTAAAGGTAATCTCAGGCAACTCCATGTCAATACAAGAATCCAACTGATAGGGACTTCCGACTTCCTGCTGTGGAAAATGGCTGCCTCCCACATGAACGGACCCCAGCCGTGCCAGTAATTCAGGGTTGATATGGGGGTAATTAGCCCTGGCAGACTGCCCGGGGTGGGGGAGGACTGTCTCACAGACCCACAGATCATCCGTGATCTGTCGGCTCGCATTGAGGTGCAAGCTGCAGGGATGCTGGGTCTAAGAGCACAGCATGGCTGGCACTCTCCAGAGCCACTCCTACATGCAGGAGACACCTGGTTTATAAAATAATAAGATTTGGGGGAGAAACAGGCATGTTCCAGATGGAGGGAAAAAAAGGGGAAAAACTGCCAAATTATACAGTCATTGGATGCTGAATTTCGGACATCAAACAGACTCTCATCTTGAAACGTGGGTTAAATAGGTGAGTGACCACTATCTTTCCTTATTTGTTATATTACATCATGATTTGGCAAAGCTCATCCAGAAAGAATTTAATTACTTAAATGAAACACAAGAGGTGAAAATTTTAATTGAATGTATGGTGCACAGGCCTCAGCAGACTCTAATTAGAATCAGAGCTGGCAAAATAAGATCAGATATGGCAGCTTGGACTGAAGACGGAACCAAAATGGTGATCATTATTGTGCAGTTCTAAAAAAAGGAATTCTTATGGAAAAGAGCTCCCTTGGACTTGGGGTGTGTTTTGTTTCTAAAATACATCTGCTTGTATGGATTATTTTTATACATAATTGTGGACAAAAATTGTGGACAGGAGGATGGAGAGCGCCGGATCCCTGCCAGCTCTTTCATGGCCTGGAGTGCGGGGGGGGGGGCTTTTGCTCTTGGAGGAATTCAAATAATTTTCACATAATATACAGCCGGGAAGCATGCCCCACAACACAGCATTATATACAGACATATATGGATACCAGCTCATTAAGAGACATCAGAGAGAACTTGTTGACTTGCCATTTATAAACTCTATTTTTGGAATGAAGCCTGGTGCCTTTAATGAGAACTTGATGAACAAAGGAGAGATAAGAGGACTGAATACCAAAATAATTGGATAGAGAATAAGATGATGGGGGGACGGGATGCCTCCTGTGTGTTAACAATATAAAAACTTTGCTACAGAAGATGTGAGCCACAGAAACAACGACTGATCAGATTGAGAATAAGGATGGATAATATTAGTTTTGAATTTGAAAAATAGCCAAAAATGCAGAGATATGAATGAGGATGATTATCTCTAGACATCTGGAACATGGGAAGTCTCAATTATTTTATTTATAATTGGAATATATAATTGGCATATTGCTATTATTGTAATTTGGATTGATTTGATTTGTCATTAATTAGAAGATTGTTATTGAAAATGAGTAAAATTTTAACAAACAAACAAACAAACAAAAGAATCCAACTGATAGAAGTTTTTAAGGAGGAAGCTGCGTAACAAAGGACAGTCTACTAGGGCTGTCAATGTACACACAAAACACACCTGATCTGATTTAAGACCTGTTTCAGTACTTTGGATCAGTCTCAACTCGGGGCAATCAGGAGCAGACTCCCTAATCCATGTCACGATCCAAAAAAACCAATTAATTGGAAATCACATTGACTTGCATTGGGAAACCCAAACAGCTGTAACTTTTTTTATTTTTTAAAAATCTATGTAATATGGAGACATAGTAGCCCCTATAATAGAGGGGATTAACCTTCCAAATTTTAGATAGGCAGCTCCAGGAATTTTCATGCTAGCCACCTTTAAAAGTTGTTTTAAAAATAATATATATATATATATATATATATATATATATATATATAAAAAACTCTGGGTGCTCAGTCTTTCCAACTCTTATGCTCCTGTTTGAGCCTATTCCATTAAGATTTTAAAAAGTCAAAACCTGAAGTAAATCCAAGGAAGGCAGATGGCACCATCCTGGCCAAGCAGGCACTAGAGGTGTCTAAGTGCAGAGCTGGACTGAAAGGGAGGGAGGCAGAGCAGCAGCGGGCAGCAATCATCTCTGGCAGCCAGAGGCAAAATTGCCAGCAGCAATAATGGAGGCTTTTGTTTTTCACTTGAGCCCTGTCATATAAGAGGAAGAATTTGACACAGCCTAAGTAACTGAGATAGGATAGGACACATACAATTTTTCTTATTTGTACTGTAAGGAAGGATAGGAAATGATTGACTGGAACATAAGAATATAACAGAAGAAAGGCAGAGTATAAATGTAATGTAATAAAATAATAAAGTTCTACTAGTTGCTGACTAGGGTTACACACAGCATGGTACATGTTAGCTTGTGTGTTTGTGTAACCTCACTGTAAAAAAAAAAAGTTTAAATGTGATCAGGTAATCAAAATTATGTGACCTGCATGCATTATTATGCAAAACAATCAAATTTACATAGCCCCTCTTTTACTTTTGCAGAATTCTTTCTGATTTTGCTAACAAAGAAATATAAAGGGAACTCAATCAGTAGCTTTTGAGATTTCAGCAAGTGTTGGGCACGCACTTGAAGTCTTAAGGACTAGAAACATCTTTTAAAAAGTGAGCGGGAAATCAAATTTAAAATGTTCAGGAGCCAGTGTGGTGTAGTGGTTAAGAGTGGTAGACTCGTAATCTGGTGAACTGGGTTCGCTTCCCCGCTCCTCCACATGCAGCTGCTGGGTGACGTTGGGCTAGTCACACTTCTTTGAAGTCTCTCAAAGGCTCAGGTTGTTAATCACCATCGGAGGAGATTCTGGAGGATGAGCTTTTCATCTCGGTCGTAGCGGAGGCGCCGGCATTTTTGGGTTATGGGCCCAGAAGATGCCAGAACAGAATGCAGCTTATCGTCTCTGCGTGTCAAGAAGATTGATGAGAGGTTTGTGTTCATTGCCCCAGGAAGCCTGCTAGTCCCTAATCAATTGGCAGTAAGGGTGGACTTTGAACTTTTAGCCAAAAGCACTGACCGGCCTGCAGAAGATGATCAGCATAAGCAAAGGCCTCATGCAGTGTGCTTTTGAAACACAGCTGCTGGTAAACAGACGCAGCCTGCTTTAAAGACACAAGATGGCTAATGCTAAAGTGACGGAAGCTCTTCAGTTTGCAATGGGAATACCGAAGCTTTCAAAGGGGAACTACCAGGATTGGGTGCAGTATGCAGAAGCCCTGCTATGAAAAGAGGGTCTGTTTAATGTGATAACAGACGCCCCCCCAGCTCCAGTAACCCCAGAGTGGGAGGAACTCTAACGCTTATTGTGTCCCCTGAAGAGTTATGTCTTTTGCGTGACAAAGGGTCAGCCAGAGAGATGTGGGACAGTCTCCAAGAGTCACATTTAAGAACAGAAGCAGGAGCTTCTTTGCTCTTTTACTCCAAGTTGCATGATATGGCACTTGCTGAATCTAGATTTTCTTTCTATTTGGAAAATCATTCATAATTGGCAAGAGTATTTACTTCCAGGTTTTCAGTGTTCCGGAGCCGAATTGTTCCAAAACAGAGGTGTTCAGGGACCAAGGTTTGACTGTAACCACTTCAGGGGGATTAATGAATGCAGAGCTAGCGAACTGGATCCTGCCCTTTCCCAACCCCTGCTAGCCACTCTGACAAGTGGGTGGAGCTTCCCATCTATCAGTCACCAGACCTTACCATGACAACAGGTAAAGTATTTTCCTTTGCCCCACATGGCTCCCCACCCTTGCTATGCAAACTTGTGTATTTTGCTGCCGTGACCCACCCTGGGACCTTCTGGGGAAGGGTGGGTAAGAAATCTGATCGATCATAAATAAATAAATAAATGCACTCAGTCTCATGTTAAATTTATAAAATGGAAACACAAATTCTGAGGAAGTCTTTTACTCTATGTGTGCATGATGATTATAGAAGAAGAGGAGTTTGGATTTGATATCCCGCCTTTCACTCCCTTTAAGGAGTCTCAAAGCAGCTAACATTCTCTTTTCCCTTCCTCCCCCACAACAAACACTCTGTGAGGTGAGTGGGGCCGAGAGACTTCAGAGAAGTGTGACTGGCCCAAGGTCACCCAGCAGCTGCATGTGGAGGAGCGGAGACGCGAACCCGGTTCACCAGATTATGAGTCCACCGCTGTTAACCTCTACACCACACTGGATGCATATGTAGAAAGTACGTTGTGGAAAGCTAGTGGCAATTCTGCTTGATGCTGAGAACAGTACAACAGTGATTAGGAGGCAACCCCAGTTTACACAGGCAACAAAATGAGGTGATGCCATTTTTAAAGTCTTATCCACATAAAAGCAAAGCAAAATGAAACAAAAACACAAAAGAACAAAAACTAGCACAGCTAGCTTTCTACCTGCAGAGACCTTTGCACAAAGTGGTATCCCCCACTTGCCACCTGGAATTGTGCACTCTATTATCTAATTCCAATACCATCCCTCAGTTGTTTCCATTTTTTTAGTATTACCATTTTAAAGCATTGCAACTATGCTAGAGAAAATGGAGACTGGAACAGCCTACAGAAACCCAGGCAATGTTTACAGTGAATGAAACCACTATTTGGCAAGGCAGACTTCCCTCTTTTCTGGGTACTCAAAATATTTCATAACTGTGTTGTAAATGAAATAGAGACTATGGCAGAAAAACTTTTAGCCTTTTGTATGGCTCACTGACCCCTGAACTCAAATATTTTGAGTCTGCCATCGACTTGCTGATATAAACGTCATCCAATTTTCCAAAGAAGAGGGCAAGCAAGACTACACCAAACACTGTTCACATTATTCAGCTAATCTGTGCCTTAAAACATACTCAAGGGAAGAGCAGAAAACATCCAGAACAGAGTAAGCTCATGTTCTCAGGGTATTGCGAGGAGGAAATAGAATGTTACTGCTATTTCATTGCTTACCAAAGTTTAGTCTATACAGCACTGTATCACTTGAGTGTGTAAGAGCTGTTCCTTTTATCTTGCTAACCTTATGTTTAAAAGAAAACAGAGCTGTTGACTCTGCAATTTACCGTATTTTCTTACATAAGTAACACTGGTGTAGACAGGATATTTGTTGGGGAGGGCAGACTTTCGTTAGTGGAGGGGGGGAGAACCTCAGATATGTATTGATTGGGGGGGGGAGCTGTCCCCCTGCCCCCCCCGGCTACGCCCATGGTAAGTAAGAAATCTGGGGCCATTTGAACTGAAGATAAAGAAATGCACCAGAGTTAAGACAAGACCATTTGAACTGAGCTATGCCTTTTAAAGACAGATCTCTTTTCTTAACAGCTCACCCAATATTACACCAAGTGTCCAGCAACTAATCTAACCAACAGGTTGTTAAGTTAGTGGCTGTTACTTCTTCCTTATCTTGCTTCCTAACAACCACATTGTATGTTTGTGTTTCCACAAATATGAACACAAGAGTACTTTTCTGGTTAATGAAGAAATGGAAAAGGAGCATGAGCCAGATTTATGAGGCCACTGCACAACCAGTCAGAGAGAAAGAAAGAATAGTATTATAACAGCATCATCCAACCTTTTGCAAGATGCCAATTAACCTGAAGCAACCAGCTACAAGTGGTGTTCTATGTACACAATAACTCAGTGGGACCAAAGAAAAAGTGTAAAATGTGGTACTATGGGACACAGAGATCAGCTCCCTGATAATCTCAGCTTTCAAAAACTAAAAACTTATCACCCTTAGAGCTACAAAGCTGTGATTGTGAGAGAGTATACTGTACTTCCAGTGGTTTGGGGTGGACCTTCACTGCCATGTGTCAGGTAGTTCCTTACTCCTACTCATAACTAATTCCTCCACAAATAGACTCCGCCCCCCAGCAAAAAAAAATCCTTCATAAATTACTCCTATGGCACGGCAACATGGGCAGAAAGGTGCTGTGGAGTAGGGCCTCTTGCCTCGCAAAACAAAGCACAGCTCTTGCAGCCCCCTACTGTCCAGTTATTAGCACATATGTCTAAAAGGGGGAACCTACACACATAAGTTCCCTTGGACCTATACAATGACTGGTGAAGCTTACACCCATAAAGTCTATGGACACGAACATCCTCATCTCAGACGTTCATGCTCATGCATAGATAGCATACGATCTGTGCACTGTTGAAAGCAGTCTTGAGGAAGAAATACCGACAGCAGATAGAACAGACTCAAAAATATTTACTTGCATTCACAGAATCACAGAGCTGGAAGGAACCATGAGGGTCATCTAGTCCAACCCCTGCAATGCAGGAATCTTTTCGCCCAACATGCATCTCGAACCCATGACCCTGAAATTAAGAGTGCACCTTTTTATTCATAAGAAACCCAGGAACAATAATTGTGAAGAAGCAACCCTTCTGAACCAAGGTAAGGCACTTAAATTCTAAGAATTAACAAAACTGCAAAATTTAAAGTGCCCACTGTTTCTTTGCAAAAGTGAAGGGTAGGGAGAGAATTAGAACAGGTAAAAGACACATTACTTTTCTCCCTGTTAATTAATCTGAAGAAGCACCAACTTGATGAATTTCTGCTTTATGAAATCTTGCTTGTCTTCTGAACTTTTGAGAATCATCAAGAGCTGGCCTAAGATATTTTGCTGCCTGAGCAGGAGTGGCCAGTTTCTTCCAGCAGCTGAGGCAGAAAAGCCAAAAAGTGCCTCTCCTGCTCCATAAAAAATATGCAGTAATAAATTAAAATCATTAACAACTTTCATGACATCCAAAATCAGCTGCCTAAGGCAGCCATCCCATTCTCATGATCAGGAATCTGCAGGAATCCTCACCAACGTTTGCACCTCCATGCAAATAAAACCTCACCCCCCTCCCAGGTCTGCTGCATAGCTGTTTAAAGCGCTGCTTTCCCTTGAAAAGCAGCAGCCTTGCTATTCCTTTTCCTGCAGCATTTTCCCGTGGCCTCTTCTTTTCTCCCACTTCACCTGTCAGCCTCCTCTTGACATCAAGCCATGCACAGGATCCTGCTCCTTCCCACTAGCCTTCCACACCTGCCTGCCTGCCCTGCTTCTCCTCTCAGCTGCCTGCCCTGCCAGGATACGGCTCCTGCCCACACCGAACAGCTGTAGAATGAGGAGAGAGCTGGAGGGGTGGGAGAAACATCTCTGTTTCTCTCTCTATTTGGATACACAAGGCAGAGGCGTCTTGCCACCCCATTCACGTGGCCGCAGAACATGCCGTCCAGGAGCTGAACCAGGGGTGAGATTTTTGCATCCCCTCTGGGCATGTGCCCTTGTTCGGGCCGGCTTGACCATCCCTTGGGTACATAAGACCCAGTTCGTCAACTCATGGAATAAGCAGAGTAGCTCCTGCAGGTGATCTTACAGACAAGATGGTATTTCTCTGCCTCTCACCTGGCTTGCAATCTTAAAGAAAAAGTATTGGGAAGTAGGAGGAAATAAACGTTGTTAAGTTGCAAGTTTTTCTAATGACCTTCTGGGGTGGAATAAGTTCAAGGAAGCACCAGAGGTTGCTGGTCTTTCAGTTGTGCTGATGGAGCATCCTTTTGTCAGTTTTCTCCCCTCCTGATGGGATGTTCACTGTCAGATGAAGGCTAGGCTAGGCCCATCCTTCCTGAGATGCTTGTTTTCTCTGTGCAGGAATTTTCAGTATTGTTGTTGTTGCAGTCCACATACAGCTCACACATGCCTGTCTAAGAACGAAGCCCAGCTTCATGAGGCAGAAGTTGCAATGTCTCCACAAGGCAGGGCCGGAGGAAGGGGGGTGCAGCCACTCCAAGTGTCACCACTGAGGGGGGTGACAAAATGCCGGGCGGCACTCACCGCAGCACGCCCGAGCCATGCATCTCTTCAGAGGTAGCTGTGGCGCACGCAGGCTCTGCACTGCCCAAATGGTTTGCCCGCTGCCTCCCCCCCCCCAGCTGTAGGGCGGCTGAGCGGGAGGAGGCAGGCAGACTCCGGAGGCCCTGCGGTGCGCCCTGCCCCTATGGGCAGAGTGCCCCGTCCCTGGACGCGCCGCCCCAGGCGCCCAAGCGGCTTCCTCTGCCGCTGCCACAAGGCTCTGTCTAAAGGCTCCTCCTGATGACCTGTTTTTCAGCAGTCATCCTGGTTTGCTTGCGCAAAGCTTACATATGACAATGACCTGCATTCATCCTGATTTCTTCCATTAGCCATTCATTCACCCACACGTTCTAGTGCATTTCCCCCATTATACGTGGCTTTTTGTTTTTTAAAACAGGAACTTGTTATTCATACTTTTGCTTGCCCTGTATCTTGACACTATTTGTGCCCTGATTGATTTCCCCTCATACCCTCCACAGCTGTGCCTCAAGAAAAACAAATCTTATCTGCTGAATCAGAAGGTTGGTAAGCAAAATCTCTTCAGATTTTCTGCATATCTGATAAGATCTGATTCAGCAGGTAAGTTCCTATTTTCACAAGGCACAGCCACAGAGCAATAACAAAAGGTCTCGGAGCCGGGGGAATCAACTGCTACACAACATGATCACAAAACAGGTCAAGCAAAAGTGTGGACAAGCCCAGAGTAGAGATGGGAAGGCCAGGAAAAGAAACGGAAATCCCAGGGTGGTTTTTTTTTTGTTTTTTTCCAAAGCCATTTTTTTCTGGAAAAATTGAAAAAAATAGTTTGATGTAGTTTGAATATTCCACACACTGTTCCCCCCTCCCCATTTTTTCCTGAAAAAAATGGCTTTGGAAAAAAACAGGAAAAAACCTGCCCCCCCCAGTTTTTCCATTCCCCCCCCCCAGCCTTCCAGCACCCCCACTTTGGAGCTCCCTGCCAACTGACACCAGGCAGGTGTTCTCACTGTACTCTTTCCGGCAACTGCTCAAAACATTTTTGTTACGGCAGCCCATCTGAAGAAGTAGAAGCTGCATGCGATTTACTTCCTTTTAACCACTGCTGACTTTAATCATCTTTTGAATACTCTTAAATACCTGCTTTTAACTGTGTTTTATCAATCATTTTAATGTTCTGTTGTATATTTTTGTAAACTGTTTAGAAGCTCTTTTACCGTCATGCGGTTTATAATATATAATAACAAATTCAATTTTAAAAACACACTCCTTTTCCTTTGAAACAGAGTTTGAGCCTTAGTGCAACATACTATTTAGTAACTTTGCCCCGGCTGTCCTCAAGTAGAGATGGGAAGGCCTGGAAAACCCCTGGAAAAAACAGTCCCGTCCCCCCCCCCCCCCGTTTTCCCCCAAAGCTGTTTTTTTAGAAAAATGACAAAGTGGCAGAGGAAGAAGAAATGGAAAATGATAGAAGTTCAGAAAATGAGATAGTATAAACTGCATGTATATGTTGTGTCTTGTTTTTTTTTGTTTTGTTTTTTAAGCACCACTCAAAGAGTAGACCTTCTATGGAGCTTAAATATTGAGGTGGTTCTTAACTTTATTTGCTGTTGGTGCTAAGGGGCAAATCTGATTATTTTTTATGTTGATGGATTCTTGGTTTTTTTTGTTACTTTTGAGGGAAAGGCGGGTGGTTACCTGTTTTATTGCAAGCAGAATACTTTTATGTACACTGCGTTTCACGCAATTTGTAAAACTACTCCACACTGAACTTTTTTTCAATTTTTCCAAAATATCCATTTTTTTATGGAAAAAAACAGGAGGGTGGGAATGGTTTTTTCTCAGGGCTTCAAAATTTCTGGAAATTTTACATCTCTAGCCCAGAGTACTTAAATCCACTTCAATTGCATAAAGCTAAAGTTCTAACACACTCTTAAATCTCTCCTGCAAAATTCCGGCAGTTTGGAGAGCCCTCCCACTTCCTGCATCAGTTCTCTATATGTAGAATCTCAGCCATTTGTCAACAGTATTACATTAAGGATAAACACAACTGAAATCTAACACAATAATCAGTCGTGAACACACAAACACTCACAAACATAATGAGCTTGTTGCACCAGCCAAACAGCCCATCTAGACTGAGTTCACATGGCAGTTTATTCCATTTCCCTAATGTTTCCCTAACATGGTTGGTGTGTTGGATTTGGTCCAGGATTCAAATCCCCACTTGGCCATGAAGCACACTGAGTGACATTGGCACAGTCACTGCCTCTCTCCTCTCTCTTTTTGCATATGTGTGTCACACTCATATGGTTTTCCAGGATCCTACCTGCAAGCAGGTGAACAGAGCTGAAGTTTTTCTCCAGTTTTCCCAGCAGGACAGTGAGGAATGAGTCAGATGAAACAGAAGCCACATTATTTGAGCTTTGGTCATACACCACAACTTCTTGCTTGCTGTCAATTTCAACCTGGAAAAAATAATTGGGGAGGATTGATCAGATGTAGTCAAGTTTTTAAAAACTTTAGCACATTTTTCAAAAGAAAGCTCTTATTTATATGCCTATTATTATTAATTCAGACCATATTAATCTTCCCTTGGATTTTGTTTTGTTGTGTCTTGGGTAACATGGCAGCAGCAGAACCAGGGGAGAAGTGAAGCAGCCACAACATTTGCTCCGTGCACTTGTACACTTGCTTGCTAGCTTGGGTTTAACATTATATGCTAACTGAGCTCATATGTCTTCGCTGGCAATCTTCCACCTCTAATTCTGTACCTATGCATAAGTGCATCTTAAAAAAAGGAATTTCACCAACACCCATCACTGCTTTACCTTGTGCTTTGCAGAATGCTGGATGAGCTCAGTGATCAGCACTTTATCTTGTTGCAGCCTTCGCTTCATGAGCTTGGAGCAGTTGATATTGATGGCATCCAAGATGTGTGATGTATTGTATTCCACAAAGGGGCGGCTGTCAATCACCAGCAATTTTTCTGTGCCGCTTTCCAGCAAAGCCACCAGCCTCTCACCAACTATCAGCTGAGTACCATTCATCTCATCAGCCATGACAACAGCAGAGGCCCTTCTTTTGCCACTGCCTTCTTTTTCCTCTCCAATTTGCAACAGAGATGAAGAAGGTGATGTAATGGCTATGGACTTAAAGGCTTAGCCATTCCATTGTACTCAGTATATGAGGTCATACTGGCAGTGACTGGCAAGAGAAAAGTTAGACCCATTTTATCTTGAGAGGGTCCTCCAAAGATGAATGCCCCGTCCGGCTCCCAGTTGATATTCTGGTTATATAGGGCTTGCTAAAGCAGCCCCTCACAACCCATTCATCCTGGGCTATAGAGTAGCCATTTCACAACTCAAACAAAAGCTGCTTTTCGACTGGTCCTGCCATTACATCATTCTTTACCTTTGTTCCCACATCATCGGCTTTTAGAGTGGACTAGGAGCCTGTTGAGACATGGAAAGAGGTGACAAGTGGCAGACAGAAAGAAAAGCAAAACAAACAAGACAGACTCTGGGAGTTTGCAACCCATAATCCCATCCCCCCCTTAACTCTCCCTGTTGTCACAATAAAGTCTCACATGTGCTGTCAACCACCTTTTTCTTTTCTTTTCTTAAAATAAATGCATACATGATAATTGATTCCATTACTTCATTTATTCCCCCACCTAAGGGCAAAACTAGATGTTTGGTGCAGAGACCTTGATCCAGAAACCTTGGTCTCCAAGGACACAGACCCTTTGGTTTCGGAGATGGAGAGGTAGCAGGTGAGTCCTACATTTCTCATGTTCTGAGAAGTTGCTTTTTTCCTCAACACACGTGCCAGGGAAGAGCAGGGGAGTGGAGCACAGGGGGGAAGAGTTGGGCAGGAGAGAGAGAGAGGCACTCCTTCACCGACCCAGTCTGTCTGCTCCCCAAACGGCCTCGTCTTTTCTCCCACTGCTTTTTAGGAGTTCAGCAGAGGCCTGGCTTTCTCACCCAGGTCTGCCACCAAAGTTCTAATTCTAACCCTAGAGTGCAGTTGGTCTGAGAATTTTCCAGGGTCTGCTGTAAGATTTTCCTTCAGTGAGGAAAAGTAGCCAGACCTGAATCTAGAACACTGCTGCTGTGGCAAGTCCTTTGTGGGGGCGAAACTGTATACGATGCTGCCTGTAAGGCATGCAGAAGAATGAGATGAAAGCATGCTAAGTGGTAGAGACTTCACCACTACAGACAGCTGGTGGAGGATGCTGGTTTTCTTTAAATGCTCCTCACTGCTAAAAACAAAAACCTAAATATATCATAGAGCTTACCCAGAAGAAAGGATCTAGCTTTCATGACTTGCTAGCTTTCTACTCGCAGGGAGGGCACTGGGTTTACGCACATCATCATTATGCAACACGTGCAGGTCCTGTTTTAATTATACCATTGTAGTTGGTTAGAGGTGTATCAGATTTACATTTCCCCTGAGCTGTGCCAAACTAATGAGCTCAGAGGAAGAAACCTCAACTATTCAAAGGCTGAATGTACCCAACTGGAATGAAATGTTGACTGGAATAAGAACAGTCATTTCCTTAGGGTGTGTTTTATTCCCCAGTGATCCAGGGACCATAAATACCTTTTGCTGCACAAAAACCAAGCCCCTCATAGGTGATGAGAGTCTGTAACAGTCTGAAATTAATGGTATCAGCTAGCAGACAGCTTTGTCAGTAGAGAAACTGGGCACTGTTGGAGCATAGCAAAGATTTCTTTCTTTCTTTCTTTTTAAATTTTACTTATGATTTTCAGATTTATACATTTCAATAATTTTACAGTCATTTTAACAGTTCAATACTTGACTTCCTTTCCTCTTTCTGTGGTTCCTTAAATTTATTTTTAATATATTTTGAATATCCAAATTTATTTGTTCATTTATTCATCTACTTTAAATATATACTCTTATGAAACTGCAGTAGATGAATAAATGAACAAAACTGCAGTTTCGTAAGATTTATTTCATTTTAAGAGATATGCAATTTAAATATATTGAATAGCTCTTGTTCTTTCAAGCTGAAAAAGCATCCTTGCTCACACAGTTTTCATGTAAGCAGGGGAGATGATTTCTCCCATACCAATCAAAACATGGGGCCTAGCAACCAGATAAAATTGTTCTGGGTATCAGTTATGGCCCATGTGCCATCAGTTGGTAATTCTTGAATTAAAGAAATTATTATTTGGCGAAGATGAACTAAACTATGGGCAGTATTTCAACTAATGAGTTCTGTCACTGCAAGGATTTCCACTCGCACGATAGGACTTTCACTCTCTGCACATGCTTGCTCTGTGCCTTCTCCAAATCTGCTCCAGAGGAGGGAGGGGGGAACACCCAGAACAGATTTAGGGGGGCCTGAAGGGGAGGAGAGCTGCAGAACGTTTCATTGCACAAGCAGAAACCACCTTATCACTATGTTGAATTCCACTCCCATCTGTAACTAATTCAAGAATTACTATTTTTCAAACAATTTTGATTTACCAACAGAAGCATAGTCAGACTTCTGCCTAAGCAGCCAATAAAAATAGTGAGCAACGAAGAAAATACAGATCTTGGGATACTAGTCACATCCCCATTTATGCATTTCTGAACCACAAATCTTTGTCCTATGTTGCAAGGACATGCATCCAACCTCCAATGACACGAATTCAAGAGAAGGGAATTATGTGTGTTTATATATAGAATCTGCAAAGATATACTGCACTCTCCAGGGTTCTCTGCAATACACAAACTCACTACATCCACAGAAACACGTAGGTCATAATTATGAGTATTTTGCCAGTCGTGAAAGCATCGAGAATGTGGCAACTTCTTCCCAACAAAGATCCACTGTCTAAAATTAGCAAAATGTAGGGAAAAGAACAAAACCCATGGAGTGAGGCTTCCTGCACAATTCATGTCCTGCTCTTTGGAACAGAATGAGCTTCTACTTTCAAAGACTCTTGGGGACCTCATTACCTACCCACCCACAATTCTAATAGAAGTCGTTCTGTTTGCTTCAATGAGCAGAAGATCAGACCTGTTAATGAGGCAGCCAGACAGTCTGCTTGGATGTGGATAAAGACTAGAGTTTATGCCTGGCCAGTAGAAAAGGAAAACAGAAAAAATGTAATGAACTTTCTAAATGGATACTCCCCCCCCCCTTTTATTAACCAACTTAGAAACTTTTAAACAGATATATTTTTTTTAAAAGCCAAGCCAGTTACAGGCCTTTCTTTTGGGGAGCAGGGTGATGGTATAAAAATATATCCCCAAATATCTTCTTCCAAGTCTATCAAAGTGCTCTTTGAGTAGTATTTCTCCCTCTAATACATACACATCAAAGGAAGCACTTTTAAAAAGTTGTGTGAAAGAACCTTGGTCTTTTTCCTAAATAGTAGTTTTGAAACTACAGCACCCTTCCACGAGAAGATCAGTAATATTTGGAATATGATTAGTAACGATGGATGAGCTTCCACGAATAAGCCATTTGTTCACTGTACCAATCTTCTCCCACAATGCACTGCTGCAGTGGAGTACAGGGTGTGTCCCAGAATCACATTCCCAGTTCAATCAGGCCAACAGAGAGGTCCAACAGATATAGGCAGCGCCTTCTGCCAACCACATATGCACCCTAGGAGAAAGGCTCCTTAGCAGACGGACAGGGTGCTTCGTCAGACAGGTCAATATGAGGAGGATTCCTTCCAAGGAAACCTTTGAAAACCACTGATCTAAAGTACAACTAATACCATGTTTGCAAGATAATCTTTATGAGCAGAGCAAAGCCACCTTCATACAGATGAGGTCAGCTGCCACATCATTTGTTGATATTCTGACAGGACGCTATCAGGCAATTAAAAACAAGTTTTGCCTGCTTGTTCTCTGAACGATGAACACCTTGATAAAAGTGGAGCAACAGTCTCAAGTTAGCAGGTGGGTCCATGAAACATCATCCTTTGAGGAAACTGTACTGGAATCTACACGCATGTAAAAAAACCTGTGAAAATGCTTTTTAAAAAACCGTTTTGAAAAATACAGTCGTGAATGCCTCCATTTTGGAACATTTCGGCTCCTGAACAATGAAAACCCGGATGTAAATGCTCCAGTTTTTGAACGTTTCTCGGAAGCTGAATGTCCGACACGGCTTCTGCTTCAGTGCAAGAAGCTCCTGCAGCCAATTGGAAGCCGCGCCTTGGTTGTTGAACATTTCAGAAACCAAATGGGCTTCTGGAATGGATTATGTTTGACAACTGAGGTTTGACTGTACATTGAATTTTGCATAGCTCACTGCCGCCATCTAGTGTCACATTTGTTTATTGCACTTTACAACACATTTAAAACGTTTTATTTGCAGCTGTATAGCTGAGTCCCTAGTCAGTTGGCACTATCAGTACAGTGGTACCTCAGGTTAAGTACTTAATTCATTCTGGAGATCCGTACTTAACCTGAAACTGTTCTTAACCTGAAGCACCACTTTAGCTAATGGGGCCTCCTGCCCCCGCCGTGGCTCCAGAGCACAATTTTTGTTCTCATCCTGAAGCAAAGTTCTTAACCCGAGGTACTATTTCTGGGTTAGCGGAGTCTGTAACCTGAAGCGTATGTAACCTGAAGCATATGTAACCTGAGGTACCACTGTATAACAATACATCATAATTTTTACCACATGAAGAAGATCACAGCCCAATAAGTGTATGAAACAGACCTCTGAAATGTTTTATTTCAGCTGGATATTGTCCAATAATCGAGGCTGCTTATCTTCCTCCCGCAAATATATTTTGTTCCTCCGCAAATTATCATTTTTAGAAGAGTGTTCCATGGCTCCTGGGGATCCCTCTTCTCAACATATTTTATGTTTTTTATATATGCATATCTTGCTGACTGCTTCCATAGGATCCCCATTGCAATGCCTACAGTTTTTTGTGGCTGTCCATGCCCCCTAAAATTTGTCTACTAAAAGAATATTAAAAGCTATTTTAAAATTAATGTTTTTAAAAACATTTCCCTGGTCATAATGTATGCATATGATTGTTTGTAAGCAAGTCTCCTTTTACTTGAAGTTAATTTTCCCCACCCCTCATTTCTTTGTGAATGCCTTGTGAAAGTTTCTGCTGTAATATAGGAACAAAAGCAAGCAAGGGAAAAATTAAAATTATTGTAGCAGCAGTAGGAAAAGTAAATGCTGTAACTGTTTTAAAAGCAACACTTCAATATTCTAAAATTTGGTTTTCAAACTGGATTCCTTTGAGCTAATCAGAGGGGTCCTCAGTCAGAGGATGAGTAATGACCGAAAACACTTTGCTGAAAGGACAGCTTGTCTTTCTACTGCTGAACATTTATTGCCATCTACAGCTGCATGAGAGCATTGGACGTGGTCTAGAACTCATTCAAGAGCACAATAATAAGCTCACAGCTCTGTATGAACCAAATGCCACATATTTTAGTCCATTTCACCCAGGACTGCCCTATTTTTTCAGAGCTCTGTTCCTCTAGTCTCCAAAACATACTGGAACAGCTAAGTTTGTGTCTTCAGTCTTCCTCTATTTTTGCATTGTGCAGTATATAAACTTAAGACCAGGATGGGCATCTGTTTAAATGCTTAGCAAAGCAGCATACATAGTTTTGTATAATGGATACCCAAGAACATGAGCATGTAAAAAACTGTAATTCTCACATAATTTGTGGTTCTGAGTTGTGAGATTAAAAAACTGGCAAAATATATTGAATGCATTTACTAATTCTTCCCCATCCACTTTCCACAGACAAGTATTAGTTACATGCAGATTACATAATTTTACTACAGGTGATTTCTGCTTGATCGAGGCTGCCAAGAGCAACAATTTAAACTTGAAGGGGGAAGGGCAATGAAGGGCAGAAGGAGTTTGAGGGAGAGGATAACTTCTTGAGTCTCAAACACAGATAGCCTAGTCTACTATTTATTTTTGAAAATCGCTTGCCTGTTCACCATGGACTTTGACACCTCTTAAGATAATTGTAACCATATTTTGCACTATGGTTCCCAAAATCAAGGAGCAGGTGGTTTTCTATGTTTGGCTACAACTGGATACCATTTTGAGTCAATATGGCAGACTAGACCTTCCAAAACCGCACTGATTCAGAGTCCAGAGTGCAACCATTCAGGAATGGAAAAGAGATATGGCGAGATTTATATGGAACGGGGAGAAACTGAGAATAAAATACTATTAACAGATAAAAAAGAGAGAGGAGGCTTTGCACTTCCTGATTTAGAACTATACCACGCAGCCACGGTCTTCTATGGCTCAAAGACTGGATAACATTAAGAGATTCAGATGTGTTGGATTTGGAGGGATATGATCATCGATATGGGTTGCATGCCTATCTAATTTATGAGAAGGTGAAGGTCCACAGGGGTTTATTGAATCCTCTAATAAGGAAATCATTATATAAGATCTGGATAAAATATAAAGGAATATTGGAACCAAAAATACCTCTGTGGACCTCGCCAACAGAAGCAATGGAAGTTAAGAAAAAGAACATGGAGGGTGTACGGGGCCACATACTGAGTAATATTAGAAGAAAAACATTTTCTTTTTTGTTACAAACAAAAACAGAGAGTGTTATATAAATGTTGCATAAATGTATATTTTTTAAAATAATAAAGATTGGAGGGGGAAAACTGCACTGATTTTACCAAATTTGTGAGGTCATTTCTGAAATTAAGCAGGTTTTTCTCTATGTTTAGATAGAACTGGAACTATTTGGAATCAAGATGGCACACTGAAGCATGCAAAAGTGCACTGATTTCAAAACTGCACCGATATTTTGATTTCTTATAATTCCTGAGCAATGGCAAGAATGAGGTTGCTCATGTTCTAATAAAACACACACACACACCCCGGTACACACACACACACATATGAATGAATTGCCTCATTCGACTGTGCTATTAAGTTTAAAATAAAAAGACTCCCTTTTTTGGATGTGTAGGAGAGAAGAAGAAAGGAGGAGTGTGGGGTGAAAGATTGAAGGCTCAGTTCTTATAATAAAAATAGTGCCTAAGTACATGCTCCGACGCAAACAGCTAGCAAATTTTAAATGTGTATGAATGCAGCAGACTGCAGTTGTTCAATAATGAGGGAAAGGCACTCTGCTAATGACTTGTCATTGTCTTCAATCCTTGCCTGAGGGCTTCCAAAGGCAGGCCGATGCCTTTTGTAGGATGCAAGACGAGATGGACCTTTGGACAAGAAGGAAATTCTTGTGTTCTTACATGCTCATAGATCTTTTCCCCATATTGTAGGATTCAGTGCTAGTACCATAGGCGTAGCCAGGATTTTTGTTAGGGGGGCAGGCTTTCGTTGGGAGGGGCAGAAGATCAGATCTGTATTGATTTGTATTGATGGGGGGACAGATGACCCCTGCCCCACCCTTGGCTTTGACCATGGCTGGTATTGAACACAGATCCTAGACTGAATCCTGATGAGGTCTTGGCACAAATTATATAACGTAACAGGAAACAAGGAGAATTTCCCTGTAACAAGAAAGGGGAAAGGGACAGTTGTTGTACAAACAGCATGTTTTATGAAGAACTGCTTGAGGAGGGGAAATAAACTGCATATTGTGTGGACAAAAAATCCATATGTTCTCAAGTTGTAGTTTGCTTACAACAGAGGTACAGGTCCCTGCTTAATTTCCATAGAGAAGAGGGCTAGAGCTTTAATCTGTGTGGTAGATATACCATCATTATGTAAGCCTTGCTTCTTAATTTTAGGTAAGAATTCCAAATGTTATGAATATCACATAGTATGCATAGTAAACACACATAATAATTAAACGCATGTTATATGTGTTTAATTTGTGTAGCTTGTCTCATTGCTTTCAACAACATACAAAGAGCAATACTGGATCAGCCCATCTAGTTGAACACTTTGTCCTCACAGTGACCAGCTACATGTCCGTGGGTGAGCACAACAGCGCCCTCCCCACTTGCAATTCCCGCTACCAACTTGTATTAGAGGCACACTGTACTGCCTCTGGTAATGGGGGGGGGCGCACCCAGCTATCACGGCTATTTGCCATTGATAGCTTTATTCTTTGTAAATTTGTCTAATCCTCTTTTAAAGTCATCCCAGTTGATGGCCATCACTACCTAGTGTGGGAACAAACTCCACAGTTCAACTATGCACTGTGCGAAAAAGTACTTTCTTCTGTGTTTCCTGACTCCATATACTTTCACACACTTTTAGTTCCCTTTTGATATTTATGACACAATTTATGAAATCTATATTGTGTTGCCCGATCATTATCCAGAAGCTACACAGCTGTTCCACTAAATGCTGCCTCTACCCCACACTCTCATGCACAGGAGCCTCCCTGTTTTCGTCTGTGAAATGTTTGCAGATTTGCAGGTGTCAGATTCTTCCGCAGCGCACAAGAATTCCTCATCAAACAAACAGAATGGTTTCCTGAAGTAAACATTTTAATACCACTTTGCTAAAACCAGGGAACATTCAGGCTCAGTGACCCCATGTCTCCACATTCAAATAATACCACCCAGGAACCATTTACTGCATGATCTGTTATCTGCTGTTATCAGCTCCCAAGTTTGCAAGACTTGCATCTGAATGGCATTTCTGAACAGCAGCCGCTGAAGGCTATTTCTGTCACCACACATCCCTCCATAACTAACCTCACTTGCACTTAAGTTTGTAAATAAACCACATTAGTTCATTCAAATGTCAAAGTGGTTTCTGTGTTAAGAGCTGCTGGCCAGGGCTGCTCCACATTAAGTCATGGGAAATACAACAGAGCCCTGCTGATTTCACAGCATCATTTAGGTGCTTTTGCACTCAATTTCATTTCCTCATTTTATACGCCTCCCAGGTGCACCCCATAAAACTTTAGAGAGTACATAAGAACTTGGATCAGGCCAGTGGCCCATCTGGTCCAGCATTTTGTTCTCACAGTTCCCAGCCAGATGCTATCAGGGACTGCACTGGGGAAAGGAGGGCTGGGCTCAGGAGAGGGAGGTAGTGGCCAGTGGGGAGGAAGAGAAGGAAGAGTGGGCAAGGCATGTGAAGGGCCGGGTGCTTCCCCACACACTCCTGCACCACTGTTTCCCAGAACCAGTAGAGAATTGAAGCGGGAAGAGCAGAGGCAGCTTCCACATAGGCATAGTCTCTGTCAGGGAAAAGTACATAAACTGGTGGAGGAGTGATCCCCAGTTGCTGCAACTGCTCCACAGAGCACAGGAATAGCTTCCTAGACACTATATTGATGTGCAGATGTCATGTGCGGCTTGAACCTGTTTAAAATAAAGGGACTTTAAAGTGGTTGGACTGATATGGTACTGTTATATCTATGTAGCATAGTTTTCAAAACTTGAAAGAAAAAATGTGGGTTGGCTTAATTTTCAGTTGACAGTGCATTGTTCATTCAGTCCTGTGATGTCAGCCTCATGTTTAAACATGCCCCATTTAACACTGCTTAGTTTTCTTAACTCTTCTCATTCCCTTGTGCCTTTAACCTGACACACCACACTGACTTTAAGAAAGTCACATTGGCTTCCTGTCAAAAGACATTGCACAGGGATTTTTTGTTGCTTTAGTGAGGTAGGAGAGCTGGGGAAAAAATGCGTGCCTTTGGTTTCATTGGTAGGCGAGTTTTAAAAGCCCAGGACGCAAATTTCTGTGGCTGTGGTGGCTCATTTACCAAAAGTAATGTATTTAGCATCAACTCTGGAAGTGTATACTTGATAATGACCAAACAAGTATGGTCAGAATTAGTTTGATCAGAATTTTGCCCTTAAGTGAAGCGCTACCTTTTCCCTCAGACTTTTGGGGAAAGGTCAGGTACATTGGCTTGGGATTTTATTATTGCTGCATTATTATGAAATTTAATATTGTCTCATTTTTGTTTTAACTGTGTTATTTCTACCCTAGGACTTTAGGGTGAATATGGTCAACACAACAAACAAATATCACCTGGTTTGCTCTGGCCTACAGATGTAAAGAGGCATTCTTGTCTGTCTCTACACTTGCCTCCTTTCGTCAGTGCTGAATGGTGTCACACACAGCCTGAGCCAGAATTTCTTAGCTGGACTTTTTGGGCTCAAAAAGGAGTCCTTAGATGGAGATGTTTTATGAAAGGTTCTCTTTACTCACCTTTTGCACTCCTCTGCTTCCTGCCTGTGGTCTTGGGAATGCCAACAACCATACTCCAGATTCTCGAAGGACAAGACTTTTTCTTTTCTTTTACCCATGAGACTTCAGAGTGAGAGCAGAAAGCACTGACCCTTGGTCTGATTTGACTTCATATTCAAAACTCATTGGTTACGTGGCTTTGTTATGAAACCAACTCAGAATAGGGGCAAAGCTTCCTGCCCTCACTCTGGAGTCTTGTGAGTAAAAGAAATAAAAACAGCACCAGGTAAAGGTGGGGCAAATACTTCAACAATGTTTACAGGGTCCCTGCAAAACAGTCCAAGAAGGGGTCACTAGCTGAAGCCTGCAAACAGTGGCAAAGCCAAGGTATATTTGGCTCAGTCATTGTCCGAATCCCTATCTGACACCACACAAGCTGCCAGTTCAAGAGCCACTGCATGATCAAGTTCTAACAGGTATACAACCACCAAAAAGTGGTGGCATAATAATATTATTACCTAAGTGCTTACAAAACCAGGTGTTCTACAATAAATAAAGACAGTTCTAAGGGAAATATTACACTCTGCTGTCAGTCTCACTGGGTCCTCTGGGGCACTGGCATTTGCCCAGCCATGCCAAGTGCTGAGACCAGGCCTTCCAGCAATGTGGTTTTTGGGCTTTGTTTGCTTAACAGGGCCGAGTACAAGCTGGGTTCGTCTGGCCCTTGCCATTAGACAGAGTGAGGAGACTGCCCCAGGAAGCTGATGTGCTGGAGGTAGTAGACCTCTGAACACCAGTTGCCGGGGATCTCAGGTGGGAATGCTGTTCCACTCAGTCCTGCTTGGAGACCTCCCATAGGCATTGGCTTGGCCACTGTGAAAACAGAGTGCTGGACTAAGCAGGGCGTTAGGTCTGGTCCACCAGGATTCTTCTTAGGACAGAGCCGTGTGTGCCATAAGGTCTGTCCTGTATCCCCTAAACTAGGCTATTGTCCTCAGCTGAAGTGGAGGACCGTGTTCCATCATCAGGGCTGATACACAGTTAGCCTCTGTATGTAGAACTGGTGGCCAGGTGGTGAGGGCACTATCTCATCCTGAGCCCAGGAACTTGAACACACACTATAGGTCTGGATTTGGACAGAGCCATCCAAGTCCCCAGTGAGATTCTGACAACTTTATATATGAATTGGCTAAAAATGATCTGTAAAGTAAGGAGTTATACAGAGATCTCAGAGCAAAAATACTGTGAAAATTCCAGACACCCAGAGAAGTTCATGTTTTTACGTTAACTCTAAGAGAGAGTACAAGCTTCTCAGCAATTTCCCTTTCTGCATATAATGACAAGTGACAGGAGGAAATTACCACATCATTGTAAAATGTAGAAATTTATTTGGGATGGTTAATTACTCATTTATGTGGCAATAAGAAGAAAGAGGTGACAGAAAAACAACTTTGGGAGCCAAAGGTGAAGGCAAGGATTTATTTCATTAGCCAAATGAAATCACCACTTATCTCAAGGTTATGTCACAGTTACATCATTAAGCTTACAACATTCAGTTCCCAGAATTATTACAGAAAGAGGAAAGATTGCAAACAGAAGAAAGACACATATTAATATATAACCAACAAGCACGTAGCAAAGGATTATGGGCCAAAGCAAGTATTACTCTGAACTACTAATGAAGAAAAATATAGACCAGTAGTTTAATGTTCTAGAGTGGGCCTCAATGTAGCAACAACAGTTATGGTGAACATTTGACCTGGAAGATTTTACTGTATTTGTACAGGGCTGTCATGTTTATTGACATAATGCAGCATAGTCTTAAAGCAGCTAGGAAGGTCACTATCAAAGCTTCCATAAAACTGCTCAGCTGTTTTCAAAGGTCAACAGGTAAACTGTTAAAATCCATAACTAGTCAGCAAAATGCAAAGTGAAATTGAAGCAGAGAAGATCTGAGTATGACGTTTTAGGCCCACTGCAGACAGGCGAGCAAGACTGCTGGATACATGCAAAATCATGCCCCTTTGGCCTTTGAGTGTTACAACTGCAACGATTCTAAATATAGCAAAACTAGCCAAGATTCCTGTTTTCAGGGGTTGATTGTCCAGAGATCTTTCTAACACTGTGACAGATATATAACACACGCAAAACACACTCTAGCCAATAAAAACGCATGCCACGATAAATTTACCAGTCTTCAAAGCGCTGCAAACTTAGAGTGACAGTCAAATACAGCTACCTTTCTAGAACTAGCATAATAATGCTATTTATTATGAATCATCAGAAAGGAAATTTTATTTATTTTTAATTAACAAATAGTTAATTAGTATTGCTAATTAAACTCTGGTGCAGCTGATATACTGGTGCAAAGTCCTAACAAAAAGGAGACCAAAACTTCCTCATTGCTTAGAACAGAATTTAATTCTCCATAAAAACTACAGATAAGAGAATCACTGGGCATTTCCTCATATCTGAATTGGCTACTTTCTAGGGAATAATCCCACCATACGAGTAAAGAGGATTAGATCTAAGGATTGCTCAAAAGGATCAGCTGTTTAGAGTTGCCTAGTCTAAAATGCTGTTTTAACATAATCAGTTTCTTAAGCAAATGTGACTAGGTATGCATTACAAAACCATTATACTTGCACAGCATGAAATGGATATTTCAGCATTCTGCTGCTCGTCTCCAAGGCATGGTTTATATAAGCTCATATATTGTTTGGCTACTGTACATTATTGTACACTTGATGACTGAGAAATGAATGCAAAAACTGACTTGGGAAGAGGATAGACAGGTTACTAAACTTTGGAGCAATGTTTGGAGATGATGGAATGGGCACTTTAATGGGCTCCTATGTGCTGTTATGCACCAGTGGTGGTTTGGTGCCCAAAAGACTCATGCAGTTGACTTCAGAGGTACTAGGATTCCAGCCGGAGAGGAAGTCAGGCCCCACTGGTGGCAACAGAGTCCGACAGATTAGGGAATACTAGAAAACAGACTAGCAATATCTGGTTTTCAACAGTGTGATATATCAGCAACTAAACAGTGCAATATTCCAATATAACATAATGTCTGAAATCGGAGATCAGGAGTGGGAATGATAGAAGGAGCAGTCACGGAGATTGGGCAGGGGTGTTTGTGTGTGCAGATCAGGCGGGGGATAAGGGAAAAAGCAGCTGTGGAGATCAGATGGATGGGGAAAGGAGAGCAAGCGGAGTCACCTCCAGCACATGGTTTGAGGGGGAGGGGAGGGGGACAGGGGGTTCATGAAGTCTCTGTCAGCGGGGAAGCCAGTGGTGGCAGCCAGCAGAGATGCATGTCCACTGTGGCTCCTGCTGTTATCCTGCTGAGAAAAGCTTCTCGGCATCAGTGTCAGGGGAAGGTAATGCCACGGTGCCCTGTTCTCCGTCAGTGTGAGGGAAGGCTGCAGCGCTATTGACTGCCCTGGTCTCCCTCAGCATGAAGGAAGGCAGCTCAGATCAGCAGTGTGATCGGCTGAGATCACTGTGCGATATTGGCAGTGCCTTGAAATTGGCAGCCCTCCTCTCCCTCAAGCAAGGAGCGATATATTGCTGCTTATTACCAGGTCAAAATCGTTATCAAGGTGTGATTTCAAAACCGTTTTTGGCCAACATATTGAAAAATCACACAGCGCTAAAACAGACAATAAAATTTGTGATATTACTTGTCAGGTACAGTGCTGAGGAGGGCTGCACTGAGGAGGAATGGTGGGAGCCTTCCCCTCCCCCTGCTCCTGATCAGGATCCTGAATCTTCCCAGGAGCAGGGAAGTAGTATAGATTTGGAATAGTGGTTTGCAGAGAGACATAGTTCAGAAGGCAGAAGCTGGGAAGTACTGGGTGGGGAAGTGGGTGGAACCCTTAATTGGGAGCACCTTCATTCCGAGGAATGGATTCTTTGTTCTCTCGCTGTGATCATTAAAATTTCTAACTGCTAAGAGACTCCTTTCACTTTGTTCTGCTTATCTACTGCCAAAGGGTGGGGGAGGAAGCCGAGTCCCTGAAGCCTGACATTACCATGCAAAAATGACAAAGCATAGTTTGGGGGGAGGCAAGGGATGGGGCCGCGGACCCCCTGCGTGCATTCCGCAAACCCCCAATTGGGAACCACTGGGCTAGACTGTCATTCTGCTTAGTTAATGCTGCAGTTAGAAACAAATCTTCAAGCAGGGCACTCATGCCGGATTTTCACTTTGGGGGAAAGAGGAAGTGAGCAATGGTTTCCCAGCAAAAGTTCTGGAATATTCTGAAGCTAGCTTTGCTCGGGTGTACAAGTCACATGTAGAAGTGCTCAGAGACCCTATCCCCCTTCCTGTGTCATACACCTGAAGGATATCACATGATATAAAGGGCTGGGGCTCCATCAACAGCCCTGCCTCCAAGCTTGTTTAGCATCCCCTGCTCCTGATGACCACTAGTCCATATCATCAGAGCCACAGAAACCTATGCATGTAGATTTCCCTGGCTCAGGTATGGGCATCTAACATCAGTGTTAGGGGAAGCCACATCACCTTATACAGTAGCAGGGGAAGCTACACTCCACAACCCCTTTAGTTGTATGTTGCCCCTTCTTGCATACAGCACATGAGAGGTGCTCTTTGTGAAGAAAGTTGCATCTGAGGTGAGGCAGTGTGAGATGAGACAGAACTGCTGTGTTGCAGCTGTGAGGACCTGCTTGTACACGCCAATCAACACATGAAACCACCAGCAAATGTTAAGTATATAGTCAATGAGATGATCATCTGAACACAGAACTGGGCCAAAACAGCCCCCAAATAACCTTATTTGAGCTCTGGGGGTGGGAAGTAATGCTTCATTTAACATGCTACATTTTCATGCAGCTGTGTAAGATAATGGATTGCTAAATATAAGTAAGCTCTAAGGCACCTGTCAGACTTTGGGGACTTGGCTTTCTCACCCCACCTTTGGCCGTAGATAAGCAGGACAAAGCAAAAAGCGTCGCCTACCATTTAAAGAGTCTTTAATGATCACAGCAAAAGAAGAAAGCAGCCATTCTCGGAATGACCAATTAAGGTTTCCACCCACTTCCTCCCTAGTCACTTCCGCCTCTTGCAACCTGATCTTGCAACCATATGCTTTTTGTGTAGCTGCCTTATCTGCTCTCCGTGACCTTGGGCGGATAGGCTGGACACTTTCCAGTGAGAGAGAATCTGTTAGCTCTCTCTTCCAGTTCTTCTTCACTTTGCTGTTCACTCCCCAGTTCATCCCAACTTTTGTCTTCAGAACTAGTCTTAGGGATGACCTGGTTGTCCAGACATGACCCTGTTATTGCATGGGGTCAGAGATCCATAACGTTTCCTTCAGCATATTGTTACCTCCACTGTTTGGGCTACAAACCCCCAGAAGTTGCAGCGGTATTTGGGGCAGGAGTGCTGAGTACTTTATCAGGTAAGGAGAGCCAGCTGCCCGAAGAGTACTTATGTCATATTGGCTGTTTGAGTTGTTCTCGGCTGCAACTTACCTGTACTTATGGACAGGGTGGTTCATAATATAAAAGCATTTTAACTTTATTTTTATATTTCTGTAATTTATTCATAAAACACTTTAAATGTTTGTGAAAGTCAGCAGAATCTAATGCTTGATGATACTAGAAGTGACTACTTCCAATGATGCCTTATTGCCTAGCTAATTTGGCAACTCCACTGGACAAAATCTGTGGCCAGACAATTTTGGCAATTACTGCATCAAGTGACTCACACCCTAATCCTACCAATGGGCTGTGAACATCAGCTGGTCCATGCTCAAGAGGAAGCCCAAAGGAGTGAGAGAGAAAACAAAGGCAGAGGTAAGACATCTTGGAGGAAAATCACTCTCCCCACAACTTGGTTGCTGAGTAAAACAAAACTGGGAGGGCTGGGGGCAGTTCTTTACTCTGGAAACTAATTACAATTTTCATTCCTTCCCCTCTTTCTTCTTAAATCCCACCTCAGTTATTAAAAATCTACAAGAGCATTTCACAGAGACACAAAATGGAAGCCTGCCAGTCTATTCAGAGCCAACTCTGAGTAGGTCACTCTTGGCTCGGTAGCAAACCACAAATGGAGCACAAGGAAAGGACAAACCCTGTTCTCTCTCACACAAGCCTCCAGCCTAAATTCTTTTCTCCTCTTCCAAAACGTGGACCTGCTACAGTCATTGAAGAAAAAGTAATATACAGAGAGCCAAAAAGATCTCCACTAGGGAGTTCTAACAGTTGCCAATTGCATCCATTGCCCACCCACCCCCACCCAAGAAAACTAATAGCAGGAATGATTGCTATTAGAAGCAGAAGCTTCCCTGAATAACATTTTAATTTTTCACACACCCAGCGAAGGATACTTTCATAATAAGTGTGAGCACCTCACCAAGCTTCTCTATCCATAGATCAAGGCTTTGCACCCGGGAACCAAGTAGGGAAGGGAAAGCAGCTGAAAAGCCAAGCGCCCCTTCTTTCTTCTGAGCTGCCCCTCCCAGAGCTGGTTTGACTTGACAGAAGTAGGAAAGGAGATGTCTGCTCTCAATGCCACTGATAAACAACACTTCGAGAAAATTTCAAAGTCCGTTTACAAAGTAAGAACATCAATTGAAATACACAAAAAACATAAAAGCCAATTTAAAACACAAAAGCTAGCATAAGAAATCAGCAGCAGAAATAAGATAAATTCAAGTAAGAAATAGGAACGTCTTTATTTACTTCCCAAAAGAAACAAGTGATAAAATGAACTTCGTGAGGGTCAGGATTCCATCGTTTCAGGGCCACCACAGGAGAAAAAAACCACTGCTTTGTTGCACAGATTTACATGTCGCAGGCACTTTTGTCCTTAAATCAAGCCCAAGAGCAACACTGTGGGCAAGTGTTTCTGTGAAGCATTAAAAAGGGACATTTCCCAGAGCTGAACTCTGCTTCCTTGTGAAATCTTGTGTGGCCATGTGGGTCATGAGTCTTTCGCTTTCCTGCCCAACTGATTCCTTCCCTTCGGGTAAAGCCTTGGTTCTTACACAGACTCTGATGTTTCCATTAATCACTGATAAAAAGGCAATGCAGAAATGCTATAAATGAAACAATGTCTACCATGCTGTCGCCTCTCCTTCCTTCCTTCCTTCCTTCCTTCCTTCCTTCCTTCTTCTTCTTCTTCTTCCAACAACAGTTTTAGAGGGTTTTTCTTGTGTTTTTAAATGTTCATAGTCGTTCAAATATATGTTGGAAGTGTAAGAAAAAGGAGGGGACATTTTAACATATGTGGTGGGATTGTAAGGTGATTAAATTTTTTTGGGAAATGATATACAACGAATTGAAGAAAATGTTCCATTTAACATTTGTTAAAAAACCCGAGGCATTTTTGTTGGGGATTGTAGGGAAAGACCTGCCAAAAAAGAAATGAGAGCACAAAAGACACCAGGCTGACATGAGGTAGGATCTTGGATACGTAAGTCAATGCCCTCAGTATTATGATGACAGGTCAGACGCCCTTTCTTCAGGGATGAGACTGGAGCACAAAGAAGGACAGGGAATTGCACTCTGAGCCAGCCCCAGAAGCACCTAAGAAAGTAGAAGCAGTTGAAGACACAAAGTATGAGGTGCAAGAACTGGGGTAGAAGGGGGTAGGGAGGTGGGAAGAGTGTGGGAACACTGGGCTGGCAGTGGTGAGGAGCACAGGGAGGGGCTAGGGAGGGGCAGATGGGGCGGGCTGCCCCAGGGGGCACTTGGCCGGTGGAGTGGGGGGGGGGAGAGCCACTGGACGGCTCCTTCGCTGTGCTGGCACTCTTCTTACCTGGCAACTAACTCTTTCCTTTGAAGCAGAAGGGTGGGCTGCTGCTCTCTCTGGTTTTGCAACTGTGAGGGAAAGAAAACCTGGAGAGAGGAAGGGGTGGGGGAAGGCTGCCCTCCAAGCAAAGTTGGAGTAAACAGTAATGTGTACACAACCCAGCCAACCTCCTGAAATATCATTTCTTCTTGTTTTCTTCACCTCAATGTCTCAGAGATCAATTAAAAGTGGTGAAGAGATCAGACCACCACCCCCTGTCCTTTTTGGAAACAGAATCTTTTGTCATGATTAAATAATTTAAATGGCAAGTTCACAAGATAAGCACTTGTTGCTTGCTTATAATGTGTGTGTGTGTGTGTGTGTGTGTGTGTGTGTGTGTTTGGATATAGAGGTCCACATACATGTTTACACCATGTGAATACATAATGAGGGCACTGCTGCAAACAATCAGCTACAAAAACTGAGTCTTGTTTATACTGAAAATAAAATACCTGCAATGAAAGAAATGTGATGCTGGCATCCCTTCCTTTAATTTTCAAGGAAAATGTAGCCAATCCACTTTAAATTCTTTAATTGCAGTGGATCAGCAGCCAGCATTTTTTTAAGGAAACTTGTGGAGTGTTTATTCTGTTATTGTTTAGTCTTTTATATTATTCTTTAGAGTTTTATACTGCAAGTCTTTACATGTCTACGCAGAAGTCCCACTGAATGAAGCCTACTCCTAGGCAAGTGTGTAAAGATTGTGCAGTCGTATACTGTGACCTTAAGCATAATTACTCAGAAGTAAGTCCCACTGAGTCCAACAGGATTTACTCAGATAGACCTCAGGTAGATAATCTGAAAATGGCCTCGGCCCAGTATACCTGAAGGAGCGTCTCCTTCCCCATCGTTCAGCCCAGACACTGAGGTCCAGCTCTGAGGGCCTTCTGGCGGTTCCCTCACTGCGAGATGTGAGGTTACAGGGAACCATGCAGAGGGCCTTCTTGGTAGTGGCACCCACCCTGTGGAATGCCCTCCCATCAGACATCAAGGAAATAAACAACTATCTGACTTTTAGAAGACATCTGAAGGCAGCCCTGTTTAGGGAAGTTTTTAATGTCTGATGTTTTATTGTATTTTTAATATTTTGTTGGAAGCCACCCAGAGTGGCTGGGGAAACCCAGCCAGATGGGTGGGGTATAAATAATTATAATTATAATTATAACTGTTGCACATGGAAGTTCTACTTTTGACAAACAATTGACTTTTACAGTCATAATACTTCTTTGGATTTGTCCAATAATCATTTAGTCTCTGAGGAGATCTACTTTTTAATGTGCTTTAAGAACAAATGTGTTGAGGGGTGTGTAGATGTGCGTGTTGTGTATGCAAATGTGTGCTGGAAGGTGGGTGTGGGGGCCAAACAGAGTCTTTGACCCGGGTGCAAGAAAGCCTGGTTTTGTTTGACCACGCTTGGCATGCTGGCTGTGGGGCTCCCAGATGAGGAACAGTGAGGGGGAGGCAAACTCAGTGACTGCCCCAGGTGGGAAAAGCCCCAGCTACGCCACCTGCCCTTGCGCCTACCAGCAAACTGGTGCATTCCTGCCCTTGCCGCCTTCCTGTTCCGCCCCATCCCTGTCTGGCAAGCAGCAGAGGAGAGGCCAGCGTAGCAGTACTGGCCAACACGCCCCCCTGGCAACTGGGCACTTTCACAAGAACAGCCTGTGGTGCCAGCAGCTGCCTGGCCCAAGGCTGCCATGTCCTCCTCCTCTGACGCGGAAGAATTCATCTCAGACTGCTGCTGAAACAACAGCTAAGATACTTGCAGCTTACAAGGTCAATGCTCACAGGAAAACACAAACAGATACAGCAATGGTTTAAAGGGTGCAGTATCCGCACCAGGGCTACAGGCTGAAGGAAAAAGGGAAGAGAAGAGAAAGAGGGCAGTACTGACAACAGAAGGAGGTGGTACAAAGGTGAGGAAAAAATGGTGAGTTGTCTCACATTTACAAAGCCAAGCTAGACCTGAACAAAACTGGAAGCTGAGAAGACTCAGAGCAGACGGCCTGAGGGTGCTACTATACTGCTCTTATGGGGCTTATGGGGCCAAGAAGATGAGAGAGGGAATTCGTGCAGGAGTCAGAATTGCTTCACGCTCACTGGGACACTGGTGGATATGCGTGTGAAGGATAGATGTATATCCACGGACTCTATACATTTGCAAAGCTAAGCAGGGGCCAGTATGCTTTCAAATTTCACTTTTCTCTCAGATTCATTCTATAACCAGCCATATAAAGACAATAATAATGGCCAAATTACAGAATTGCCAGAAGGATTACTGGCATGTGTCATGAAGCACTTTCAACATTCTAAACTAGCCACAGAAAATATTGAGTAGTGTTTTTTACTGCCCCCAGATCCACATTCATATATTTGATTAACAGATTACCAAAATGATCTAGAGGTGGGTGTGGGGAGGGGAGATCCCATCAATTCATGTGCTGCTGCAGTGCGCACTTTAAGGAGCACATGCTGCACAGTAAACACTCATTGTGAATCTGTACTATATGATGTTTGCCTTGTCAACAGCTTCAGTTCACAGAGCAGATTAAAGAAGTCAAAGCAACAATGACTCCAATCTATTAGTTACTGTTTGGTAACAGCTAATTTGGAAAGTTATTTAAAAATAAAATAAAATCAGTGTTTGTGTGTGGTATGCGAGCATAGCTAGCTACAGATATAGATATTTTTGCTCAAATAATGCTTTGGTAAACAGTCATACTTAACATTTGAATAATGCAGTACCTTTATTTATTTATTTTATATTGACCACTTATAACCATGCAGAACTGACCAAATCTTTGGAAAATAAATGTTACTCAGCATGGGAACCTGAAGCCAGTTCTGACAGAGTGCTACAAACTTGGCTGAAACCTGCCTTGCAAATAAATTCACAGAAGTTAATAGCCAATTAATAGACCACAGAAAAATTATGAACCCGCTGGCCTACACCTCTTCAACGTTAAGCCATTTGTTTGAACATGTCATAACAATCTTTTTAAATTTTTGTTGTCACCTGGATGCAATTCTCACTTGCTACAAGCACCCAAGCAAATGACCATTGCAAAACCAAGATGAAAGTATATGAGCGAAGAAGTATCGAGAAGAGTATAAGCACAAGCGCAACATGAATGACACCATTTCATTTTGGATTGGAATATCTGGAATAATTTCCATCCACAATGTATTCTGGTAATGTGCAGGACTCTCTCAGCAGTTATTCTGGCTGCATTATTGTTATAAAGATGCGCACAGGAGTCAATTTCTAAGTGTTTTAACAATGTTTTGATTAGCAGCATGGATTTGTCAAGAATAGATCCTGCCAGATAAATTTTATCCCTTTTTAAAAATCTTGGTGGATTGTAGGAATGCTCTTGATCAAATCATCTTGATGTCAGCACATATTTTGGTTAGCAAACTGTTTATAGTATAGATGGTGATACAAACAATACTCAATGAGTGCTCATCTATGATTTCTCATCAAATGGGGGGAGGCTCTGTTGTGGGCCCAAAACCTTTCAAGATGTCATTCAATTATTTAGGTGATGGGGTAGAGAAAATCCTTATCAAGTTTAGAGATGACAAAAACTCTGAGCAACATCTAACACCTCCTCAGAATACAGCAATAAAATTCAAAATGACTTTGATAGGAGACTGGCCTGAAACAGACAAAAAGGAAAAGGAAATCTTAAGAAAGAAGATTCTGATTAAACATCAGGAAGAACTTTCTGATAATAAGAGCTGTTCAACAAAGGAACAGTCTTCCTTGGGAGGTTGTGGACTCTCCTTCCTTGGAGGTTTTTAAGCCGAGGTTGGTTCTCCATCTGTCATGGAGGCTTTAGCTGAGATTCCTGCATTGCAGGGGGTTGGACTCGATGACCCTTCGGATCCCTTCCAACTCTATAATTCTATGATTCTATGAAACCAACTTAAAAAGAGAGAGAAATGCAACATTCTGCATTTAGGCTAAAACTAAAATAAAACATGCAGGATTGGAGATACCTGGCTTGGCAGTGCTACATGTGAAAAGGAACTTGGGATCGTAGTCAATCACAATCAGCCGTGCAGCACAGTTACAATAAAGGATAATGTGATTTTAAGCTGTATTAATAGAACAGTTTCCAAGCTTTGGGGTGTAAAATATCCACTTTATTCTGCATTAGCACAATTGCATCTGGAGTACTGTGTCCAGTTCCAAGCACCACACTTTAAGAAAGGTATATGAATATGGAATGGATTCAGAAGCAAACAACAGAAATGTTCAATGGTATGGAAACAAGTCCTAGGAGGAAAGATGAAAGAAACTGACTATGTTTCGCCTGGAGAAGACTGATGGGGAATACTATACCTGAAGGGTTGCCACAAAAGGGGGCAAAGACTTGTTCTTTTTGCCCCAAGACAAGATCTAAAGGGCTCGGGTTACAATTAAGAAGTCTCCAGCTGAACTTCAGGAGAAACGTCTTGATGATATGAGCAGTTTGATAATAGAACTAAGGTCCTTAATAAACTGATTCTTGCACACCTAATGTCAGCGCTCTTCACACAGTCAGTTCCAACCTGCACACAATCACTGCAGACATGAGCATGCCCTAAAGTTGCATGGAGAAGTTGATGTTTATTCTCACTCATGACAGCCATGTATGTAGGTTATATTGTGCTGCCAGATTATCTTTTCTGAAATCAACATTTTATTAATTAGACATCTATTTCAAACAGGTGTACATATTTGCAATTTAAAAACAAACCAATTCCCGCACTAAGGTAAGCATTAAAACTTTGTTGCCTTCAACAAGTATATGATCATTTTCCTCAAGTCCTGTTTTGTCCAAATTGTCAATTCACAAGTTACTCATCTACTGGTATAATTTCTAAGTATTATGGAAGTAAAGTATTGCAATGGCTACAATCCTGAACGCACCAATGTAGAACTACTGTACTGTGTTTCCAGACAACTATGTATGGATTGAGAATTAACAGCTCAATATATTTCTTTTTACATAAAATTAATAAGTGAAACACAACCTCTGCTTGTGGGCCAGAACTGTCTGCAACAGAATTACTGCACATACCTTACTCAGCAAAATATCAACTAGCTAAGATATTTCTCTCTCTGCCAATGACATTTTTGCAGAAGGCCCTACAATTTTTTTAAAACTATCAGCCAAATGAGGGTGACCAAAATTAAAAATAAAATCAGCTAATACCTGAACAGAAAACAACAGGTTAGTCACCAACTACAGTATTTCTCTTTGTTTCTTTTACTGCAATACAGAGTTTTCTTAAAAGTGTTCCAATCTCTCTGGGATGGTACTTTAGTGGAACTAGATACATGTAGCACTTTATTTAAATTAGTCAAAACCATAATATTTCCTCATAAAGACTAGAAGCAAGAATAACGAATGTTTGTGAGGAGGGTCCCCCTATCCTTTGATAAGCAGAAATTCACCAGGTGAAGCTTCCAGCATAGAGTTTTACTGATAAGGAGACTTTAGAGCAGCTGATTTAGGCACAGCCGTTCCGCCAGGGAGAAAAGGGAAGCAGCACTAATTGTATACATTATACATTATCCAGACATCCTAGAATCATAGAACTCTGGAGTTGGAAGAGGCATCAGGTGCAGTGCAAGAATTTCAACCAAGTCATACCAGGAAGGAGAGTCCACCACCTCTCTGTGGACTAAGCTGCAATCCTAGAGTACCCACTTACTTAAATCCCACTGAACTCAACAGAATTTACTTCTACACAAATATGTACTATAAGATGATTAATAAACTATCATTTAACCCAGCATGATCTCTAGACAATTCTACATTTCTGAGGCACATTCCTTCTTCTGCCCCATTTTCCTATGTAAAAGTTTTAATATCGTAAAAGTCTGCATGTTTTGTCCTCTGTGAATAACCTGAGGCCATGATACTGAAAACTAGAGGAACAGGTGCCTGGATATTTGAAAAACAAAAGATCATTTTTAAAAAGATCTTATAAGATACTTCATTTAAATATTTGTTTTTAGCGGCGCCTCACACTGATCCTCTTTGATTCCATGAGAGGGGACTTCATACAGACAACAGATAAAAATCCTAAAGGACAAACCAACCCCCAAAGCAACCAGAGAACATAAGGAACAGAAAAGGAACGAGAGAGCATAAAAAAAATGCTAATAGTAGCAAGAATATAACTTTCTCACACACACAGAAGCACACAAAATCTTTGCATATATGTAGTTTCTCATCCCATCTGAAATAACTGTGTGTGTGTGTGTGAAATAATAAAACTATTTTACAGCAGAACCATTTAAAGGAGGAAGAGCAGGCGTTTAACTCAAGTCAGCAATGCAGAAGACATGGAGTGAAGATATTTCTAAGAAATCCAGGATTGTTTCTGTGCTTTAACAGGGGGGGAGAACCTTTTCTTTCTTTTCCATTTTCTTTAGAGGGAGAGGGACACACCAAACATTTTTTAGAACTCCCACCCATGTGGCTTCCAGGCAGTGACCCCAGACCTGCATATTGGGGGGGGTGCACAGGACAACATTCGCCCCCTTCCTCGCCAACCCCCTTCTCCTCTCCGCCCTCCCCCCCAAGACTTACTTTTCCCCCTCTTTCTCAACTGGCAGCTGCCCTCAGCCTCTTCTGACTCTGCCAGGCGGCGCTTCGGAGCCTCCTCTGGGGGCAGCGGGACCCCCCTCTCCGCTGAGAGAAAGAGGGCAGGAAGGCGAGGGAGGAAGCGCGGCGAGCTCTTTCTTCCTCACTGAAGATGCCTCGGGGGGAGCCGGGGAACCCGTCGCCCGGTCGCTTTCTCCAAAGCCGCGGCTCATAGGAAAGGGGGAGCCAACACGTTGAAGAACTGACTGGGGGGAACAAAACAAACGGGGAGGGAGGGGGGGAGAGAAGAGTTTGGCTGGTCAGTCAACTTGCAGGCTGCTGCTGCCGCCGCTGCCGCGGGGATGAGGTCATCGGTGTAAAAATAAAAGCGATGGCGTCATTGGAAACCAATCCCCGGGAATGAGCTCCGCCTGAGGGAAGAGGGGCGGCTCCGAGGCGGAGGGAGGGAGGCAGGGAGGGAGGCCAGCCTTGCCTGCGCAGAGACCTGCCCAGCCACCGGGAGGCAGAGGAGCCCGGGCAGCTCCGCCAACTCGCCCGGCCGGCGCTGCAGCTCCCTGAACTCTCCTCGCGGGCCTGAAGTTGGGACCAGAAAGAGGGCCCCCCCGCCCCCCTCCCTCCCTCCTGCGCTTTCGCGCTGCTGCTGCTGCTGCTGCTGCTCTCCCTTCTCCCCCCCCCCCCTTCTTCTTGAAATGTTTGTAATATGTCAGAGCATTTCTAAAGTGCCAAGTCACGGGGAAAGGCCGGGACTGCGTGCACTAAAGACCTTGGTTAAAGCCCATCCTAAAAGTACCCCTAGGACCTCCTGGCCTCATGGGAGGGCAAGCCCGGATTGCACCTGCACGTGGGAGTGAGCAGCTGAAGGGGATGAGGAGGAGAGGCCCTCTGCCCACACACCTGAGGGGCCAGAGTGCCAGGCTGACCCCTGCCTTCATACCAGGGAGCAGAGGTCGGCAAAAATGTTAGCCGCAGGCCAGTCCACTGCCCCTCAGACCTTGTGGCAGGCCAGAGAAGCGGCACGGGGGGGGGGCTGGAAAAAGAGGCGAGGGGGGCAGTTAGTCCTCCCCCTAGACCCAGGGGCTGCCGCCACCGCTGCTTCTCGTGAGTAGGCAGAGGGAGCTCGTCCGCTTTGCTCTCTGGCCCACAGGGGCACCGGGCAGGGGGGCGCGAAAGGGCTGGCTCCAGAGAGGGGCTGCTGAAAATGATGCTGAGCCAGCTCAGCCCAGCCCCCTTCCTCCTCTAGGCAGGGCAGGGAGAAGCCAGGAGGAGGGAGGGAGGAGGCGCTGCTACGGTGTGGGGGGGGGGATGGCACCGCCTGAACAAACAGAAACCCCACGCCGATCCACAGACAGTCCGTGGGCCTGATCCTGAAGGCAATTGGGCCTGATCTGGCCCGCAGCCCTTAGTTTGCTGACCCCTGCCATGGAGACCTCCTTGTACCACCATAAACCGTTAAGACCATATTCATGGAAGTAAATCTTACTCTGCTATGAGTGATAGCCAAGGAAAGAAGATCATCCTAATGATAAAGATCAACTATTAACTTCCTCCCTGTGCTGTAAATCAAGTGCACATTCTAACCAATCGAGATTTTGCAATCTGCATTGGTGACAGGGAAAATATCAAAATTCAATTTTGGTCTCATGAAGGAATGAATTATACAGTGGTGCCCCGCAAGACGAATGCCTCGCAAGACGGAAAACCCGCTAGACGAAAGGGTTTTCCGTTTTTGAGTTGCTTCGCAGGACGAATTTCCCTATGGGCTTGCTTCGCAAGACAAAAATGTATTGCGAGTCTTGAGATTTTTTTTTCGCTTTCCCCCCCTTTTTCTAAGCCGCTAAGCCGCTAATAGCCTTTTAGCAGCTAAGCCGCTAAGCCTTTAATAGCCGCTAAACCGCTAATAGCACTAAGCCGCTAATAGGGTTGCTTCGCAAGACGAAAAAACCGCTAGACGAAGACACTCGCGGAACGGATTAATTTCGTCTTGCGAGGCACCACTGTATCTTAATTTAATACTGTTACCTAAAAAATATTAACAGATTGTTCCTTTATTCACTTATCTAATGATGCATATAACCATCTAACATGGATATACATGTTACAATAACTAATGGAACATTTTTTTCCAATGATGTGAGGAAGAAAGAAATGCTGACCTGCAATGACTTACAGATTTAATTCATCTTTAGAAGTAGTTTGCAAATTACCTGAAGTGATTTGTTTTACATTTGAAGGAACTAAAATCATTCCCCATTGTCGTATTGAAAACATCTGTTGCTTCCTACATAGTGGAGGGAAACAAAATGAGCACAAACTCTTGGAAAGATTGCAGAGTTAACAATCATTTTTTAAGCTGTCATCTTCATAGCATTTACAATAAGTGTGGGGCCAAGGTTGTTTGCCACTCTAGGTAGAGTGATTCATGAATGTGTATGAATTTTTTAAATAAAAGCCCTGCCAAATAAGACCATCGAATGCACATCCTGATTCACACATGTGCCTCTGGAGAACTGAAAAGTGGATTGTGAAGGCTTACATTAATTCCATGGTGGGCCATCTCCACAACATGAACTTTCACTCCCCAAAGCTTGCTGCAAGACACATCTCTGTTCTGCTGTATGCAGACGATGCAGCAATACTCTCAAGAACACCTATTGGGTTCAAAAGAGCACTGAGAGCACTAACACAGTACTGCAAGGAGGACCAGCTAGAACTCAACTATCAGAAAACTAAGATCATGGCATTTGCCAAACAGCCTATGAGCTGCTCTTGGCGCATAGATGGCCACAAGATTGAGCAGGCCTCTTGTTTCAAATATCTGGGGGTAGTTTTTCATTCTGCTGGCAGTAGGAAAGCCCATGGGGGTTATGTTGCTGATATTGCTCAGAGGAGCTCATCTGCAATCCTTAAATTTCTTAAAACAAGAGATGGCTACTATATACCTGCAGCACTCAAATTATTTGAAGCCAAACCAATAGCACAACTTCTCTATGGTGCCCAGCTGGGCCCCTTCTCCATTTTTGCACCCCTAGAACTTGTGCAAGTCCCAAAATGTGTCCCTAATGCCACCCTGAGACTAGAGACAGGTCGAGGCTAGAGTGTGGGTGACCATACTCAACTACTGGCTCAGACTATCTTTATTTCCCCTTGGACTTGACCCACTAACTATGAATGATGATTTCCAATCCACATGGAAGCAGGCAGTGACAACTAAAATCTCAACCCTGAGCTTCTCTCCAGGTTTGCTACTCAGCATGGGATACGAACAGGCCAAAGTTCTCATAAAACAACATGTTGTAGACACTGAGGCCCACCAGGCTCGTAAATCCAGCCCGTGGACCCTGCCGCCCACTCGGTCAGTCCTCGCGCGCTGAGCTAAGCCGGTGCAGCATTTCCTTCAGAAGAAGCCGCAGACGCCTCACTGTGCGGGGACTGACTTCCACAACACTGGCACTGCTTTGGATTGGCTGCAGGAATCTTTCTGATTTGAAAGAGATATAGAGCTGGGTATCATCCGCATACTGATGAACACTCAGCCCAAACCCCCTGATGATCTCTCCCAGCGGCTGCACGTAGATGTTGAAAAGCATGGGGGAGAGGACGGAACCCTGAGGCACCCCACAAGTGAGAACCCAGGGGTCTGAAAACTCCACCACCACTTTCTGAACACAGCCCAGGAGGAAGGAGTGGAACTACTATATAACAGCTCCCCCAGCTCCCAGCCTCTCTAGATGGTCCAGAAGGATGTTATGGTCGAAGATGTCAAAAGCTGCTGAGAGATCCAGCAGAACTAGGAAACAGCGCTCACCTTTGTCCCTAGCCTGCCGGAGATCATCAACCAGTGCAACCAAGGCAGTTTCAGTCCCATGATGAGGCCTGAATCCCAACTGGAAGGGATCCAAATGGTCTGCTTCTTCCAGGCGTGCCTGGAGTTGTTCAGCAACCACCCGCTCAATCACCTTGCCCAAGAATGGAATATTTGAGACTTGGCAATAGTTGGCTATATTGACCACATCTAAAGATGGTTTTTAAAGAAGCGGTTTGATAACCGCCTCTTTCAGCGGGTCTGGGAAGGCTCCCTCACAGAGTGAAGCATTCACCACCCTGTGAAGCCCATCGCCCAGCCCTCCCTGGCTAGCTTTTATAAGCCAGGATGGGCAAGGATCAAGGAGACAGGTGGTTGGTTTTACTCGTCCAAGCAGCCTGTCCACATCCTCAGAGGTAACAGATTGGAACTGATCCCACGCAACTTGACTAGATAGGAGTCTAGCACTCTCCCGCCCCAGCCCTGCTCCCATGGTGGAGTCTACCTCTTCCTGAATCTGAGTGACTTTATCTGCAAAAAACTTTAATTAATAAGTGGTACAGCTAGGACTGGACTTTGGAGCCTCCCTCACCCAAGCACCCAGAGCAGGGTCGGCCTGTTCATGAGGCAGACTAAGGCAGCTGCCTCAGGCAACAAAATCCAAGGGGCGTCTCTGTGGGTGTGTCCCCAATGCTGCTGCTATGGGAGAAGCAACAAGAAGCAGCTGCAGCAGCCTCCAGGTTCAGGAGAAAATGCACAACACCCTGTAAGATTGCATAAGAGCCCCACGAGATCTTGCCAGAACCTGGAAACTATGGCCTCACAACCCTGGTAAGCAAGGCTTCAGCAGGGGTGGCAAGCGGAGCAGGTGGCAGGCATGCAGCAAAGCACCTTCACATTTCACCATTGGCAGCGAAGCAGAACAGTCAGGATTTTTGTTAAGGGGGCAGGACTTTTTTGAAAGGAGGGGCAAAACTGATGTGATTGGTCAGTTAAGTATTTCTCTTGTTTTCTGGCTACGCCCATGCGTGCTGCCATGACTCAAAGTGGCAGGTGAAGGGAGCGGTAACAAGTATGCCTGGTGTCAGTACCTTAAGTGATGCTAGCTGCTACATAATCCATTCATTCTTCATATTATTAAAAACAGTTTAGAGCTATGGGGCAGCCGGCCAGACATGTATGTGGTAACCAAAGTAAATTTTATGATGTCTTCCTTTTAAAACTACATTATCCCCCTTCTACTATAAAATAAGAGACACGTGGCGCTGTGGTTAAACCACAGAGCCTAGGACTTACTGATCAGGAGGTTGGCAGTTCGAATCCCCGCGACCGGATGAGCTCCCGTTGCTCAGTCCCTGCTCCTGCCAACCTAGCAGTTCGAAAGCACGTCAAAGTGCAAGTAGATAAATAAGTACCGCTCCGGCGAGAAGGTAAATGGCGTTTCCGTGTGCTGCTCTGGTTTGCCAGAAGCGGCTTAGTCATGCTGGCCACATGACCCGGAAGCTGTACGCCAGCTCCCTCGGCCAATAAAGTGAGATGAGCACCGCAACCCCAGAGTCGGCCACGACTGGACCTAATGGTCAGTGGTCCCTTTACCTTTTTATTACAAAATAATGCTTATTCCCAAGTAAATGCCTTTAGGATCAGGGCAGAAGTAAATGCCACATTTTCTTCCTATAGCTATGGTGGTGCTACGACTTAAGTGGGTTAAGTGCCTGTGCTCACTGTTGATATATGTATAAGTCATTACTATATTGTTTGTTCATTTGCTCTAATATATCTAGAACGCAGAAGCCATTGCCGAATGGCATGGCCATGGAAAGGAAGGGTTTCAGAGAAGAGTGGGGTGTTAATTGTATGCTCCACAGGTGAAGTGGTCTGTGGAGCTATCCAAGACTTGCTAAGGCCGTTAAGATGAGAGTCCCACATTACCTAGCTTTCATCACCACTGATCACCAGGACATACTTGCTTTCTCTCACAAGTTTGGGAATTGCTGACAAAGACAATATAGTAATTGGGCTAGGAGGACCAGTGACCTGAAGCATCTGATAAGGCATTTGAGAAAATTTGCAAATGATCTAATTGATTGGCTACTTTGTGTGTGGAGTGCTAAGCTGACCCACCAGGCAGGTGGTGGCTTTCTGCCAACCTGTTCCATCTGAAAGGTCAGGAGTTAGTACTGTAGACCCATTGCCTCTTTGGTTAATGTTTATATGTGGGATATTATAGTAACAAGGTCTCTGGTTAATAAATAGCTTTGCTGTGTAAAGATTGAAGTGGAGCGGAGGAGGTATATTTTAGAAAAAGACACACCTCTCTCCGCTGTATAGCTCAAGTTTGATGTTTAAATTATTAAGCGTTGTTTACGACTAGGAAATGTGGGTAATGTGTGTGGAAATGTGGCCATAAGGATAGGCTGAGAGGGTAGCTGAGTGCTGGTCATTGTTCACCTCCGTATGTCCACTTGACCATTTACAGTGGTACCTCGGGTTACATACGCTTCGGGTTACATACACTTCAGGTTACAGACTCTGCTAACCCAGAAATAGTACCTCGGGTTAAGAACTTTGCTTCAGGATGAGAACAGAAATCATGCTCCGGCGGCGCGGCAGCAGCGGGAGGCCCCATTAGCTTTCTCTCAGGTCTCTCAAGTGGTGCTTCAGGTTAAGAACGGACCTCCGGAACGAATTAAGTACTTAACCCGACGTACCACTGTATTTCCAGGTTACTAAGGATAACAGTCTTTGCCCCTTTTTTTGATGGGAGGAGTGGAGGTTGTTAATAATACTTCACATTTATGCATCAGTTTCAAGCTTTCCAATCACTTCACATATATTATCTAGTTGAAATCCCTGTAAAAGGGGCCAGGAAACATATGACTCTCCAGAATGTTTATTTAGCGAGGTTTATACAGGGCTTAAATAAAAATCTCTAAGTGTATGGTATAGTATAAAATACAAAATTATCCAAATGAAAATTAAATCAACAGTTTTAAAAACAACTCTACATAATAAAATTATGTGTCTAGGTAGGCTTAACTAAACAGAAAGGGTTATAGCAGGCAGGGCTGTCTTAACCATATGCAGTGCTGGGGTGCAAAGATCTGCCCAGCAAGCCTCCCCGGTTTTTAGGGGGGAAACCCCAGAGTTGTCAACCTTTTTTACAAACCAGCTCGAGGCGGTGGGCGGCTGTGTGAGCAACATGCGCTGGGAGCGCCTCTTCATGGCCCTACGCCAATCCCAGGTGCGCAGGAGGGTGGAGCCAGCCGGCTGCCTCAGCACCTCGCTGTCTCACTCACCCCCAACTCGTGGCACAGAGCTACCCGCTCTAACCACTGTGCCATGCTGCCTCCACACTGACCCACCTGCCGGGGTCGGTGCACCTCTGCCAAGTGTGGGCTGCGGTCTCGGGCCCTGTGCGAATCCTGTGAGAGCGGCTCTTCTTGTTTACCTGGCAGCAGGAGAAGCCGCAACCCTCCTTCCTCCCAGGGAAGAAGTGGAGTGAAGATCTGCTTTGGGAGCAAGCGGGGAAGAAAAAGCTGCCTGGGGATCTGCTGCCCGTGTGGACCCTGCTGCCGGCCTTCCCTCATGGCAGGGCCAGCCTACCTGGCAACCAGTCCCACCTGATTCTGTCGGCGGCATCCTTCCCAGCAAACACGGTACGACTCCCCGAGGCGCCTCGGCTCCTCCAAGGCCATTCCAAGCGCGAACAGGATGCTGGGTAGCACCCTTTTCCTCGACAGGGCAATCGGGCGCTAAGACTCCCAGCATGCAAGCAGAACATAGAAATGTGACAATATGGCACCGAACAAAGGGCCAACCAGGCACCACTCGCCTCCCAAACGGTCTTTCTCCCGTTACTGGAGCCCAACCCTGAGGCGATGTTGTTTTCTTCGAGGTGGGATAACTACACTGCCAATGAGACGGTGAAACCAAGCGGCGAAATAGAAGCTCCAATGGGCAGGCTCTTCCCTGGACTCTTGGCCTGGCGCCCCTGGGTGCCCCACACCCCTGGCACCTATGGTTAAGATGGCCTGATAGCAGGCATAGAAGATTATACACCAAAGAAACCTGCCTAATATTAATAGACAGAGAGTTTGAGTTATTAACATCTGAGGGCGTTTTGATGGGGAAGCCCAGAGTGCTGCTTAATGGTGTGCATGGTACCAAGAGACATGGATGCTGAGGGAACTGCTGCAGTGTCCTGCAACACCTGAACCATGCTTGTCTTCCTGCCTGAGAATGTGAAAAACTATACCTGCAGCAAGTGCAAGGTGGTTGCCTTGCTGGAAGAGAAGCTACAAGAACATGAGGTTCACCTACAAACACTTTGAATATGGGACAAGATAAGAAATTTCTTAATAGAGCAGAGTGGACTGTCCACTCTTATTAATAATAATAATAATAATAATAATAATAATAATAATAATTTATTTATACCCTGCCCATCTGGCTGGGTTTCCCCAGCAACTCTGGGCAGCTTCCAACAAAATATAAAAATATAATAGTCTGTTAAACATTAAAAGCTTCCCTAAACAGGCCATGTGGTGCTGCTGGAGCTGCAAATTCTGTGCCCTCACTTTGGACACGGATTCTGGGCTAGAGGAGCAAGCCAGCAGCTGCAGACCTCAGAATATACTGACATGGCTATGGAAGGTACAAAACAATTCCTTCCACTCCCTAGAGGAGGAAGGAGGTGGTAGGTGACTCCCTACTGAGGGGGACTGGAGCAGCAGTGTGTGGAGGTGACAGGATGTCCCGGGAGCTGTGCTGTCTTCCAGGTGCAAAGAGTCATGATGTTACAGAGAAGTTGCCAAGTCTTATAAAGCCTGCTGACCATTACCCCTTCCTTCTGATTCATGTGGGTACAAACAATATTGGCAAACACAGTCTTCAACATATAGCAAGGGACTATGGGCAGGAAGCTGAAGAGACTTAGAGCACAGGTGGTATTTTCATTACTCCTTCCTGTCGAAGGTCATGGCCCAGAAAGACAGAGGAAAATACTGGAACTAAACTACTGGCTGTGCTGATTGTGTTATCAGGAAAGGTTTGGTTTTGGAGGCCATCGTCTCCGGCAGTGCTTTTTTCCCTAGAAAAAGAGGTGTCGGTACTCACCATGAAGTTGTTACAGTAAGTCCCACACTTTTTAACAACAACAAAAAAGAGGTGCTGGTACTGTGTACCTTTGAGTACCCCCTGAAAAAAAGCACAGGTCTCCAGTTCCTTGAGGGCAAAATGGGTTGCACCTTAACAGTGGTTGGTAAGCGTGTGGTTGCTAAGAGTCTTGTGACCCAGATCAGGAGAGGTTTAAACTAAATCCTGAGGGAGAGGAAGACAATATTATGGACGACAGGGGAACACCTGGTACTGGGCATAATAGTTTCATTGATGCACAGGAAACTGTGGTGGTGCTACAAAAATCTGCTAAGGGACATGAAACTACAAGCAGGAAGCAGCTGGAGGGAACAGCTCATGGTTTCAGTTTTCTCTATACTAATGCACAGAGTATGGGAAACAATAAAGATGAATTCAAGCTTTTATTATAGAATGGCAAATATGACCTGGTAGGTAGGGTTGCCATATATTGAACAGCAAAAAAGAGGATATCCCAAGCAGGAGAAAGAAGCAGGTGAGCACGGGGGGGGGGGTTATTGTGGATGTGCGCCTCTTTCCCTGGCCCAGGCTGGCAGTGGCTGTGGCATGCAGAACAGCCCAAGACACCTGAGCCCAAGACACCCCCCCAAACCCAGACATTTCCTTTAAAATGTAAAAATCCGCCCAGGTGGGCATGTTGGCCCCCAAAAGAGAACATGTCTGCATTTTCCTGGACATATGGCAACCCTATGGGTAGGCATTACTGAAACCTGGTGGGATGAGACACATGACTGGAATGTAGAAATGAAGGGGTATAACCTGTTCAAAAGGAATAGATGAAACAGGAAAGGAGAAGTAGGAGCATTATATGTAAAAGATGTGTACACTTGTGAAGAGATCCATGACTTGGAGCATTAAAAGCAGATTGAGAGTACCAGGTATTTGGGTAAAAATTGCAGGAGAGAGAAACAACTGTTACCTAACAACTGTTAGTGTGGGTCTCTACTATAGACTTCAAAGCCAGACTGAAGATTTGGATGATGTTTTCCTACAACAGATTATAAAACATTCAAAAAGCAGACATATGATAGTCATGGGAAACTCCAACCACCATTGCAGTGGTAGTTATCTATCATTCTAAGCAGCATATAAATCATATAAATCCTGTTAAATAAAATAAACTGGAAACTTTAAGCTGAGTTCTGTTGTAGTCAATGCATGGGGCTCTTAGGAATAAGAATATGACTGCAAAATCAGTTTAACCAGTATAGATTGTAATGTTTCTGTTTTTCCATGTAGAGACTCCTACTGCAGTTTACAAAAATTTCCTTGTCCTGTAATGTAAGTCCTGGGACAGGCTGACCTGTGATCAAACTAAAGTGTTCTGAAACAGTGGCCTGCTTGAATAAAGGAAAAGACCTGTCACAAATGTCACATTGCCAAATAGCAAATCAACTGGACTGAATAATCATCTGCAGCATGTTTTGGCAAGGTGTCTTCTTCACAAGCAAAAACATCCGCTGTTATGTACTGAAGTTCTCACCCTGGGCCAGCAGGGGGATACTGCAGGCGTGGAGCTGAACCAAGCCGCTTCAGAGGGTCTGCCGGACTTCCCACAGACTCAGACCACTGCCGTGCCTGACATTCCGCCAACTCCACTGGCAGATGTTCCACCCACAGCAGCCGATACAGGGGACTTGGTTTCAATGCCACCTAGGGTCGCGCCACAGCCTCAGCAAGAATCGGGCGGCCCCCCCGGACCTGGGTCTGGCAGAGTTTCCCCGGCGGTCTGGCAGAGTTTCCAAGCGCCCAACTTATTTAAAGGACTATGTTGTTGGACATGTAATACTGTCAGTCTAATGGAAGTAGGTGAAATGTAACCAATATGCTTTTGTGCCTAATTGAACCATTACGTGTAGTGCTGCATATAAGGAAACCATTACGATTGTAACTAACGCTTTATCTCGGTGGGGAGGGGTGTTATGTACTGAAGTTCTCACCCTGGGCCAGCAGGGGGATACTGTAGATAGTTTTCACTCAGGTCACATATACAAATAAGGGATCGAAAGTGACATTCAGTGATTGGATAGTTACAGAAAATGGTTACTGTTGCGTTCTGGTGGAGTTCTATATAAGCAGGCTGGCTGTTCTGGCCTGTGAATAATTCAGTTCAGTTCTGTTCCGGCCTGTGAATAAACAAGAGCTGTTTGAAGAATCGCTGTGTCGTCTGATATGTTCACCCATAACTTAACACCCGCCTCCTCTCAAAGCAGTGTTCTCCTTCAGGGTATATCTACTCAAGGACTTACAACAGTTTGATATGAGTTTAACTGCAGAGTTGTACCTAGGAGTTGGTAAAATCAAGGGTGCAGGCTGGAAGGGGGAGGGGGGCAAAAAATCACTCCAGAAATCCGTCTTCAGTTTTCTGTGTAAGATTGTATATTTAGACAAGAGCTGGGAGCTGAACAGTAGGAGAAATGGCAAGGTGGTATGAAGGTTTACTGCTGGAGACTGTGGAGTACATGATTGCTGCCGCTGTGGCGGTGAGAGGAAATGTGGGGAAGTTTCCTGTCCTCACATTGCAGCACAAAGGTGTGCAACTTTTTCTGTCTTTCCCCCTTGTCTCACCCTCACTCTGGATGCTTCAAGTACTTGGGTTGCATAAAATGTAGTCATTTCTAATGTTTCCATTGAGATAAAGTGATGGGCGTTGTGTGCAGATACAGCTCCTTACCAAGGGCGCAAGGAGCCCGAGGTACAACTCTGAATGGCTGCCTCCCATTAGGAATCCCGGCAATTGTAATTTGCTGGGTTTTCTCAGTATCCCTAGTCACTCCTCCCACAAAACTACCATTTTCAGCATTCACATGGAGCTAAACTATAGTTTAAGGCTGTTGTGTAGCTATTGAGTATATTCTCAGAGTTCTGGTTCTTATGGGGAATGTGCTCAAGGCACATTGCTGAAATGTGCAAGGCATTACTAATTTGTTGTTGCCCTTCTTTTCCTTCTGGTTTTAAAATATAGGCACGGACACATCCACAGCAGAGTCTGAAAGGGTCATTCATAGACCACAATGTGTTCTCTGGTTGTAATAGGTATGCATATATAGACATATTTCTCTGCGTAGGCCAAAGGAGTGAAAACACGTCAGAAAAATCTCTCTAGAACAAAAAGCAGCAAACAAAAACAAAAAACAGCTCTGAGATGGAGCACATGTTTGAGCCTCTCTTGAAAATGAACAATGCACTTGTACAAAGCAAGTCACACCAAGGATACGCCACTGAAGTGACTCATGCTTGTGCTGTCTGAGTTCACCTCAAGAATGTCATGAATTTCACATGACCCACCCACTTTTTTCTCTGTACCTCTGCAATTACCATATCAGCAGCCATAATTCCCTGTTGTTTAAGTGCCAGATACACATATCAGCATGGCTGCAACACTCCTGAATGAACTACATTGTAATGCTCTACCTTGTTTGTTGATGCTGCTGCAAGGCCGACTTTTATCCGTTTTCTAAATTCATAGAATTTAACACCACCCT